AGCCCCCCCACCCCCCCCCCCCACCGCTGCTGCAGCAGCAGCAGCAGCAGCAGCAGCAGGTTCACTTTTTGAGTTTTCCGGCCCGTTTTTCGAGGAGCTGCTGCTGAATGTGGGGCGGGACTGGCGCGTACTTGAGGAAAGAAGTGGAGGCCGAGGCCCTGCCTTGCGAAAGCGAACGCAAAACAGTTGTGTAATTAAACAACTCCGCGAGGGGCACGTGCGCGATCACCACTTTGTGGGGTGTACGTACACCCCACGCTTCCGCCTGGGGTGTACGTACACCCGGTGCATGCGGCTGCGGTGTATGTACACCTGGGGCGTCCCGCAGCTGCTGCACGGCGCCCCGGCGAGCAGCAAGGTCGCCCACGACGGCCCCCAGACACTGGGGGGGGCAGCAGATGTGCAGCAGCACGAGGGGCTCCAGCAGCAGCGGCTGGGCCTTGCTGAGGGCCGCGCGCAGCGCAGCAGCAGCAGCAAGCTGGAAGGCCAGCTCGCTGCTGTCGACGGGGTGGAGGGCCCCGTCGAAGAGGGTCACCTGCAGGTCCGCGAGGGGGGCCCCCAGCAGCAGCCCCTGCTGCTGCTGCTGCTGCACCCCCGCGCGCACTGCAGCAGCAAAGGGGCCCACGCAGCCCCCGCGGCTCTCGTCTGAGAAGCAGCAGCCGCTGCCGGGGGCCCCCGGGGCCACTCTTAGCCAAACTTCAGCAAAGTGGCCCCTGCCCCCAGACTGCTTCACATAGCGGCCTTTTGCTGCTGCTGCTGCAGCAACAGTTTCGCGGTAGCTCACCTGTGGGGCCCCTGCTGCAGCAGCAAGTTTGTGTTCCCGCTGCAGCCGCTGCAGCACGACCTCCAGCTGCAGCTCGCCGAGGCCCCGCAGCAGCAGCTGCTGCGTCTCGGGGTCCACGGCCACCTGCAGCGAGGGGTCTTCCTCCGCGAAGGCCCGCAGCGCCTGCAGCAGCTGCTGCTGCTGCTGCTGCTGCTGCACCTCCAGCGCCACGCTCACCGTCGGCTGCGGCGCTGCTATCTGCTGCAGCAGCAGCGGGGCCCCCCTGCTGCTGAGAGTGTCCCCCGTGGAGAAGCAGCGGGGCCCCAAGACAGCCCCGATCTCCCCAGCCCGCAGCAGCAGCACATCTCGCCGCGAGTTCGAGTGCAGCAGCAGCAGCCGCTGCAGCCGCTCCTGCTGCTGCGTCCGCGCGTTGTAAACCTCCGCCCCCACGCGCAAAGTCCCCGAGAAAACCCTCACGAAGGTTTGAAACCCTAAAAAAGGGTCTCGGCAAACCTTAAACGCCAGCGCAGCCAGCGGGCCCTCCGCGTCCGGCTGCAGCAGCACCCGCTCCCCAGCAGCAGCAGCAGCAGGGGCGCCCGCAGCAGCAGCAGCAGCAGCAGCAGGGGTGCCCGCAGCAGCAGCAGCAGGGGCCTCCGCAGCAGCAGCAGGGGCCTCCGCAGCAGCAGCAGGGGCCTCCGCAGCAGCAGCTGCTGCTGCCCCCCGCGCGGCGCCCTTAGCAGCAGCAGCGCCCCTAGCAGCAGCAGCAGCAGCAGCAGCAGCAGCAGCAGGGCGGGGCCGGAAGGCCTCGACGGGAGGCCTGTCGAGCGGAGAAGGCAGCAAATCAACCACTGCGTCCAGCAGCTGCTGCACTCCTTTATTTTTCAAAGAGCTGCCGCAAAGAACTGGAAGAATCTTTTTTTGAATAGTCAAAAGCCGGAGGCCCTGCAGAATGTCTGCTGCTGCTAAAGTGCTGCTGTCGAGGTACTTGGCCGTGAGTTCGTCGGAGGCCTCAGCAGCAGCAGCAGCAAGTTCTGCCCTCCTGCTGCTGACCTCCTGCTGCAGCTCGGGGGGCACTGGCTCCACGCGAAACTGGAAGCTCGCGGCCTCGCTCCTCCTGCTGCTGCTGCTCCTGCTGCTGCTGCTGCTGCTGCTGCTGCTGCTGCTGCTGTCGGGCCAGACGAGCGCCACTTCGCGGATCAGGTCCACGACGCCGACGAAGCCTGCTGCTGCGCCGAGCGGCAGCTGCAGCGCAACGGGAGCTGCATGCAGCTGCTGCAGCTGCTGCAGGCAGCAGCTCCAGGAGGCGCCGGGGCGGTCCATTTTGTTCACAAAAGCAACAGCAGCAACTTGCTGCTGCTGCAGCTGCTGCCACGCTGCTTCGCTCTGCGCCTCCACCCCCCCCACCGCCTCGATCACCACCACGGCCCCGTCCAGCGCCCGCACGGAGCGCCCCACTTCTGCAGCAAAGTCCGCGTGGCCCGGAGTGTCCACCAGGTTCAGCCGGTGCAGCAGCCCCCGCTGCTGCTGCTGCTGCTGCTGCTGCTGCTGCTGCTGCTGCTGCTGCTGCTGCGGGTGCTGCTGGTGCTGGTGCTGGTGCGGCAGCAGCAGGGAGGAGGGCGGGAGGGCGAGCGAAGCGCCCTCCCCGCCGCCGCCGCCGCCGCTGCTGCTGCTGCTGCTGCTGCTGCTGCTGCTGCTGCTGCTGCTGCTGGTGGTCCAGGTGCTGCTGCTGCTGCTCCAGAAGCAGGTGGTGGCCGCAGCAGTGATGGTGATGCCGCGTTCTCTCTCCTGGTCCATCCAGTCCATGGCCGCCTCCCCGTGGTGGACTTCTCCCATTTTGTGCAAAACTCCAGTAAGAAATAAAATTCTTTCTGTAGTTGTGGTTTTGCCGGCGTCGATGTGGGCCACAATGCCCAGGTTTCGGAAGCGGCTGAGGGGCACTTCGGCCCAGGGGCCCCTGGGCTCTGCGGGGGCCCGCGCGCGGCTGCTGCTGCTGCTGCTGCTGCTGCTGCTGCTGCTGCTGCGGCGGCGGAGGAGGAGGGGGGAAGAAGGCGGCAGCAGGGAGGGCTGCCGCTGCGGCTGAGGCCGCGCTGCTGGCCGGCAGCTGCTGATTGTGAAGGCCGACGCCAAGTCGAGGCTCAGACACAGCAGCACGGCGAGCGGCAGCAGCTGCTGCAGCAGCTGCGGCCGAGGCAGCAGCTGCTGCAGCTGCTGCAGCAGCAACGGCCGCCTGCCGCACCCACCCACCAACATCTTCGAGCGCTAGCTGACTAGCCGCGTCGCGCAGGGCCCGCCCCGAGCAGCAAAGCCATCTTTGGCCGCCCTGCGAAACCGCAGCCACGCACAAGCTGCGGGCCGATCCGCCGCGAAAGTGCTTCCTAGACCTTTAAAAATAAAATAAATGGCTTTTTAAACACTCAGAGAACTGCAAGAAGCAAAGGGCTCTTCGCATCCCAGCCAACGGCCCCAGCTGCGCTGTGGGGCCCTGGGGGGAAGCGATCCGCAGCCGACTTGGGGCCACGCTCGGCAGCGGCGAATGCGGGAGAAAAATGGATCAAAAGATCGCAAAAGGAAAAACAAAATTAAAAACGTTTTAGTTCAAGTTCTCGCGGAAAGCGCAGCCGAGAGCTTCGCAGCTTTCCGTGCGAGCAGATCTCGCCTGGCAGGTCCTCGGGGTCCGCAGCGCCGCAGCAGAAGCTCGGATGTATTTCTCCGCCTGAAAGGAATCAAAAGATAAATTCAAAAATAAATAAACCGAAACTTCTCGAATGCAACAAACCGCGTCGTTTCGGCGCGTCATCGCCACGAGCTCCGCCTTCTTCGCCAGCAGCCGTGTCTCGAGCACCCGCAGCGAAACTTTGAGTCGACTTGCAAACTGCGGATTGCGTGCACTTTCCCCCAAATGTCTTTTTCATTTAATTATTTTGAATTAATTTTGAATTATATTTCGAATTTCGGGGCTTTTCTTTGCAAAGCCGCTCACTTCTTCGGCTTCCGCCGCCTGGCGCTGCGCCGCTTCGTACCTGGCGGCCGAATTCAACTTCTGCACAAGTGCAAGTTGAACACAGAGCTGACCGCTTCATTTCCTGCTGCACTTCGCAACTAAGTTTGGAATATTCCTTTTTCAACTTCTCGTTGTCCTTCAGTCCTTCATAGTTGAGTGCTTTTCTGGCTCGTTTCCGCAGCTGCAGTTCAACTCTGCACACAGCCTCCAGCTCTGCACGCGGCGAGTCAAAAGGCACTTCAAAGCCGCAGCAGCAGCAAATCGAGGCCTCCCAGCTTCTTTTTCAGCTTACGGGCCTGCATAACTTCCGTAGATTTGTTTTCTTGAATTAATTTTCCAATTTTTTGGGCACTTCCCGCCAGATCAGCTGCTGCGGCCAGCGCGCGAAAGCGGCTTTCCTCGCGGGCCAGCAGGCGCTTCAGCTGGGCCACAGAGCCCGGCCCAGCGGCACTCGCAAGCGAGTCCACTATTTGGACACTGTCTCTAGCGTTTTCATTCATTTTTGCCTTTAATTTTAATTTTTAATTTCTAATTTGCAAATAAAACCAAAGTGAGCACTGACACTGCGGGCTCTGTTCCTATTCCCCCGCCCAGGTGTCTGCAAACGTGAACTGCAGATCTTGAATCGCTCCGAACTGCTGCTGCAGCTGCTGCAGCTGCTGCTGCAGCTGTTTCTCTACTTCCCCCTTCTTCGCTTTCTATTCATTCAAAAGAGTTTTGAAATTGGGCTTTTTCGCCGCAGTGAATCTGCGTTTCAAATGAAAGAAACTGCTGCACACGGCCCTCGTCTAGATCCGCAGGCAGAGCTGGATCCTCCACTTGCTGCTTCCCAGGCTGACTCTCCCGGCTGCAGCTCTTTCAGCGACAAATATTTTAAATTTAATTTTTAAAAATATATTTCCGAGGAAAGCAGCTCCACTTTGCACGCCCCTAATGGCTGAAACACGAAAATGCGAAAGCCGCCCGCTGGGCTTTCCCGGGCTTGGCCAAAGAGCTGGAGGCGTTTGCTGCTGCTCTCTCCTCAGCAGCAGAAGAGTGCAGCAAAGCAGCACTACAATGCGCAGCTGCATGCAGCACCTGGGAGCGGCTGGGCCGCCTCAGCTACTGCTGCTGCTGCTGCAGCGGAGCGGACCAGTGGTCCAGACCAGTGGTCCACTACCACTTGAGGTCCGAGACAGCCACTGTGGGGCCCCGCTTGCCCCCCTTCTTCGCGCTGAAGCTGCAGCGCAGCAAAAGTGTGACTCTGGGGGCGAGCCAGAAGCGGAGGGGCAGCGCAGCAGCGGTGTCAGTGCACAGCAGCTGCTGCGCGGCCTGCAGGGCCTGCTGCTGCTGCAGCAAGCCTTCGAACTGGCCCAGTGCTGCTGCTGCTGCTGCCCCCCCCTCCGCCCCGTAGCAGCAGCCAAACAAATACAAATATGCTGGCAGCACCAGCGGGTGTTCAAAGGGCTGCAGCAAAGGGAACTCTGCATGCAGCAGCCGCGTCAGACTCGTCAGCGGCTCCCGGTTCTTCCCGATGATCTTCGGCCCTGCTGCTGCTGCTGCTGCTGCTGCTGCTGCTGCTGCTGCTTTCTGCTCTGCTGCTTCCCTTGAGGCCCCCTCGCAGCTAATTGACTGCCCCCCGCCGTTGAGGCAGCCCCCTGGGCATGCGGCGATTTCGACTAAGTGCGGCACTACAGAGCCAATGGCTTCGGGCTCAATCAAGCTGCTGCTGCTGCTGCTGCTGCTGCTGCTGCTGCTGCTGTCTGGGGGCAGCAGCTGCCGCAGCTGCTGCGCCACGTTTTGAATGTTGCGGAAGCCGTAGGCAAAAGCCCCCCGCAGCAGCGCCGGGCTGGAGTCGCTCCAGAGCCCGCGGCGGCGGCCCCTGCTGCTGCTGGCGGGGCCTGAGCTTCCCGCTGCTGCTGCTGCTGCTGCTGCTGCTGCTGCTGCTGCTGCTGCTGCTGGGGCCTGCGGCGCGGGGAAAAGGGCCAGCGACTGCAGCTCCTCGTTGGGCCCTCTTACAAATTCAAAAGCTGCTGCTGAGAGCTGCTGCCCGAAGAAGCCCCGGGCAATTTGCAGAAACAAAAACTCCAAGTGGCCCCCGCTGCCGGCCAGAACTGCTGCTGGCCGCGGCAGCAGCAGCAGCTGCTGCTGCTGCTGCTGCTGCATGCAGCCAGCCGCGCACGCCGACGGGAACGCCGGCAGCGCAGCAGCAGCCTGCTGCGCTGCAGCAGCAGCAGCAGCAGCTGCTGCTGCTGCTGCTGCTGCTGCGTGCGGCGCCCCGGCTTGAAGCCGCCCGTCGCGAGCAGCGTCTTCCGCCGCCGCAGCATCAGCCGGCGCTGCTGCTGCTGCTGCTGCTGCTGCTGCTGCTGCTGCTTTGAAGAGGCTGCGGGCTGAGAGCCCCAGCGCGGGGCCCGGCAGCAAACAGTCCAGAGGAGCAGCAGGAAGAGAAGCAAAAGTCCTTTTTGCTGCTGCCAGCAGCAGCGGCAGCTCCGAAGTGGCCAAAACCAAATCCACTTCAGCCCACGGGCTGCAGCAGCAGCCGAAGGCCAGGCTGGACTCTGCGAAGCAAAACGCGTCTCCGCCCTCCTGCTGCTGCTGCTGCTGCTGCTGCTGCTGCTGCTGCTGCTGCTGGGAGCGCTGGAACTCGGGCCGCGCCGCCTCCAGCTTCTTGTCGAAGCAGGGCATCATGCACACGTGCAGAATGTCCCCGGGCCTCAGCCCGCCTGCTGCTGCTGCTGCTGCTGCTGCTGCAGGCGCAGCAGCCGCTGCTCCATCCCCCGCTGCTGCTGCTGCTGCTGCTGCTGCTGCTGCACCTTCTGTCGCGTCTTCCAAGTAGCAGCCGTAGGGCGACCTGCGCAGCAGCAGCCGCAGCAGCTGCCACATCGCATATCCTTTGCCGCCTTCCCCAGCCGCGCGCTGCCGCCGCCCTTCTCGCTGCTGCTGCTGCTGCTGCTGCTGCTGCGCAGCAGCAGCAGCAGCAGCAGCAGCAGCAGCGCCGCCGCGCCAGGCGTAGGCCTTGAGGGCCAGCGCGAAGGAAGCTGCTTCCAGGGCCCCCCTGAAGGCCGACTTGCACAGCAGCCCCTGGATTTGCTGCGCGCTGCGGACTCGAGACAGCAGCAGCAGCAGCTGCTGCTGCAGACTCTTTTCTGCGTAGAGCACAAGGCCTGGGCAAAACGAAGTCAGCAGCGGCAGCGGCCCGGAGCTCGGCAGCAGCAGCTCCAGGCCAGCTGCTGCTGCTCCTGCTGCTGCTCCTGCTGCTGCTGCTGGTGCTGCTGCTGCTGGTGCTGCAGCTGGTGCTGCTGCTGCTGCTGCTGCCGCTGCTGCAGCCCCCGCTGCAGCCCCTGCTGCAGCTTCTGCTGCAGCTTCTGCTGCAGCACCTGCTGCTGCTGCTGGCGCTGCTGCAGCCCCCGCTGCAGCCCCTGCTGCAGCTTCTGCTGCAGCCCCTGCTGCAGCTTCTGCTGCAGCCCCTGCTGCTGCTGCTGCTGCTGCTGCTGCTCTGCGTTTCTCCAGGAGGGCCTGGTGGCTGCGGAGTCTGCCAGCGAGCTCCTTGTGGGCCTCCAAGAGAGTCAAAGCTTCTGCTGCTGCTGCTGAGAAGACAAAGTCTGCGCCCAGCAGCCGAAAGAGAAAAGACAGCCGCCCAGCAGCAGCTGCTGCGGAGCAGCCGAAGTGCTGCGCCACTGCAGCAACGGACTGCGTGCTCAGCGACACACACACCACGCGCGGGCCTGCAGCAGCAGCAGCAGCAGCAGCAGCAGGAGCTGCTGCTGCACCTGCTGCTGCACCTGCTGCTGCAGCTGCTGCATCTGCTGCTGCATCTGCTGCTGCACCTGCTGCCGCGCCAACTGCTGCGCCTGCTGCATCTGCTGCGGCGCCTGCTGCATCTGCTGCTGCGTCTGCTGCTGCACCTGCCGCACCTGCTGCTGCTGCTGCTGCGTCGGGCTGGGGGGTACGTACACCCCAGGGGGCCCTGCGCGACAGCAGCAAGAACTGCTCTGCTGACTGATGCCTCAAAAGAATATCTTCTGCTGCAGTTAAGCAGCCGCTGCAGCTGAGGCAGTCCGAGAGAGAAATTTTGCCCACGCGGGTGAGGCCCTCAGCAGCTCGCGGCGCTGCTGCTGCTGCTGCTGCTGCTGCTGCTGCGGGGGCTGCTGCGCCGCCTGCTGCTGCGGCGGCTGCAGCCGCTGCGCCGGCTGCAGCAGTTGCGGCCGAGGGCAAGGGAGGAGAGCTGTCTGCAGCAGCAGCAGCTGCTGCTGCTGCTCCTGCTGCTGCTCCCGCTGCAGCTTGCGAAGCGTCCGGAGCTGCTGCTGCCTTTCTCCCTGCCGCTGCTGCCTCTCCACTTGCTGCTGCGGCCTCTTCGCTTGCTGCTGCTGCTGCTGTTCGCTGCTGGGCTCTGCGGCGGCGGGGCCGGGCCGCCACCGCGCCCGCAGCAGCAGCAGCAGCAGCAGCAGCAGCAGGGTCACTGGCAGCTGCTGCTGCGTCCCTGCTGCCCCTCGGGCTCTCCGTGCTGCTGCTCTGCTGCAGCAGCGGCAGCACACATTCCTGGGCGGGGCTGAGGTAGTCGTCGAGGCCCCCGAGGCGGACGGCGCTGCTGAAGGCCTCCGACATGAGCAGCAGGGGGTAATCTCAAGTCTGGGGGCCCCCCTGCATGCATGCATGCAGCGCAGCAGCAGCTGGCTGCTGCTGCAGCAGCTGCAGTAGCTGGCAGCAGCTGGCTGCAGGTGGCTGCAGCAGAAGGAAGCGGGGGGCTGGAGGCGCCGGCAGCAGCAGAGAAGGGGCCCCCGCCAGCAGCAGCAGGAGCGCGCGCGGGCCAGAGCCGCCTTGGGGGCCCTTCTTCGCTTTATTTAAACAACTAAATGGCAATTATTTTCGAAATTTAATTCGAAGCGGACAATTCAAGTTGCGGAAGACCGTCTTCTAGCCCTGGCAGCCACGCTGCCGGTTGTCTGCTGCTGCTGCTGAGCCGCAGCAGCAACGCGGCCTTTGCGGCTGCTGCGCTGCGCTCGGGGGCGTTTATTTAGAACTTTGGGAAGAATTTGCAGCTAATAAATGCAAATAAAGAAACTCTAAAAGCCCCAATTGCCTTTTATTGCTGCAGGCAACAAGAAGTAGGACTTATGGCGGCCTGCAGCCGGCAGGCGACGAGGGGCCCCCAGGGCAGCGCCGAGCGTCGTGACACCCCAAGTGTTTAAGTTTCTTTGCTTTTGCATTTGCTGAGAGTCTTTGCACAATTATTTTATTTCGAAATAAATACCTTTACGTGGCAGACTCGAGCGAGAGCCCCTGCGTTCCTCTGCCATCGCAGGACCCTCTGCTGCTGCTGCTGCTGCTGCTGCTGCTGCTGCTGCTGCTTCCCTTCTCCGCGTACGAGCCATGGCTATCAGGCGAGTTTGTGGGCAGCCGCTGCGTTCTTTGTGTGGCGCGCGGCTGACTGGGTCTCTCCCGGGGGCCCGCAGCAGCAGCAGCAGCTGCTGCTGCTGCTGCTGCCTGCAGCGCCTCCCGCTGCAGCCGAGGGGCCCCTGCAGCAGCTGCTGCGGGGGCCCGCGCAGCCGCACCTGCAGGGCGCTGCTGCGCCCCGCTGCGCTCCGCTGCTGCTGCTGCTGCTGCTGCTGCTGCGTGCGTGGCAGTGGTCCAGTGGCCCACTTGGGCAGTTTCGTGGGGTTTTCGGCGCCGCCTGCAGCGTTCTGCTGCTGCTGCTGCGCAGTGTACGTACACCTGGCTGCTGCTGCGCTGCTGCTGCTGCATGCAGGTCCCTCGCGGACCTCCGGGGGTCCGGAGAAGATTCTCCAAACGAAAACGGAGCAACAAATTCCTTTTCGGGGGGCGAGAGGTCCGGCCTGGCCATTCAGAATCCTTCTTCAGCTTTTCCCAACGCCACGTGGGTCTTCCCGAGCTGCTGCTGCTGCTGCTGCGGCTGCTGCTGCTGCTGCTGCTGCAGCAGCTCGTGTGGAGCTTGCTGCTGCTGAGGCTGCAGCAGGCTTTGCCGCGCGCAGCCCTGCTGGATTTGCTGCTGCGGGTTTGCACCCTCGAACTGTGGCGTACCTGCACCCAGGCCCCGCTGCTGCTGCTGCTGCTGCGCTGCTGCTGCTGCTGCTGCTGCTGCTGCAGCGTGGGGGCAGCACCACCTGGGGCCCGTCGAGTCTCCATTTACAAAAATGGATTTCGAGTTGACGAAGGAGAATTCCGGCCTTTCGGAGTTGAAGAGAACGACCACTTTGTCCAGGAGCTCAAGGCAGGGTGTGCTGCTGCTGCTGCTGCTGCTGCTGCTGCTGCTGCTGCGGGGTTTGCTGCTGCTGCTGCTGCCCAAGTGTGCGACCCGGAGCTGCTGCTGCACCTGCAGAGTCGCGCCCAGAGAACTGCAGCAAGGAGGCCGTCAAGTCCATGTGCTGCTGGACGACCGCCACGAAGAAACCTACACTCCCCCCGCGCCTCCCCAGGTGGGCCCCCGCTGCTGCTGCTGCTGCTGTGCTGCTGCTGCTGCTGCTGTGCTGCTGCTGCTGCAGTGCTGCTGCAGTGCTGCTGCTGCAGTGCTGCTACTGCTGCAGTACTGCTGCTGCTGCTGCAGTGCTGTTGCTGCTGCTGCAGTACTGTTGCTGCTGCAGTGCTGCTGCTGCTGCAGAGCTGCTTCTGCTGCGGTGCTGTTGCCGTCAGACTGCTGTTGCGGTGCTGCTGCTGCTGCTGCTGCTGCTGCTGCAGGTCTTTTGAATTGAGCTGTGCCTGTGGCTGTGCGGGTTTGCAGTATGTGCTGTTTGGAGGCGAAGGGCAGAGCCTTTCGGGGGACCGGACTTCGCCGAACCACCCGGCGGGTGCTGCTGCTGCTGCTGCTGCAGTGGACGTGTCGCGGGCAGCAGCAGCAGCAGCAGCAGCAGCAGCAGCAGCAGACCCCTCGGCTCCCAGGACTCAGATCTTGTTTCGCTTTCATGATGGCCAAAGAACTGCGCAGCACTTCCCCACAAGTGCAACAGTGCAGCAGCTCTTTGACTTTGTGGAAAGGCAAGTTGCTGCTGGCTTCGCGCAGTGTATGTACACCTGAGAAGCTGCCGCCCCAGCTCATTGCAGAACTGGAATGCAGCATTTAAATTCTTTTTCAGCATTTAAATGCCATTTACTTGCCCCACACCAGGCTAGAGGAGAACGCACTCAATGTTTGCTTCGTACGGAGCTGCTGCTGCTGCTGCTGCTGCTGCTGCTGCTGCTGCTGCTGCTGCTGCAGGGTGGCCCCCGCGCCTGGAGGCTTCTCCTTGCTAGAGGGTTTCCCCCCGAGGCCGCTGTCGGCGGCCCGAAGTGCCACTTTGCAGGAGGCGGGATTGTTAAATGCAACTCTGTCTCAGAAGCTCTCATAATTGCATGCATGCATCCAAAAGCCCCAATTGCATGCATTCAAAAGCCCCAATTGCATGCATTCAGAAGCCAGAATTGCATGCATTCAGAAGCCAGGATTGCATGCACTAGAAGCCAGGATTGCATGCATTCAGAAGCCAGAATTGCATGCATTCAGAAGCTGGCAAAGTTGCATGCAGTCCGAGCAGCATTTGCACTTCGGGTGTACAGACACACCTGCTGCGCGCACCCCTGCAGAGCGCCGACACTGTTCACTCACTAATTTATTTTGTTTGCATTCTTGCGGGCAAAGCCAGGCGTGAGCCCGTGGCCCGGCTGCACTTGCTGCTGACTAGCCGCAGCAGCAGCAGCAGCAGCAGCAGCAGCAGCAGCAGCAGCAGCAGCAGCAGCGCGGGCGGGCTCGTGGGTTTTTTTGCCGAAGTCGCCAAGCCGCGTTTCTGGGGCGTGCAAGAAGCTGCCTTGCAGCCCTTTGAAGCCGTGCCATTTAGGTCTATGCTCGCAGCAAATCATGTGCAGCAGCAGCAGCAGCAGCAGCAGCAGCAGCAGCAGTAGTTACATACATCAGTAGCTCGAAGCAAGTCATTTGCAGCAGCAGTTATTAAATATATTAGAAGCTGCGGGTCTACACAAGAATGGCTTCTCTAGGCTCCATGAAAGCTCACAAGAAACGCACAGCTGCAGAGTGCTGCTTCCCCCACGGGGCTGTTGGAGGCAGAAGGCCACAAAAATGCCTTTTTCACTCATTGAATGGTCAGCTGGTGTTTGCTGGCCACTGGGAAAAGGCAAAGGACCAGTGGTCTGGTCCATTCGCGTGAGATCGGCGGGTCGCAGTCAGTGGTTCTGGTGGCTGTGGCCACAGGAGTGGATCTGCTGCAGACAGAAAGATTTTTTTTTTGGAAGTCAGCGCGAGTGTTTCGGAATTAAAAAAGGTTTCCCTTCGTCTTGGAAGTCAGCAGAAATGTTTCAAAATTAAAAATGCAGAAAGGCGACAGCAGGCAAGCCTCCTCACACCGGAAACATGAATGCGCACAGAACTAGCGGGAGAGCTTCCCGCGGCTTTGGCTGAACAACTCGGCTGTGGACTCAGCCCTTCTGCCACAACTCCTCTTCGAGAAATAAAATGAATTGAAGAGCATTAAGCCGCGGTGTTGGCTGGGCCCCCGCGGTTACAGCGCGCAGCATTAAGTACTGCAAGACACTGCCTGTGGAGGCTTCCAAGGTCACTTCTGGGGGCCGCAGCACATTGCTGCTGTCAATAAGGAGCAACCTAAACAAGAAATCAGAAAAATTTTGCTTTCTCTGCCCGTATTCTTTCTGCTGCTGCAGTTGAATGGCTGACGCGTTGCTGCTTAATTTGAACTCTCTGTTGCGCCGCTGCAGGACGGCGCCTCCCACGCCACGAGAGGCGTTCAGAATAATTTTTCGCGCAAATACCAATTAAATTGAATCTAAATAATCTAGTCACTGACAACATTCAATTTCGAGGCTTTATGGCACAGATGGGGGGCGGTTTGCTGCAGGTTCTCGACGTGCAGTGGCTTGTGGGTGGACCAGACCAAATGCAGTTGGGTCTTTGCACGCCTTAAAACAGGGGCTGCTGCTCGCCTGACAGTAACAGTTGAATGTGTCTAAATTTAGAAAGACAGAATATTATCAACTCTTGAAGTTACGCTGGCGTAGGCGTGCTTTTTGAGCGCGTTGCAGCGCACTATTCGCCTGCGGGGAAATTCGAAGGCCGAGTGAAACTGCGCCTCCAACTGCCCTGCAAATTCGGGTTTCTCCGGCCCCGAGTTCGCAGCAAAACACTTGAAGATTGTGCATCTTTTGGGGGAGCCTCTTTTGCAAAAAAGTTCCCCGAGCTTTCCCGAAGATGTCGAGGTGAGCTGCTTACCCAACGCTGCGCACGCTGCTGCATGTGCCGCTGCAGCAATTTGTGAAATTGGTGCAGCCTCAGCTTGTTTCTCCTGCTGCGATGGTGAAGTGCAGCTTCTGCGGCGTATGTGAAGCCAAAATGTGTCCACGAATAGAGTGCTTTTCAAAATCGACAGAAAGAACCAAAAAAGTCTGCTGCGTTGCTCTTCAACTTCAGCGAAAAGCGACTCGGGAGTGACCCAATTGCAGTCCAAGATGGCCACTTGTACACCGCCGACCAAATCTGCATTCCTTCTACTTGCGCCGGACATGTAAAGGGCATTCTCATTCCGCAGGGTTTGTTGCGCGACAGAATAGAGAAGATGGTAAGAGCACATTTCAGAAGTTTCTGTAAAGATGGACTCAGTAAAATCTGTTCAGACTCATTTGAAGTCCTTTGTCCAGGCATTTTAATTGTATTTACTTCAGTTAGCAGCATCAGGGTAGCTTTCCTGTGTCCGAAGCTGGCGTGTTGAATCTTTTTTTGTTTCCTTCAGGCCTACGACATTCGCAAACACTATAAAGAGGGCGAGCTCCACTTGCTTTGCCTTTTGAAGGGCGCTCGAACCTTCTTTGGCGACCTCAGTGCCTCCATTTTCAAGCAGGGGAGGTGGGCTCTCTTGCGAGTTATTCTTCTTTTTTTTGAACATTTCAAACAAGCAACTGATATCAGCTTGTTTTGCATTTTGTTCTTCTCTTTATCACCGTTTCTTTGCTTCCTTTAGAGCTAGCGAGCTAAGTGTCCGATTTTTCTCTGCCGCTGCGCTTTCCTCTTAGCCTAGACAGCAGTGGCCGCAGCCTCGAGCTGTTTCACCACTACGTGCAAATCAGCACTTACCGAAACTGCGCAGCAACTGGGCAGGTGAGACTTCACGAGATGAAGCGAAAAGCAGTTTCTGCACGTAGTCCCGCGGCCGCAGCCCCAGTGCCAAACCCCAAGTTCTGAATCCTTAGACCCAAATCGCGGCTATAGGACTGAACAAGTTCTGTTCTGGGGGCTGCAAAATGCAACTTAGTGCATTTTTCGACCCTTTGTCGGGCCAAATGCTGCTTTATTCAGGTGAAGTTCGTGGCAGACCAGCTGACGTGCCTGAAGGGCAAAGACGTGCTCATTGTTGACGACGTCGTGGAAAGCGGGAACACCTACAGACATGTCCGGGAGTGGCTGGCCCAGTTCGAGCCCAAAAGCGTGCGAACTGTTGGCCTTTTGCAAGTCAGGTGGGCACTGGGCCGCTGCGTTTCGAACGAGATCTGCAGGCCCGCAGTGCTGCTTTCGAATGCTGCACGAGCCTGGGATAGGCCGCTGAATTGGCGCCATCTGTTGTTCTATTTCTGCAGAGTCAAGGGAAAGATGCCGCTGGTGGACTTCGTCGGATTTACAGGACCTACGGAGTGGTTCGTTGGGTACGGAATAGACTACAACGATCGCTTTCGGGAAGTGCCTCATGTGTGTGTTCTGAGCGACGAAGCGAAGAAGGCCCTCGCCGTGTGACTACACGAAACTGCTGCCCTCTGCTGCTAGATATATCTACACGATACTGCAGCAATTTGCCGCTAGATGCTAGGCATCTTAGAGCTGCTGAACATGCATTCAAGCAAAGTACGCCCTCAGCGGGGCTGCTTTCCGCTTTGCAGTACGCTGGCAGAGGCACGTGCCTGCTGCTAGCTAGATGGAAAAGAAAAACTTTGTTTCGTTTCGCTCGTCGAACATGCAGCGAAAGGTCAAATGTATCCGACTGTAGGGATGTAGTTTCAAAATCCTCGAAACGGGTATTTACAACAGGCATGGGCTGCCCAACACATGAAATTGAACGTGAGCAGTGCACCCGCGGACTGTGGAAACGTCACAGCCGCACATGCCTCAAGGAGGACTCTTTGGCTTCATAGCTATGTATCTAACTTGCTGGAGGTGTTTCTGGAACCTACACAGCGGCTCATGCAGTCAAGAATGAGGCGTACGGCAAGACCCCCAGGAACCCGTACTGCGCATTGATGCATGCAGTGCCTCGCCCCGCGCCAAGTGTCCACCCCTGCACTTAAATAGCGAAATTTTCGCACCTGACATTGTAAGGCGGACACCCGACAGCCAGCGCGGCTGCGAAGTGGCTGCTGGCCCGGGAAGCTCGGCGACGGAGTGCAGGCGCTGCACCTCGCCGGAACGCCGCAGCAGGGCTGCTTGACAAATAGAACACAAATGCAGGAAAAAAGAAGACTTGGAAGCGCCTGAGGGCCTCGCGTGCGCTGCTGCGCGCTGCTGCGCGCTGCAGCGGCAGGTCACTTGTACAGCAGCGCGAAGTAAAGCCCTGACATGATCCCCAGGATCAAGCTGACGATGGCGACGGGCCCCACGTGTTTCTTGTCCGCCACGTCGGGGACAGCGTCGACGCTGTAAATGAAAGCCAGCGTGGCGAACCAGCCGTGAGAAACTGACAAGAAGACCATTTCGCAGAGTTGAAACCAGAAAGCGTTGAAGACGGCGCTGCCCGCGAGGTGCTTGCTGAGGAAAAAGGGCGCGTAGAGCCCCAGCCGCAGCGCAGTCAGCCACGGCAGCAGCCGCGGAGAAAACATTATTAGCCCTTTCAAGAAACGGCCTTGTTCTGCAAAGGCGCACAGCGACTTGCCCAGCGTGTCCCCGAAGGGAAACACCCCCAGCAGCCACACCAGGTGGTTCTTGGGGGCCCCCTCGGTGGCCCACTGCAGGGGCCCCACTCTGGGGAATAGATTGCAGGTGACGAAGAACAGCACGAAGACGCAGCCAATGGGCACTCCCGAGTGCCGCAGCACTCTGCAGAGCGGGCTGCGCTTCTGCGGCGCTGCAGCAGCAGCAGCAGCAGCAGCAGCAGCAGACACGGAAGCCACCTCCTGCAGCTCCGTGCAGCCGCTGGCGCTCTTCGCCACCTCCGAAGAACTCTCCGCCCGCGCCTGAGACACCGCCTGCCGCGCCCCCCGCTGCCGAATGCTCAGCCCTATCAAGACTATGCAAAGAAGGCCAACTGCAGCACTGACAGCAGCAGTGACGTTGACCAGCGCAGCCACGTCTTCGCGCACGGAGATGTCCACTGCTGTGTAAGACAAAATGCCCACCAACACCACTGAGAAGATCGCCCCGAAGCCCTGGCCCGCGCTGTAGACCCCCACCTGGTTCACGGGCATTACGGCTGCGTAGGAGAAGCCGCTGCCCTGCACGAGGCCGCTGCCGCTGCCCAGCACCAGGCACAGCGCATGCAGCAGCGCAATGCGGGTGTTCAGCGGGCCGTAGATCACGCACGGGCCCAGCACGCCGCACATCACCGAGCCCAGAAACAGCCCCAGGTGCAGCCAAATCTCCTTCAGAGAACCCGCAAACATCAAAAACACCTGCACCAACAAATTCCCCACCTGAAACACCCCCAAAAGCGAGTTTCCCGCGTCCCAGCCCTCCAGAAACTGCTCCGTCATGTACGGCAGCAGGTACAACACGTTGTTCCACGCGAACAGCGAGCTCATCCCGAGAAAGAAAAAGGCCGTCGTCGTCGCCCACCACTCGCAACGAGATATTACAACTTTTCCTCCCTCGGAAGCCGCTTTTGCAGAGTCTTCGCTGCCCTTTGCGGGCACGTCGATCGCCGTAGAAGCCACATCCTGCTTGGGTGAGGAGGTGCCTCGAGAGGCAGCCTCCACGGCCTCTTTGTGCCCGCCCACAGACATACCCTCGACGGGAACTTGAAACGCAAGTTCAGAATTTTCTACAGACCGCCGCTACTAGTTTTCGTCGTTGGAGTGCTTCTTGCTGTGCCCCACAGCTCGATTTCCTTTGACGCGCCCAAACACCGGGCGACCACCTTAAATTCGCGGTAAAAAGTCAACCAGATTAAAAACTCTGAATTAAAAAAAGAGAAAAACATGCAAAAAACAGGTCTGGACGCCGTCCTTTTCCCAAGTGTGTTTTCAGTTCCCGTGGCTTTCTCAGGCAACCACAACGGTCAGCTCAAGCCACGTTCGTGAGCGACAGCACCAGCATGCGGCACGTTCTAAAAAAATAGCCCAAAACATGCTTATTTACGCGAAATTACCCATTTCAATTCATCAATCACCATAATTCCGTTTATCAGGACATCCAAATGCAAGAAGATCTAATGAACTTGAAACATTTTGCCAGATCCTTTCTGGGTCAGCGCCAGGTGGGGTAGTGCGCAGTGCTGGCATGGAAGCGGATGGCCAAATGGACTGTGCCAAAGCTCATCTTGTTTTTATGTTAATTAAAACCCATAGTTATTGTAATTATGGGTGGAAGATAGTGTTTTCTGTGGCTGAACACTACTGGCCTCGCACAGGTAGTGGCCGCTGTCGCTTCTCACTACCACCACGCGCACCACCTTACGTGCAAACTGAGACTAAAGCTTCAATCATCCTAAGAACACGTTAACAATGGCGAACTATGCTAATTAAGAGATCTGGGTTCTTTCTAGACTGGTACAAGCTAGCTCCTTCGTGTTAAAGGCAAGTTTTGGCACCAGCCGCTGCAGTGGAACGTCTGCAATGCGCTGCAAAGTTATAGTATCGTGCCCTTGAAGCTCCCTCGTTTGCACCAAGCTCAATAAAGTGCTCAGCGCTAAATTGGCTTTCTTAATGGGGAGCTCGAGGCACAGCCTTTCTTCAGTCGCAAGTTCGGGCTGATGGGGTGATTCAAGGGGGGAAGTGGGCAGCTCATGATGCTCGCAGCTAGTACTCACCAGAATCTGTAACTAGAATTCGTACCAAACAGGAAGTAGAAGGCTAAAATGAAGGATGATCGAAGTCTATAGTCACAAAACGCATTAGACAGGCTCATTAGGCAGGCACTGGCAAGCAACAGAGAATTTCGAAACTTTGGCTACGAAGAGGCACCTTCCTAACAGGTTTTAGCCGCAAAAAGTCGGTGGCCTATTTATTGGGGCTCTTGCTGTCAATAAAGGCTTCCGGAATTTGAACAGAAAAAGGGATCCGTTGTGCACCAGGCTGTCAGTCCGACCTCCGACCTGCCAGCCCCTCAGCGTCCAAAAGCAACAAAAAGAAAATAAGGTATCTTTGCATGCGCAGAATGTATAGACTGAACACGTTCAGCCTAAGTAACTTGCACTTGCAACTCCATAGCAGGGTGCATTGCAGCCTGAGGCAGCCGCTCCGCGCCATTCCATCTTCGCCAACGGCTATTTTGGGCAGCGCACCATTGCGAGGTCATTCAGAGGTCTTTTACAGATATTTTCTAGTGCAAAATTGTGCGTCAGTTTGTCTTTGTTACTTTAATCGCCGTAGCGAACATCTTTCCTCTGCTAGCTGCATTGAAATCTCGTGCTTTCCCATACATTTCCAGGAACCCCAAGGCGTAGCATTGCGTTTTATTTTATAAATATACTATTAGGCAGGAGCGTATGGTTTCACGTACAGGGCCTGCTGTCTAGACATCCCTGGAACTCTATGCACAGGCTCTCTCCGCCTAACCCATTGGAAATCTTCCTCCTCTCAGGCAGAATGGTTGAAGCGAAAAGTGTTTCGACGCAACTATTCCAGCCCTACACTGATCTGTCTTAAAGACAAAAAGAGGCAAAATAGCTTTTGTTTTAGAAACGAAACTACTGGGGGCCAAGCACGCAGAGTTTCGCTCAGTAGTTTGCCACTGAAGAGCCAGAAACCAAACCTGCACTGAAAGCCAGGGATGCAGTAGAGCTCTGATTCCCTTTGCGGCACAGGCCTATCGTGGCTATCACTATTCCCTATGCTGTTCCTTACTGGCCGTCTCAGTTTCCCTCAATTAGACCGAAGCAGCCTTCGTTGTTTAGGGACCTCATCACGAATGTTTCGCATGCTGAATAGCGTGGTGCGTAAGGCCTCGTAGAGCTGTTTACTAGAGGTCTAGGACTGTGTGTAGTGTTGGAAATATACAATTAGGGAAACGCATATGATTTCACGTACAGGGCCACAACTCTTCGTAGTCTTGTGTCTTGCCACTGCGCTCATTTCAAGTTGTTTGCGGTCGCTAAGCGCACTAAAGCTAATTAATGCCTCGGAGCAAACAACTACTACTGCATGAAGGCCTATGAGTCCGCAGGGCCAGGCCCACGTCACCTGAAGATGAAGGCCCATCAGAGTTTCGCATGTGTAGATAGGCTTGAGGAATGAAGAAACTGTAGCGGTCGGTGAAGCTGCGTTAAGCCAGCCTCCCATACTGCCAGCATTGCAAAGAGTTGCTTGTCTATGCTTGAACCGCAAGCACGAGCTACCAAAAGAAATAAATAATTCAAGAGTGATTACAGCCGTGCTTTACATGTAAAGTCTGCAGCCCCCTTGGTGCATTAAGAAAGCCCCTCCACCTTTTCATCAAGTCAACAATTTCATTCGCCAGCTGCTGCTCACGCCGGCTCCAAGTGATTGCTTCCGGCTAAAGCGCAAGAGATTCTGGCTAGCCCCTCTTTTACACGCCTCCCCTACAGGAATAGCCGCGCACCGTAGCACGTGTGAACGCATGCATGCGCCTATCAGCATTCCAGCATAACGCAACATTTAAACCTGTGTAGGCACTCGCGCAATCCTCCAATTGGGCTTCTACCGGTTTTGTGCAGCTTGAATAAGTGCCGTGTTTCGGAACGTCGTGCATCTTCAGCTTGGCACGAAATGAACTAATCTGTTCAGAAGCGTGCTGGTACTGTCACTCCCTGAACTACTGGGCTGTTAGCTTAAGACCTTCCGGGGACTAGCTAGGCTTCTAACATTCTAGCTAGGCTTCTAACAGTCCGTAGGTGTCTTAAAGTCTCTGCGAACAAAACTTCGCAAATGTGATGCTATCTTAAACAAACACGGTATGAGTTCAAGGACAAGGACAGCTTGTCAAGACGATGCCGTGTTCTAAACCAGCAAGTAGCCTTCGTTGACACAACAACATAGCCACTGGAGCCTAAAACAGTGCATCACTGCGGCTGATTTAGAAACAGATGGTCTAAACACAAACGCATCAACTCAGTGTAAACGCATCGGTAGCCGCTTCTGCGTTCCCGGCTGCTTAACGCCACAATCGAATCCATCAGCAGAAAATGATTCAGCTCGGCTTCGATAGCGGGACACACCAAACGTGAAGTGTTGAGGCCAAATTGTTGAAAAAAACCTGCTATTTTAATGCAGCAAAGGTGCGTGTACGCATCAGCCCCTGAAGCCACGTTGTGTGTCTGTATGAATCAAACACAGCGCCAGCTGCCTCTGCCTTCCTAGGAAAACGAGTCGCCTCAGCAACACCTGTTCGCTCTAATTGAACAGTCCACTAAGCGTGCAATGGTTGACTATACGGCAATGCTGCGAGTGTCGCAAGAGCGCCTGTTTACGCCGCCAGGTCAGTTGTAGCCTGGCATTCAATGTGCATGTTTCACATCTGTGTTGTCTAGGAAAATGAATGTATGAACCCAGGAAATGCAGCTCTTCATTCCCCATGAGCCGCAGGTTATTTCCTACGTTTCGCCATCACCCTCCTTGTCAGCGTCTGCCTTGCTATCTTTTCCTCTAAACGCCCTCCAAATCCTTTGAGCTCTTTCAGCTGAGTCCGCCGCTGCTTGGACAGCTGCGTTGCCGAACGTGGCCCAGTCGGATGCAGCCCTGTCGACGCAGCCACAGCCCCACAGAAAGCAAGTATATCAGCCACCACCAGATCAGCTGATATTTGGGAAATAGGCTATTCACCTTTACAGAACACGCACTAACGAAACCGTTTGTACTTCTTTGTTCACGAATTGTGAAATATGAAGGAGCACCTGTGGAAGACCTCCGAGGTCGCACTTGAAAGCTTCGACAAAGTAGATGGCATCTGGCGGAGCGACTGAAGCGAAACCGAAACCCTGAAAGCAACGCACAAACCACTCTAAGAAAGAAACAGATAATACGACAGATCACTTCGCCTCACTTTTGAACAGAGTTAGTAGACACGAAAGCTGCAAACAGAGGTCCCACGATTGCAAAGGTCGGATTATTAAAATGGCCTCACGTATCTGAAGCGATCCGGCTAAGAGCATCTCTGTCGCTCAGCGTCGCTCTCAGAGTCTGTGCAACAGCCCGTGATACTCCAACAACCGCTGTGGGCACAAAAATGGCACCAGCACCAGGATCGAAAGTCTATCTTTCGCCCTGGCGAATGAAAGAGGGAGTTCATTAGTGCCGTCTGAGAGCTGCTGCTGTTGCCTTGCGCCTGCAGCGGCTGCAAGAGCCAGAAACGCACAAGGTAAGGCTTTGGAATCCGTGGATTGCGAGACAGGTTCGTCTTCGTCGATGTCGGAAAGCACGAGGACTGGGGCTGGTGGCGCTGCTGCTGCTGCGCTCTCCCCATCTGCTTGCGGCTCGTGATCTGATTCTCCAGCAGACTTCGTCAAACGCATGCGTTGAGGGGCTGCCCAGAGGCTACGGCATGCAATGAGCAGCGGCGGCGTTGGGTGCCACAGCATCTCCCCTGCAAGCAAGGGTGGAACAAACAAGAACGCTACAAGACTCGGCGGTACCTAAATCTGCAGACACAAGGGCTGAGTAAGGGCTGCATTATATTTATATATGTGTATTAAAGGCCGTTAATGTATGCATGCATATGCCTCGATCCTTCTCTGTTGTTTGATTCTGCATGCAATGCGCCAACTGCTCCAGCAACTTGCGTTCATTCCGTGCTGCCTTGCGCCTTACCGAAGCAGAGCTGGAGTTCATCGCCGTCTTCTCCTGAAGGCGGGTCCTCCTTCACCCTATGCATAACTGTAAACTCCCCCTCAATGGCTTTCGTTTCTATGCTGCTGCGTTCCGTCGGGGCGGATGAAGGCAAGAGAGCAGCAAACATGCTTGCGGGTTCTTCCTTCCCCTCGCCTTCATTCCAATCCCCAGGCGCCGCTTCTACCTCTACAGGAGCCACATTGTCTAATATGCGTAGCACATCATCGCCAGCCTCTGCCTGACCCCTCCTGAAGGCCGCAGAGCCGCCACTTGAACTGGCGGCACCAGTGTACTTTCTACTGGCAGGAGAAGCATCTGCGGAGTCTGAAGACTCGCTTTCATCTCCCGCCACCAATACAACTCGTGAAAACAGCGCTGCGTTGCGGCCAGAGTCAATCAGGCCAAGGCAACCCCAGTGCCTTCCGTGCATCCACCCGAAACCTCGGCAGCGCTGAAGCATCAGCCACACCGGCAAGTTGCTGGTGCTCGCATGGCCTTCATTACTGTCGCTCTCTGCCCCTCCATGTCCCATTATGGCCTCTATTAGTTGCGAACCAAGAGGCTTCCATAACTTCCATAACTTCCCCGTTAAATGGCCTCCTTATCGGCCGAAGGTGTTGCAGCCGCAATGTTAGATGAGGGCTGCAGCTCCAAGTTGTAACGCTGCTTGTATGTATTCAGTTATAGGCCTTGATGCTCCGCGTCATAATACCCTCTAGGGCTAAGAGTGGCACTTGAGGAACTCTCTTCTGGTGGTCACATGGACAAGTCCACCCGCTTACCTCAAGAAGTTGCCCGAAGATTGCAAATTCCCTCTCCCACTTATTTCCTCTTTACCATTTATATTAGTTAGCGGAGAATAATTGGTGTGAACAGAGGCTGTTTCAGGAAGGACCACAACCTACAAGTCAAGCCCCAACAAACAGGGGGGCCTCAGCGTGAGCAAAACCCTCACAAACGGTAGAGTTGGGTTTCAAGTTTTAATAACTCATCCACAACTGCAAAAGATCTGTATGAATTTGAGTGATGGGGGACTGTTAGTTCCAGGGCCAGTATTCCCCGCCCCTGCGGAGCCGCATTTTGCTGTTAAATTGTCTCATATCAGCAATGTCCGATCCTCCCTACAAGAGAGGCTCAGTATGAAGCAGCCAGTTCCGAGTAGCCAACCGCAGTTTGCTGAGTAAAGGCTCCGTAACATTGTTCTTCCTGTGTGCATTCCACACTAAGCTAAGAAGACCGTCCTGTTCATGGACTCTACTCCGCCGCGTGACGAGGCTCTCAGTCCAATTTGAAATAAGGTAAATGGCATGCTGTTTGTCTCACGTTCGGAAGCAGCCGTCGTCTCTCCAAGACATTTCGTGCGAGTTGCCTGATGCAGCTCTTTGGCCGCTAAATCCGTCTGGATCGGCCTTATGGTTTAGCATCTCGATGTTCTACCGCCTACGGAGTTGTGACTCAACCCTCCTCAATACACTAAAATAGGGGAAAGATGCCACGTGAAAAGCTCAGTGCTTCGTTCCCTTAGATGCAGTCAAGTCTACCGTGCCCCTCTGCCGCTGTGTCAGCGCTCGGCACACGACAACGGTCCCGTTAAACCAAACGATAGTAATGTGAAAAGACGGAAGTTCAGATGCGATCTAAATGAAAATGAACTTGCTCTGCGGAGGATGTCCAGCGAGCGGACTGAGCCACTGGAAGCGCTTCATCCTCAGCCCTTCCCCATCCACGCAGACACAACTGGGTTCCCTGCTTACCTCCAACGGCAGTGTTTCGATTCTGAAAACGAGAAGTCCCGTTTTGTTTCATTGTGCGGCGCCTCTCCCGCATGCTAGCACCCTGGCCCCTCCTCCGCCCCTGCTGGCGGGCCGTCTGGCGTGTTCACAGCTGCTTACAGGCCCCGTTGAACCAAAAAGACGAACTCCCCGCAGGCGCTGCCTGTGTCTGCGGGAAAGTCTAGAAAAACTGGCTCACGCAGCACTTCTGTGGGTGCTAAAAAGGACTAAAGCTGCAGTGACCACTTCATGTGCACTTGCAAAGGCAAGAGCGCCCATCGTGGCTTTCTCTATGGCCTGGCAAGCTACTCCAAGAACCACAAGACGCGGCTGTTGCGCTCGCGCTGGCGATTCTGGCTTCGCAGCTGCTGCCTCTCCACAAGGGAGTTCCCCGTCTGCCCCCACCAGAGCCGCTCGAGCTCTGCTGTGGCTACGGAGGGCACCCCGGGCCCCACTGTCACTGCCCCTGCGGAGCCATCTTCGTCTCCCTCAATGTCGTCTTGCACGCTAAAGACAGACGCTGCAGCAGCAAGCGCTACGGAGACCCCAGGCATTGGCTCCGCCGCGTTGGCCAGCGCAGCAGCAGCAGCAGCAGCGTACGTATCGGGCTGAATGTCGCTGCTGCAAGCCCGCACCGTAGCCAGCGTGGTGGATGCCTCCGCCGCGCTCGCAGCTGCTGCCTCCTGGCTGTGCAGCACAGAGCCCAGGCCCCAGAACTTGCACTTCGTGCTGACTCGCAGCGAGTTCTGCAGCCACAAATCTGCAGCCCTCAGCGCCTCGTCGGACTCGGCTGTCAGATCTGCTGCATGTGTCGCGTGCGCGGACATGTACAGCGACACGTCTTCTCTCGCTTCTCTCAATCTGAAAGACAAGCCGACGCAAAAAAGTGGAGAGAAAAATTAAGGGATAATCAAAATGTTGTGTAGCACAGCAGAAGCCACAGTTTGTTGCATGAACGGCGCAAATGCGCAAATGTGCTTCGCGCATGCAAACTGCATGCGTACACTTAGCGCTGCAGCAGCAACGCCGCCCTTCGCGAAACAAAATAACGGAAATAAAAGAATAACAAAAAAAGGATCAGGAAAATGCACTCACTGTGAGTGGAGGCAAGCGACAGCCTCTACGTAGCTTTCCCGTTCCTGCTGCAAGCCCTCAGCCAGCCGGATGAGCTGCTGCTGCTGCTCCACACTCTTCTGCAGCAAGTCGGGCCGAGGATATGTGCCCGAAGCAACGCAGGCGTGCAGCTGATGCAGCCAGTTGTAAGGTCCCTCCGCGCTGCTGCAGGTGCTGCTGGCAGGGACGCCGTTGGAGTCCGCGGGCTGCTGCCCGCTGCTGCTGCTGCTGCTGTTGTTGACCCACTGAGGCGACATGTCTTGTGTCCCCGCGGCTTCAAGTGGCGCCTGGTCTGCTGCTGCTGCTGAAGCCAGCTGCACTTGCATGCGCTCTTGACGCCGCGCATGCTCCGAATGCTGCAGCGCTTGAGTCAGTTGCTGCTGCCGGCACTCCAGATCCTGCACCCCACAATTCGCACTACACAGAACTAATTAATGATAGTCTGTTTTGGGTTTTATTGTTCAAAACTAATCACCACTAGGCCGCAGCAGCCGAGCGGAAACACAGAACATGCTGCCAGCTGCAGCAGCAGCAGCAGCTGCAGCAGCAGCAGCAGCTGCGGCAGCGCCGAGGGCACTGCAGCACAACTTTGAGAATTTCTTACCTTGAGCTCTTCCTTTGCTGCGCCAAACGCAGCCTTGTACAAATCCCGCTCGGCCAGCAGCTGCTGCAGCAGCTGCCGGAGATCTCCGCTGCCAGCTGCGGAGTCTGCAGAGGCGAGCGCGCTGATCAGCCCCCTCAGCTCGCCCCCAATGGAGGCGCTGCTGCAGCAGCTGCTGCCGCTGCTGCCGCGCTGCAGCTGCTGCACTGCAACACTCGATGTTGCGTCGGACGGTGGCTGCGCAGCGCAGGCCCTGCAGCCATCGTCGCTGCCGCCCCCATTAGACTGCTGCGTGCCTTGAGGCCTGTCGATGGCAGTGACGTGAAGTGCAAGGCCATTTTGCTCCTGCATGTGCGTCGGCTGCTGCTGCTGCTGCTGCTGCTGCTGCTGCTGCTGCTGCTGCTGCTGCTGCTCATTGTTTTCCGGCGCCGTGTCGTCTGAGCTCGGGGTGGTGAGCCGTTCGGGCTCCTCCGTGAAGTGCACTGGAGACTGCGCCTCCCGCTGCAGCTTCTGCTGCTGCTCTTGCTGCTGCTGCTGCGAGCTGAAGGGCACAGACCCCTCGGAGCCCGAAACGCAGGTGGAAGCAGCCACGTCTACTGCGGACTCCCACGGGGAGTGGAGGCGCGGGGGCTTTTCCCTCGCAGCAGCAGCAGCTTCCGCAGCTTCCACTGCAGGAGATATTGCGGGCAAGACTGCAGTCCCCGAGGGGAGAGCCACTTCGTGCACTGGCCCATTCATCCTGGCCTGCAGCGCCCAGAAGTGGCCTGCCGATGCAGCGGTAGCTAGACGCGGCGCTTTCGCTGAGGTGTCGAAGAGCAAAAGAAGAGGCTTTTAGTGACACATCTGGCGCTGCTGAAAGTCCAGGAGCAGTCTAAACCAATACAATCTCCGTGTAGTGTGAAAGAACCGGCGAAGAGCCGTCGCACCCGAAACATGCGCTGCTGCTACAATTACCCTCTTGGGACGCGAAAGCTGAAGCCCCTTCAGGTTCAAGCTTACGCAGAAGGAAGCAAAAAATAGTCGGCAAGGCTACAATTCAACAGCCAATGCGCCAGCCACTGCAGTACCCTTCTGCATGTGGCGGAGGACCAGCTGTTGGTCTTGGGCGAGGGACGGTGGGTTTTCGCTTGTGAGCTGAATTTAAAGGGTCTACGAAAATGGAATCTGCCGAAGATAACAGTTTTTATGCGCACGAATGCGCACGCCCGAGGTTTCACCCGAGGGAGGAGCACTGCGGTGCAGACAGGCGCTGTCGACTTGAGGCCTCAGGCCGAAGGTAGGTGTAGTGACCTCCTCTCAAAATGAAACAATAGTTCTAACATCACAGACTACAGAAGAGTATATTGTTTCACTTTGGCGTTGCTACCAGACGCATTAGGTCGCTTGTTCGCCGTTCGCTGCAAACTTGAACTGGCCAGCACTGGACACGGCGACTTGAAAGAGCTGTGGTCTACTTAGCACTTCGCACCCGCGACATAAGCGTCCGGATGCCATCATCTTGTGACATTATTCTCTCAGATTGTCGGTTTTTCACTGCTACCAGAAACATGTGCATATTTCCCAGTGTCACTGCTCCGCAGTGCGCAGTTTTCGATACTGTTGGTGAGTCGCTGCGTTGGGGGAAGCCAACTCTACGCAGCCTCAAATAGTAAGCTCGCAGTCAAAGGATTCTGGCTATTCCTATTATGTCACTTTCAAAAGTCTGGCTAGTAACCAGCCTTTTTTCAAGGCAACCTTACCACTTGAGGCTGTGTAGAGTCTGCTTGCTCTAGCAAAAGTGGACGTCCAACTTTCGTCATCCAGGTTGAGATCTGAAGCTCAGTTAAATAATTGCAATATTTACTAGTATGTGACTTGTCTCATCAGTCTGTAGACAGCGCCACTACCTAATGGAGAGGCTGCTTGGACGCCTTCTGGCCTCGCCATGGTACTGCATGTCTCAGCCAACTTAAAAACTTCTGTTTTGCAAAGCCTTATTTTCGCATTTTCTGACTTTCGAAATACGTGCGAGATTTTGAAAAACAACGCGGACTAGGCCGTTTACTCGTCTGCTGCTCTGCATCTTCTGAACGGACTTGTCCGGAGCGAACTAGAATCAAACTTTCGAACAAAGCTTGCACAGAACTTGTGCGAGATATTAAAGAATCGACCATATTCGTGGCTGAGCTGGTTTGCGGAAGGAACTGAGTTTTGAAGCAGTTGAGAAAATCCAGCCTTCCTGAATTCTCGAATTAGCAATCTGCCCGCATGCTCGCTCAACCAAATGTGCAATTGGGTAGAAGCATCTGCCGGCCTAGTACTTGCCTTATGCACCGATTCTTTTCTTTAGGTTTTGCTCCCACGAGTCCAGTGAACCGTCCTGCTCTATAGGCTTGCTTTCCGGGCTTTCTGGATACCTTTTCGCTGCCATCTCTTTTCCTGGCGAAGAGAACGTTACTAAATCACTATTCGGGCACTAGAGGAAGGCCATTCTCGACTTAGCTGCTTTCCAGAAACAAACTGTCAAGTCGATGTTGTATTCCAGCTTTGGCCCAAGTCTCGGTAAGTGCTCTTGTCAAATTGCGAGAGCTATGCTACTACTATTACCGGGGAAAAAGTCAAATACCATGGCAACAGAATGCGCCATGTTGAGTGGCGGGAAAACGAGGGCAACAGCCACCATCTGCTTGACTACCAGTTGGATACATAACTCGTTGCTCTTGAAGCAACAGCTACACGAAAGCGTGCATATAGGGAGTAGCGCTGCACAGGAAACTTACGGGTATTCATACCCTATCGCCTATGGAAACAAAAAAATGCATACAAAGATTCCGTAATATCGCAGAAGCATTATGTGCTGCGGAGTACTGGCCGGGGAACTAGGGAGAATTCAATCAGCGACACATTGATCAGGCTTCATACATATGCCTTGTCGCAGTTGCTGGAATAAACGGTGCAGATTCGCGAGATGTGGCACGTTACCACACTCCCAAAAAGCTGTCTAATTTAGGCAGTGCACCAGCATGGTGTTTAAGCAGAGGCAAACCCGTCGTGCACTGCTAGTGTATATTTGTGTTGCTGCACAATGGTGTTTGCTGGAAGTAAAACAAATGCAAATACCTTGTCTGCAAAAGAGCACCAGATGTCTGGACTTCAAACGGCTTGCCGCGTCTTGCAGGCAAATCTTCCCTTGAAAAAGTAGAAGAGGCGTGCATATTCGTGTGGACGAAGCGTTTTACGTGGTCATGTAGGGCTTGCGATGTGAAAAAATGTTCGCCTCTTGGCAGCAATCCCCTACGATGAAAGTGCCAGTGGCGGCCTCCTTAATGCAAGCTGAAGACCGTCAAGAAATGCCCACCTCAGAATTTCTTGTCAGCTCATGCAGTGCTCATTTGATTTGGCCAAAACACTAAAATTCTTGGCCAATCGAAAGGCTTGGGTCTGGGCACAGAAATGAGTGCTTGGCAGCACTTTATTGCTTGCATTGATCCTTTAAAATGCCATCCCTTTAGTGCAGCACGAAGTAGAAAGACGGCGACAACTCCCTGCATCCATGGTTTCAGTAGGCGTACTGCTCGACGTATGCTTTACAGTAGTCTTCTAGTTACGGCGCTGCAACACGAGGGCCGTCAGGTACTAAAACAGATTAGCGCTCCGCTGGTAGGCTCGCGCGTAGCCTTCGTCGGAGCCATTGGCATAGCTTCTAACCTGAAGCTAATCCACGCGCCATTAATTTGCGTATCCTCTATTTCTGGAGGAGGAGTGAGGCCTTGTGCCATTTGGCTGTTGGGAACGGTTCTTGGTGGCAGTTCCGGGCTTTGCCGACACAGCAACTGGAAGAGGGCCTTCCTCCGACTGCATTACCCGCACAAAACTCGCAGCATTCACTCACTCTAGAAATCCGCAATGCTTCAATCCGGGAGCTAAGCAAGTTCATCACTACATGGCTCACATGTTTCGAAGATGTGACGGAGGCGCTGAACTTTGACTTTGCTCCACGGCGGCAACAGAAGATGAATAAGCCAACCGCGGCTACGACGACGACTAAGATCGCCAATGCAGCTACAATAACTAAACGTAGGCAGAGAACAGACAACCGCTGATATTTAAAACTTCCGCCAAGCATGGAGCAAAACGAGGACGGTTGTCCAACTTGTTTTGGTGAGTGGCTAGTGAATTGATTGAAACGCAGAGGCGGAAGTAGAAGGACGACAACAGCATTTTAGATGGCTACACAAAACTACATGAAGAGTAGAAAGTAAGCTGCTGAGAATCCCCGTGGCCTTTCACCATATGAGACCGTACTCAATACTGGAGGGAACTTCGATGCTGGTGCCGAGTCGCCTGAATCGTCTTCGAAGACAAAGGAAGCTGCTGAAAAAAAAAACACAACAGCTTGTTGCACTTGAAGCAGCTACATTGCATTCTCCGCTATGTTAATGTACCGAGCAAGCGGGGAATCTGCCGAACTATTTGTGTCTACTGTATGACAACATCAAAGGCATCAAGAGCACTTCTAAAGCATTCACCTTTTGGAGGTTCTTGAGTGCGCACATCTGGATCTATCATTACACGGCGCACGACGGTTCTGGGGATGGAAGTAGTGGTACTCGTGGTCAAGGCGGGAAGCAGCAGAGGCCTTCCTGCTCAAATGACACAGGGAGGCAGATTTGCTCTCCCTAGCCCCATATAAACATATACTGACCATTAAGGTACTACACCAAATATTTTTGGATATTTCAAACAGTGTAACAGCCGCTCCTCAGTATTCTCAACAGCCGTCACCTTAGAAAGACAGGCGCGGCAGTGAGCCCCGCAACTGTGATATTGAATTCCTCTAAAGATTATGGACCCCACAGCTTTTCTGCGAGGACCAAACAAGTAGGAACTTGCCTGTGTTGGGAGTACGAATAAACCCAAAATCCGGAGCTATCTCTGGAAGCATTTGGCTGACTTTGCCACTCTCTACCGCTGATAGCCACCTCTTCAAGTGCTCAGCGTGCACTTGCTTATCTGGAGTGGCAGCCCTGCAGGAAAGCAACGACAGCATGCGATATAAGCTAGTAGAAGAGGATCTGCTGATAGTTGTAGCTCACTGTTAATAGGCATGGGCATGTAAAAATGCACGCATGCATAAAGTAATGTATACATCACTACAGTCAGCGCTTAGCAAGGCGTACTGGCATCTCCATTAAGCAACAGAGAAACTCAAATGGTCTGCTTTGCAAGTGCTGTATTACGTCAGTTGAATTATTGTTCCATCAGATGCTGTGGAAAGCTTGGCCACCTGGAGAGCCCTGGGATTTCGCACTTCAAAAATTGATGCGACTGTATTACGTAGCTTCAACAGTCGGTCTTCAAATTCCGATGAGTTCTGCACCATTGCCGACCCAGCAAGAAACAAATCAAGCATCTCACAACGGGAAGTGCTTCTCCTGTGCAGCGTATACGGAGGGTTGGGCTGCTGCCATTTGGACGTGCCACAATAGAAGAGACAACACCGACAGGTTGGCTGCAGAATGGTTCGACATGCCTTTCCATTCAGAGTATGCTTCCTGCAAAGACTCACATCCTTCAGCGATTTCACCCACTCAAAATCACGAAGTTTCAGCCAGAGCTCTGCGTCATGCCTCCAGTCCGCATCAACTCCTGAGAGCATAAACCAAAGATCTATCTGAGCCGCCGCACGCGAGCCAGTATTCACCGAATAACAGGGTAGGCTGGTCAAACGATCTATGGTATGTAACTGGGCAAATTATGGGAATTTACTAACCTGGCCTCTGCCACACTGCCATTAGGTCACTCAACGAGCTCGACGGTATCCCGTCAGCCACTCCTACCAGACCAAATGAGAAAGGCTCGAGGAGAACCTGCATCGCATACCACATAAATGCAACTTCGGAGACCTGGGGCGCCCCTTTTTGCTAATATTGTGAGGCTGGCCAAAGACCGGCTGATGTAGGATAATTGCGAAAGCCTGGTTGTTCATGCTATGTACCTTTCTACTCCCAAAGCGCCACTCGCCGAACGCATCACTAGACTGCTTGAACATTTCCCTCATGTGTCCCAATAGATCGTAAGAGGGGATTCCGCGGATCCTGAAGCATATTCGCATGCAAGCTACTCAATAGAGTTCCGCGTTTCTCCCCGCCCAGCCTTCTTCTCTTCTGGCATTTTGTCCCCAGGAGATGAGCTGCAGCAACTTGACCCAGTGTTTACACCCTTATTCGTTGTTCTGAAAACTGTGATTAACCCTCTCCCGCGTAAAAACTATGAAGCGCATTTTCTGGTTGGCCCCATCGTGTCAGAGTCACCCACGTGAAGGTCCACACTGCGCATGCAGTTGCCTCGCGCTCATCTGGCCTCAACTGCAAGGGAACAACTCTGCTTGGCTCTACTCCGAAGGCAGCTGCCACGCGGTCAATCGCTTCTCGAAGAAGAGTTTGCGCTTCATAGTAGTGCTGAAGAGGATGCGCCACACAGCAGCTGTGAACAGCTCAGTGCACACGCGAGCTAAGGTGCTGGCCTCATTAAGCATGCTGCAGCAGTGGATAGGAAACAAGTAATTGTCGTGACGGCTAATTTGCATGTCCCACAACAGCAATGTCGGTCAGTGAAACATTGAGCATTTTGACTCCCAACGCTGAGTCCACGCCCTCCAACCTCCTGGGGTCAGATCTGGGAGCCAGAAGTCCATGCTCGTGACCCTTCCACACGCGGTCATAATTGCTGGAGCCCTGCATTTTTGGTTACTTCTTGCCATAGAATTGCGTCGCCTTGCAGGCAGTGTCCATAGGCCTACGATGCTGTAGTGCCATTGAGGTGTTAACCTCGAAAGGCACTGCTGAGAGGCTAATTGCTTCTTTTCAGCGCAATAAAACTATAAAACCGCCGTCTCCTTGTGCTGCTCTGGTACAACCGAGAGCTGTTGTGAAATCAGGGAGAAAGAGACGCCTTCGAGACACTCACTAGTGGAGTTGAAAACCTGCCGCTCAATCCCCTAAGTTTAATCTAATTTGAAAAGAATCGCTAGCCGATTCTTACAAGGCCTCAACTGGTCCCAAACTTCAGGGATCAAGACGAGCCGGCTGCGAGACGCAGCCGAGACGTGACCCAGCTTGAACTCCAGCCGTGGTCCTCACACACTAGAGTAAACTGTAGGTATACGTGTAAAAACTTATAAAAGCAAAACAGATTAATGAACAAAATTTTAGTTTCATTACCCTATACGGCAGGTGCTTCGCGCCAGCCGCAGCATTGGACCGCTCGCGTCAAACGCCGCATTGCCGCCTTACAGACAGCGCATATGAGATATCAGCGTGTTTTCTACTGTGAAAACACACACGTTAAATATATGTGATACGTAAAATGACCTCATATTCCAACACATCGAGTTCTCCAGTCATGGACATGAACTATCCCTCGTGGACGTGAGGTGTAAGACGAAGAGAAAAGAGGAAGTTTTGTAACGAATGATCAGAAAGCTGCTGCCGTCTGTCATTCCTAAAATTTCCATCTTATTGGTTACGAAACTAATAAAGACTGAAGCAACTAGAGAGTGAGACGGTGTGGAAGTCCACCCGGAGTCTCAGGCGTGCAGTGACACTGGCACAGCAGGGAGTACCCTATGGGCATGAAAACAAAAAAAAATAGTTAGAATGCCCCAAAGTCAAAATCGGCTTACTGTATTGTTGTTTACGCTTATTGAAAAAGTGAACCATAGCCCTCCGGTCATGCATGCCAACGTCGATTGCTGGCGAGCCAGGGCCGAGTAGCTGCGACCTGCCGCCCGCTGCTGATTTATGCCCGGCTTTATGTTGCAGTAGGACGAGAACAGTGGATTTTTACAGAATGGCTTTATAAACTTCATTGCTCCTTTGTTTTCCTTCTGCGTCCGTTGTACTGTTCTGCTGAGGCTCAACTCGGCAAACTGAGCCCCGACTCGAGCTGCTTTATCTTACTCCTCACGAGGCTGCACCTCCACTGAGTGACTTTCTCCTTCTGTCTTCTCTCTGCAAAGGGGAAACTTCCTTAAATATTACGAAAAGACCTTATTCCTAAGCTTTTGGACAACTGCTGCGAGTTCCCGCCGGTATTCCTTCGAGGACTCTGCGCAATGAGGTCCACTAATATGTTCCCGTGCACACCACCGAATCGTACATAGGCTAGGACTACATGAAGAGTGGCTGCACACCACAAGTCCCAAGGAGGCACAGCACGCAGCTGCAGCAGCAATACTGCGTTTCAGCACCATGGACTCAAGCTCGCCTAGTTCGCCGCAGCCACCCCAGGGCTCGCCACCTCCATCGCAGCCCACGGCGAACGAAGGAGCGACTGAGGGAGCACCAAAGAGAGCCAGCAGTATAAGAAAAAGTAACGATGGAGGGGTGATCGAGCGGCGCCCCCCAGAGCAAATTGTCGTGGGGGAGATACGACAGAATTTAGACGATCTGAAGTCCGCGATCCTCAGTTACTACAGCCGTCTCTATTCGCAGCCTGGCCGATCTATTGAGGAAAGGCTTGACAGGCTAGCCGCACCACCGTTTTCAAATACAGTGAAAACGGGACGCCTCCCGCCCGCCAATAAGGCCAGCAGTCGTCCAAAGAGGCAGTCAAGCTTCGCAGTTCCCCCACCCAACACGTGTTTTGACTTCCTTGCAGAGGAGCAAAGAGGTTAGTTTTGCACTACACAGCGAGATAGGCGCTGTACATTCAACTTACAGTAGGTAGCTCGCACTCAGACCAACTGAGCTCTTACTCAAACTAGCTTTCCGAATATCTACTGAGCCGCGCTGCCTTTCTCGTAGGCATTGTGAGTGAAGTCGTTGTTGCGAATTGTGTTGGCAGAGGGAACAGTCACTGGTCAAACTGATTTACAGAGAGATCCCAACTTGCAAAAACGCTTCTACGGGATTTCGCAGCTTCCGGGGGATAAACCCAGTTCAGGGATGAGAGGTCATTCTAACCTTCTAGGCCGTCAGCTAGGCGAGGCTCGTGGTGGCCAGATTAACGAGCTACTAGAAGATCTGCGCTCCAAGTGCACAGCGGCCTCCGCAAGGCTGAACACTTTAGCGGACCAGCTCGAGCGAGAGGTCGAGGACCCGGACCTGCGTGAATGGGAGTACACGACGTACCCAGAGGTATGTTCGTAAGCAGTTGGAGCTTCACATTCTGCTGCTGTTGCTCGCAGTTCTTCGCTGCAAGTTCTGAGGGCTCATTTTCTCAACCCTTTTCACTACCCGGACGTTTTCCTCTTACGAGTTGCGGGAGTTATGGGTACCTTTTATTGTATTGCCAAGTGCACCAAGTAAACTTTCTAGAACTGAGCTGTTTCTTGTTGCAGGTTCGACGGCAGCCATACCTGGGACGTGACCCTGAGCTGCGACGGCACTTATTGGCTATATATAGGGACCTTTGCCACCAGTCGCGGACGAACCAGTTACGAATTAATGCAATCAAGAGCAAACTCAAAGTTTTGAGTCTTCACACCCAGTCAGATATGATCAAGCTGAAGTCAGACCCGCGCGTCGCATTCTGACAGGCATGTGTACAAGGCATAGCCTTGTTAGCGGTACAGCGTACAGCGGACACGCCTAGCAATTGGAGAGGATCCAAATTGCACAGTCAGCTCTGCTTTGGCTGATGGCAAACCATGACATGCCAACACCACAAAGCTCCAGTAGAGCATCGGCGTTTCTAGTCAGTCACCTTGCATCGCTGCTCCGCTCCGTTCAACTTGCTTTTTTTTGTAGTGGTGGACGACAGTGTCCGTTTGGCACCCAAAACTAGCTGAAAATTATAGTTTGTGAACTTCGGCTCGCACAACTTATCTGCGGAAGGCTTTACCGACGTGACTGGCGCCGCTGTATAGTAGACTGTGTTGCAGGCACAATTGAGTAGACAGAGGCTCCAAGAGTAATACAGCATCTGGGATGGGATAGAATAAAACTCTTGTGCTTTGATGCTTGACGGCGCTTTTTCTTTATTGAGGGGTCTACAGCAGCGTGCCTTTGAGCAAGAAACTCGCGAAGGCTAAGACAGCGCGGTTCAACATGCAGACTGAGGTGGGGGTTCGGCGTTCGTCGATTTTGAAAAGATTTGAACAACTTAGTAGCTACAATAAATGCGAGATATACAGTGGTGTTGCAGAAAACAGTACTACACAGCTATTCGCGAGGACAGGCGTCAAGGAGAATCAAGGTCAAAGGATTCGAACTCGAACTCGACATGAACCAGGTAGCGGATCTTGACTTGGCGCTGCAGCATTCCCCCAATACACGCCCGCAAACAGCGAGATCCTCGTTTTTTAATATCACGGGAAGCAACGTACTTGAGGTCAAGTACCAAGGGACGGACGGGCTGGCGAACGGTGCCGCCACTCACCGGATCGTAAACAATATATTCATTGTACATCAGTGCCGCCTCAGGCTTTCCGGGTATCTCTTCCCTCAGCTGAATAACTCGCAGTCATAGATGCTAACGCAGCTACAAACTAGCTATAGGCGAGGGGAAAACGCTGTGCAGTGGATATGCAGTGTTTTGGAGGCGTCACCGTAAGTGGCTCGCGCATGCAGGCTCCTGTTTTGCTATACTTCACGAGACGGAAGTCAACAAAAGTGGTCACGCCAAGCTGCAACCGATGTGTGCATCGCACAATTAAAAATTTTCGGCATTTGTAGCTCACCTGATCTATAGTTTTTGAATTATTCCAGCTCTTTCCCCCGCAAACGCGCACAGGTTTCTCATCAACTACCGAAGGGATCTCGAAATCAGATTTGGGATTCGGGCACATGCGGCCAATGCCTTGTGCGCTGTCTTGTCCTGCAATGCCAAACAACCAACGCCGACAGCGCGGCTGCGTACAGAAGCAACTGAAAAGCAAAGAAGGCGCCAGCTAGTTAATGGCATGCTCACCATCCTTCTTGCATTTTTTTGCTGCCTCGTAGTCTGCCTGGAGGAATCGGCGCTGCTTTCCCAGAGCAACCTCACAAAGAACGAGGAGGCCATGTGGTTGAGCCGAAGATGCGTAACAGTACTGCGATGACTTGCTGACCTGCATCACAGTGCTGGGAGCAAACCCGAAGTGCTGCGCCGCTGGATTTCTCACTTTGCCACCGAGAGCACTCAAGCGAGCCGATGAACTTCGGCCAAGCAAACTGCCTTCTCCGAAAATTTAGTCGTGGCCAAAAATAAGTACATTTGCCTTTCTTTGTCTGTTTACGCCTGCTTTTGCATGTCTTTACTGATTATTCTTTCTTCCCCCCAGCACTCATACGGTGACAAAATGCTGCATCTTAACTCCACTGAGTAAGACAGACCATTCGTCGGTGTCTCACCATGTCTGCGAAGTAGATTCCCTTGTCAAACATGTATCCAGATGACGGCGCCTCCGGAGGAGCAATTTGAAGACCCTTTGCAAGAATACTTGGCCAGTTCGTCTGAAAGGTTTCAAGCCCAAGACAGGTTGTTGGTGTACGCAGCCCGTAAAGTCTCATGCCAGTATCAGACGTTGTCAGACCAAGTAATCAGCATGTTTCGGACTCCAGGAGCAAGCTATTCGTTTGTAGTTTTGCTAATGAGCACGCTAGTATGATGCACGCGCAAGTACCACCTGCAGTACTGCGGAGATCCGTCGCTTACCAACCGAGAGCCGTGCCATAAAAGCATGCGATTATCCATTTCTTTGTTAAAGCGTTGCGCTTCTCCTTGGCGATCACACTTGAAAACACTCTTTACCTTAAGCTTCCAGGTGTTGTGGGTCGGCGCATGCGTGTTTGAGATGAGGCGTTCCACCAACTTTCTCTCCTCGTCGGATTCACTTACTGGCTGAAGCAGTACATCAGCACAAGCTAATGAGCGCCAAAATGCACTTCGCGAACGCGCTTGTTCACGCCTTAATTGTGCTCCAGAAATACTGAAAATTGCTGTCATGCATCAACTTTGCGTGATGCGGTTTCCGGGTCCCATAAGGCAAAATAATTGGTCCTTGGCAGTAATCTAACCCAAACAACAGTCAAGTACCTCGAGCTTGCAGCGCAGCTGTTCATACTGGGCATCTAGTGGATGTTTGTCTTTGGCGTTCAGCAATGCATCCGTCAATAAGGATTGCGCAACCGATACCTATGAAACAATACGGCAGTCAAGCTAATAGCATTCCCGGCATCTCACAGCAAACCTTGCACGGAAGGAAATCTGAGTGTGGAAATAATTTAAAGGCTTTGCTTCTTCTTGCTTAGTGCGGCCTGAAGCTTTGTGTGTTGCATCTGTGCTTGTGCCACACCTCTAAGAGCTGCTCCATCATCTCAATCTTAGCCCTCAACTTCGCAAATGAGTCGAGAACCGGAGGCTTTTCGGAGACGGCAAACTGCAGGATATTTGAACATAATTGCAAGGGCGACCCATAGCTGAAGAGTAGAACGGTGGCTTCCTGTAGCTCTCGCAGCTCTCAGAAAGGTAACATGACGAATGCAGCTTCACGCACTACGCAGTGCAGCACAACCATGATATCACTCCCTCCCCATGGTGCTACTAAGCATAGCTAGAACTTACGACATGTGGTATTTTGATGTAAAACCGGTTCGTAGCATCAGCGAGCCGAGTCCTGGTTGCAGGGAATAGGAAGCCTCATTCTTTTTATTCATATAATATCGTTCAAGAATCTCAGATTGCACTGAACTTCACCATTGTTCACTTGGCAAAGACAACAAGCCAGTCAGCTCACTGGTGTTTTAGGGTGTTTGTCTGCGCTGGATCCTCGCGAAGGAGGTTTTGGATTTCCTGTGCGCAGACAGCAAAGACGCCGAACAACTTATGCTCGCGTAAAAGCAGTTCACCCCAAATGCACTGCGTCACAAAACTTTCACTAGATTGAAGCCTGTGTACATTACCTGGAGCACGGCATAGCCTTCTTGCAGCTGCCGTTTTGAAATAGAATCAATTGGAAGCTTTTTAAGGTTTAGGTGCTGCTCAGAAAGTAACTTCTCCGTCAATTTTCCTGTAGGGCCACAGGACCAAAACTGTGTGTCCCAGAAGACTGATGATGCCGCACTACCAAGGTGAATACTACGGAACAACCATGCACCGTGGACTTCTTCAAACAATGGCCCCGCAATCAACTCATTAAGAGGGACTTACGATCGAAAATCAATTCAACGATGGCCTTCACTGCTGGAGGCAGAGTGCATTCATCTACAGTACTGCTGGCGCTGCACCAGATATACAGGAGGCACACGTTGAGCGAGCTCTTAGCTGTTTGTCTTCCCCTTTAGTAGTTTGCGGAGGTGATGCACTAGCCTAAGCGCGTTGGCAGGAAGAGTGCATAGCCCTCTTGTGTGTTTATATACCTGGCAGCTTCAAGCTTGGGCCGTTTCAAAGGTGGTTCCTTGGCGTTCTTTTGTGTCTCATCACCCATTTGGTAGCCTGCTAGCTCCACGAAACCGTACCTGCGAAAGCATTACGGATTGCTAAGCAGTTTACATGCCTCAGTGCCTGGGGCTCGACATGGAAACAAGCTGTGAGTTTTCATATAAACAACGCTGATTGTATGGAAGGACAAACAGTACCTTCCGGGTTGCTGGACAAAGCTGAAACGATCATTCCAGTGGGTGCCTGTCAACCCCAAGAACTTTGCCTCGAATGCCTCTGCGAGCGGTGGTAGAGAACAAACGAACTCAACGCTTTCTATCGTTGCCAGCACGCAAGGCAACACATGAATTTCGCCTGGCGCATGCGGCAGGAAATGTGCTAAGGTACTGGCTTACCCACTGCAGCACCCACGTCTTGCCCAAATGATTGTTGTCTGAAGCCCAAATTTAAGGCACATCAACGGTGCAGCTGTAAACTAACCAAGTGTGTAAATTCCAATACCTGCAACATCTCTAGGGCTTATAAGCAAGTAACTCTGAATATACAGGCTAGATGGACTGTGTTCTGAACCAGTTTTACACTTCTTTTCTTACTTATAGTCGTTAGTTAATTTATCGTCCGCCCCCAGGCGACCCCACTTCGTGAAGAAATGAAATGTCTTGTTAGTTTGGACGATCTGCATGGAATAGTACTTATTGATCCCTGAATCGTTCAGAAAGGAGAAGAAACGACTTTCCTCTCGTCAAGGAGTACGCATAATGAGGTAAGGCAAGCACCAACAGCGGGGCGATCGCTGACCAGTGCTAATATCAGTATACTGCGTGGTGCAGTTGAAAGCATTTCCATAACTGTCCACGTAAATTCGACCTCTTTTGTTGCTAAACAAAGGATCCACCTACCACATCCAGTTCACACGGACAGTTCAAAAAGGAGCCCTCAGAACAGCACTACAGGCAACATTTAAACAGCAGGCACTACCAGCATATAGTGTCTTGATGCCCTGCATGGAGCGACTAAAAGCTCGACGAATCTTTTTGACTTATGGGCCTTATACAAAACTGCCTGGAAATCAAGCTTAAGCTGGCAGTACCTCCAAGAGAGGAGACTTCTTCGCGATCGGCGGCCGCTGCGTTTGAGGCTTTTCTTTGGCTTGTGCCTCGCTGAGCTGCTTGAGAGATTCCGCCGCATCTGGCAGTTCATGTGTTAGCTTGCCCTCGACAAGATAATACTGCGCGTACTTTTTCTTTCGGAGCAGTAGACCCTATATGCAAACACTCATAGAGCCGAACCATCAGCCCACCATAACTGACGCAAATCTAGTGCGCACTGGCATGCACAAAGGCAGCTCAGTGAAATGGCAAAGCTAACCGTTGGCCGAGGGTCCGGGCCGTCACTTGACCCCTTCCATTTGCGGCACATTGCCAGCTTAGACTTCGGCTCCGAATTTTCTCGCTTAAGTAGAGCGCTTATGAAGTCACTCTGCGCCACAGAAGTGATTCACAGCTGCATGCAGATTGACAAATTATATATACTTGAGATTCTTGATATACCCTGTTGGTGCGATGGCTGTGGTGGGTATTTTAGTGGAATATGACACATCAAAAGGGGGGCATACGGCTTCTGCTCTAGCGTTGACAATTTTACACATTATAGTCCCGTGAAAAATACGGGCAAGATGCGACGTTGACGAGTGGGGACTAAATATTCACCAAGGTATTTCTACACGTGAGTTGTGGCGCAAGAGTGGATCTGCCCCACACCCATTAGAGACGTCCCACCAATAGGACATGACAACGTTTTCACGACACAACAATACGCATCCCAGTAAGAGAGTAGCAGCAATATGCTTGAACAAAACTCCGGACTAACAGAAGAAAATTCAAGCAACTCACATGCACAATGGGTACACCAGCAGCTTTTGCATCGCGATACTTCTTCGTAAACTCGTGGCTGTCGCCGTCCCCTACAAGCAGAAAGGTTGTGCGACCTTCGAGCTGCTCACTGGCAGAACACAGCAGACCACAGAAAAGGACTCGTCTGAAGTGCGAAAGCAGTGCAGAGACTTGTATAAGCACCGAGTCGAACAAGTCATGGTGCTCCACCATCGTAGAGCATGTCGTGAATCATTGTTTGCGTGAGCTCGAGCTTCGAAAGAACATCCCCAAACCCCCAAAATCCCACAACACCAAAATAGCGACCCCGAATCATTGAAGTCCACTGAGCAGCAAAATAAAAGGAGCAGGCTGCGAAGTGGAGGTGCACCTACGTGTACTCTCCAGCATGCTTCTCGATCAAAAGTTGCAGTTCCACTCTGCAAAAAAGGCCGGGAAGATAGCGGAATGTATGCGTAGGCGAAAACTGTCACTGACTCAACAACACTGGAGTGGTAAAATAGTATACAAGTTTAAACTGAATTTCTAAGGAGCAAAATTGGCGGTCACTACTTGTGCGTATACAAATTTTCAGTGCATTCTCACTTGGGAGGGTCTGTGGCTCCGACTGAGGTGAAACTCAACCCCACCAATTCCTTGCCAACAGGAATAGCTTCTGGCTCGCTCGATTCCTTCTCAGCCGTTGAACTGCATGCGAAATGAGCCCGCATTCAAGTACTGACAGACATCATCATCGCAGCTCGACATCAATGATCAACGGGGAAAAGCAGCTTCGTAAGGTTTGTACTACCCCTCCTAGGAGGGGTGTTCACTGGGGAGTTTCAAGGCCTTCCAGTGCCTTATTAAGTCCTACGGCTTGGGGGAAGGCGCGTCTGCGGCACACCCAGCAACCGCAGGCGGAAAGAAGCGGGAGATTTAGCGCTGTCTTGCAAAGTCTTCTCTGTGCTAACTGTCTACAGCCTTTAATTGCCGGGAGGTAGCGCCTAGGCTCACCTAGTGGATTGCCTAGTTCCATGCAGCCTTCGACACCTTGTGGACACTTCCACTTCTTAAACACTGGGATTCGCTTTGCTTCGTCCTGATGGCCAAGCAGGTACATTGTTCGTAGGTTAGAGTTCGGAGACTGTGAGTAAGCTTTCTATTCTTATGAGGACGCTCCCCAATAAGCAACGATTGAACTCAAGGGACGTGCATAGCAGACGCACTGGCAACACAAATATCTCCGTTCGCTTAAGGTCATCGACGGAAACGCCTGTGGCAGAGTTGTCAAAGGCTTCATTCGGCCTCAGGATATCCGACAATATGAACGAGAAGACGCATTTGGTGCTCGCCGATACGTAGCCGTTGCAGCGAATTTCGCCCCCATACTGCGGTAAACGAGCAGTCGCTCTTGTTTGCGTGAAGTTCGCTTCAGGTGCTCACAACATACGAGAAGTCTTGCAAATCTTGCGCACGCAGTTGCTTACTTGAACCAATGAAGTGTTTCCACAGATCGGGCAAGGGGGAAGCTTCCCAAAAATAAATCCGTCAGCTACGATATGCGCAGCCTCACCAACCTGGAAATGATTCACGCAAGAGACCTAACCCGCATGTTGCGCCTTGAGCTACAACTATAGCGAGCTCTCCAGAAAAGCGCACGCGTGAACGTCAGGGCTCACCGAGATTTTTTTTTCGTTGTAGGGAATCCCATTTGCGTCGAGAATGGGGAGAAGCTGTTTTTTGGGAATTTCCTGTACACACAGAAAGCAGGAGTTGAGAAGGTCTAGGTAATAACGCTGCTCGGCGGCTACTGGGAAACATGCAGCCAGTCGCGCCGCAAGAGCTCTATTTACAAGCCTCGGAAGTAAGATCCAACTCAACCAAGAGTACTTACCATAAGCATTGACTTCAGACTCCAGATCGCATCGCTGCGCCTTTTTACGGCCTGCACAGCAGGACTGTAGGAACCGCAAACAAACAGCAGAAGTCTCCATATTGTGCACAAGTGCACGAGCACATGCACGTACGCTGTGTTCCATATTGTGCGCAAGTGCACGAGCACACGCATGTAAAATTGATAGGCCATGATGCTCATCTATCAGCTCTTTTTAGTTGGTAATGTGGGGCGCCTAAATCAGAACAACTTTGCATGAGTGAACTACGGTGAGCCCAAATTCCGAACAATGACTTACTGGCCTTCGTCGATTTTTGCATCAAAGCTCTTCGCAACTTTGAGAATGTCACTCCACCGCAAGGCCTGCCACACTGTTGCATCGCCCAGGCAAAAAGGAGACTGCATGTGACTGTTGTGTGCGTTAATAAACTTTTTCATGGTTCATTGGGGATTTTTGCGTCAGCGAGGTCCCTATTCTTATTCACTTACATCGGATTTCCCCCAGATTCTCCGTGAACTTTTTTCCGCAGCGCAAATGGTACTTTTGTTCATCAAACCCATCGTGAAAACGGCTCCACACTTTCCTTAGGAAGCGCAGTGAGTCCAAGGCGATACGGCCATCACACGCCTGTCCGGGCTCACACACACCTATGCAGCACTCATTGGCTCCCTAGTTTCCTTCAAGTGTTGTAGTTGCTACGATGCAAAAGAAGATGGAAAGACACCGTTAAGACTGGCAGGGCAAGCCACAGTTTTGCAAAAAGATGACCGTGTACTGTAGCTTGTTGCTGACCTTGCAGGTAGCCCGGTCCGTCGGCGCATAGTCGATGGCGTAGGGGTTCGGGATGGGTGATTGACTTCCTTTTGGCGCCATGTTGGAGACAATGAGTTCATGTACTCCGTACAAGACTCACACTGCAATAAAGGGATACTGTTGTGTAGGAGAGCTGACACCGAGAGGATCTGCTGCAACGTTGCAGATCAGGCAAGTGACCCGTCGATATCTGCGTACTCTATAAGCCCATCATAACAGCAACCACGAAAAGCGTGCCCTTGTGTTAGAGGCTTGGTCCGATGACTCGATCAGTGAGTTTCGCTGTGGTGGACGTGAACGCCGGGGGACCCGAGTTTGCAAACTCCACAAGGTGCGCTCAAAATAATGCAATATATGTTAGTGGTATAAATTTTTTCAATTGACAGAGCGTGCTGAGGTCGAATGACAACTCGAGTCGATGGCTGTTTCAGTGTCTGGGGTTGTCGGGCCACCAGACAGAATCACCCTTGCGTTGCAACTAGCTCTTCAGCCAGAAATACCGCTATTTGCAGCATCCTCCTACTTGCTTTGCATATTAGAATCTATTTCTAGTATTGTCATTGCGATGAATGGGCTGGGTAGGCCGTTCGATTGTCTGTCACGTTCAAATTCCACTAGCGTAAGGCGAGTCTCGAGAAATGTGCATTTACTAGCCTACGTACAGTGACAAGATGAAAACAAGTCCACTTCCAATAATACAAGTTTTCTGCAAAGTGGAGCACAGCTGTTCAGCAAAAAAAGCTGCCATTTCCTTCGACGCCATGCCGGCCCACAGCAAACTTGCCTCTCAAGTAATCCCCAGCGGTGGCACCCGACTGAAAATTCCACTATACAAGCAGGGGCACAGACGCCAGCCCGTGATATATTAAGTGCGTAACTGCTCGTATTCGTGTAGCTTTGTTCATGTTGTTGCGTCCCCGTCCACCCAGCGATGCACAAAGAGTCCGTCCAGTAATGCGTTAACTACGATAACTGCCTACTTTACGTGAACTGATGCAGGCGATTTTTCCGCTTGTGACGAATTCTTAACACCACCTCAGCTACCAGTTTGTGAACAAAGTCGGATTCCACCGAAGTTCCGAAAAGCCTATTTCCTGCCTACACTACTGCGGCTGCGCCAGCTGCGCAGTGTACGATGTTTGCAACAACAAAACTTCCCCAAAAACCCCTTCAATCAAAGTTCATTCACGACTCCAGGGCTGAGCCTCTGTGCTTGTCGTGGCAGCAACACTACAACAGCCGACTGTGAGCCCAGCTGTTAAATCCGCGCCAGCACAAAACAAGCAGAGGCATTGCCAGCGCAATCTTCGCATCCCCCGCGATACTAACTGGCGGGCAATCCCGCTTAGAACCGCAGCTTCTTGCGAAGGAAGAGAACGTCCTTCGAGACCTTTCCAGCCTTCTCGTTGACAGGATTCATAAACTTCTCGTAGAAAATGTTAGCCAGCGCCTTCTTTGCCGACTTACGCATGGCGCTGTCTTCTAGGGAAGCTTCTGGCGCGAGGGCCTTCACGTCGAAATCGTTGCTTACAGTGTAGCTGAAATGGCCAGCGCAAGCACGAGAGGCCAGAACTACAACTAAAACTGACGCACCAATGCAGTAAAAATAGCAAAGTGTAGCGTTTAACATGATTCGATCACTTGCTGCTCATTCAGCAATGCATTCTCACCGAGTGGGCATCAGGTGACGAACGTTGATGTAGCGGATGAAGGCCTTGGGACGCATGCGCTTCTGCACCTTGGTGGTACTCATGCGCTTCGAAACGCGCAGAGGGGCCTTCTCAATGCCAGCAACCAAGCAATAGCAAAAGTGGCGCTCCTTCGTCCCTTCGGAGGTGCTCACCACCACACCCTTCTTCCCGGCCATGCGGCCGTTCAGGACCACCACCACGCGTCCAGGTTTGAGCCTGTAAAGAACGAGCAGTCATGCACTGGTGGGTGGACACTAAATGTAAGACAACACAAGAAAACTACAAATACAATGCCAGTGTCACTGCGCCGCATGTGCACACAAATGTTTGCGCTTGCATTTCTTCTCCGTGGAGATGATCGTCGCTGAGCATACATTACAGAGAATCCCCTTCTACCGGTACTCCGCAATTACTTTAAACTAGAGACAAAAAAAAGGCAATCCACTCAAAACTAGCGCCGCGCGAAAGATACCAACGCAAGGCAACACAAACACAGCCCCGCTCCAGCGGACCTTCGACCTCCCACTTGCGCCACCCACATAAGACGGAATAAGCTTGCAACAAATTCTAGGGTGACATCGTCGTAATTCCCCTGTCACAACTGCTTGAGAGACAGCCAGTCAATACAATAAGGAGACCCCACACTCTTCGAAGCGCACGGATCCCAAGTGGCAGCGGTTTATCTGTAGCCCAAATGAATAAAATACTAAATATTCCAGGAATGAGGTGATTTTCGTCCGAGAGATAGATCAGCGACACAGATATGAACGCTCATTCCCCCCACAAGGCTGTGGTTGTTGGAGTGCTGCTGAAAGAGGGCTCGACGACTCACAGCTTGACCATTTTGTCGACTTTATTTGCAAATTCGGCAAGGTCTAAGCGCCTGGAAATCAATGCGAAAATCCCAGGTATCCTTGCTTTGGACGTTCTGGGCCCTGTTATGGTAGCATCGTTAAGCAGCAGCTGCAGTCCGCAAGGAAGCCGGTGCAACCCTCATCTTGCGACTTTGCGCAAGCCCCACAACCCAAGTGGTGAAGCTGGACAAAATTTATAAAATTGACAATTAAAAAAGTAGTTGCATAGCTCAGATGGGATTATAAATGCATTTAACATTCTGAAGAGCTTACTATAGAGCGCCCTTGAGCAACGGGCAACCTGCTGTTTGACCGAAGTCCCTGGTGGCGCCTCTCCGCAGCTAGTATATTGCTGAGTTCTAACAGAAGAGAACAACACTTATCCACTTAATGCATAATAAGTGGACTTTGGACAGTACACAGGTAAAGCCAACGCAGATATCACTGAACAATAGCAAAACTCCGAATCGATGTGGCTGTTGCGTAAAACAGTAAAGGGCTGGACGGCAATGCAGCATCCGTTGTCTCCAGGCGCGGTGTCGAATTTTCTAACGATACACTAGTAATTCGCCAACTGATTGCCGAAGTAGAGCAACTAAAGTGAATGACCAGGCAAGCACATCAGAAGGGCAAGCTCCTTGCACGAGGAAAAATCTAAGACATGAAGGCAGGATCTCACGATAACCTTTATTGACCTTGTGGGGTTATGCTTTGGCAATAGGGCGGTATAGCATGGGTGATGAATCTGTGTGTTAAGTGGCTATATTAGTTTCCCTACCCTACTGCAATAGATGCATTTCAGGGGTGCTAGTCATGAGCAACTAACGAATATTGGAGCAGCCGCTCAAAAATAAGCTCTGTATCCTCTTCCGTGCTGAGAAACTGAAAAATCTGGTTAGACCTAAGAGGAAAAGGAATCAAGAAAGCTATACCGGAGGTTTTGCAGCAATAGCAAGGCACAGTGAAAAATAATATACCATCGCAAAGCTTCTAGTTCGCAAAATTGCATAGAGGAATAATAAAACTATAATCGCAGTAGAAGCCCTGGCTTCCTCCCGCAGACCCTGTCTCGCCATATAGAAATGGGGGAGTACACACCCGCGGCACTTCACGCCTACAAGAAGTGCAAACAGGTGCAACTACAAGCTAAAAGGACAGCATCAGAATACATGCAGGAGATATGTGAGCTGCCATAAAATGGGCCTCATTTTCCCGCCTGTCTGAACCTTGGCAATCTTGGTTGTGGAGCATGAAGACAGCCCACGTGAGCCAAGCATGCGCTTGCCAGCCAACTATCAAGAGCTGAATCCCTCTACAGCTGCCCTTTGCTTGCTCTTACCCCCTATTTAAACTGAACAAGAAGTGCTGCAAAATGTATTTTCGCGCTGCATATTGAGTGAGGTTATATTTTCTTCCATGCGGCCAAGGAAGGCCGATAAACGGAAGTTTCCCGCCCAGTCTCTGCGTCTAATCATAACTCGCACGTGTTTAGCGGGAGTTTTCTGTTCTGCGTATCAGCATTCATGTTACACACTGGAGCGCTTAGCACCCGTTTCTGTTCATGAGAGAATTCGGCAGCGCCTAAATTGGGGGTATTCTGGTAAGCGTATAGCATTGAGACGGGTCATGGTTTGGGTGCGGCAGCGCACCAGGAGACTTAAGGACTTTGCCAGTGTGTCCCCCACCGACTCTTCAAATCCTGTCTGTGAAGAACACCTCTAGCCTGTTCCACCAGATGTGACTTCGGGTTCATGGGCCGCTGCTCCATCTTCCAATCCTTTCGGCCCGTTATCTAGTCCACATTGCCATACGAAACCCAAATAGTGAGCGCGTGTCAGGTTTTTTCCTAAGAAGTCGTGTTGATCACCGCGTTCTTAATTCTACCTGTAGGACTGGGTGGACGGGGCCATGACTTTCAAAAAGCTAGAATGTCAATGTGCTCGTCTACTCTACTAACTGTCATAGTATTTACATACTCTTGATACTTACCCGGCAAGAACCATTCGCTAATATGTGAATCTAACTGCTAGGTTCCCTCACAATAGGTCACCAACACAATCACCCATATGGACTGCAACGTGTGGTATAGCGCCTAGGCCCTAGCATGCTAAGAAGGCCATACTTAATCAGTTTGTTGTTTAGGCAGAGGCACGGCTGTTCACACGTAACATGTGCCGAGAACGCTCCGCGGTTTACACAGTCGTTCTCAGGCCCGTGGAAAATCGAGACCAAAATACCCTCATGCAATACAGTAGGTGAGACATGAATCATACGCTGTCCAAACGAATGTAATAACAAATCTAAATGTCTGTAAAACGTATATCGGGCGGCAAAGCAGTCTCCTGCCCGTCAAGAGGGGTCGATTGTCAAGGGAGCGTTCACAGCAGCATGGAGGGAGCTGAAGCTTTACTAATAGCTTCTGCTGTGCTCTTGACAAGTGCCAGCAGAGAAGCAGCGAAATATGAATGATAGTCCACGTAAAAAGATAATTCCGTAGGCCCCTGTCGATGGATGCAGCTCGAGCTTCTCGGGGCCGAAAGCTGCGACACTTCTCTGGTGGGTACCTGTCGTGATCGATCGAGATGCAACTTTGGTCGCGATATGGAGCTTCGACGAAGTTACATCACGTTCTCTTAGATTTTTGTTTAAAGTGAATTCATTTTTAAGTTTGGGAAGCAGAACTTTTTAGATATCATCCTGTCTGTCGGTCCTGCGGTCGAGTGACCGCTCATTGGCGAGCGTTCAAGACGCTACGCTGTTGGTGTTACATTCTCTTTTTCAGTTTTTCTATTGATTGAAGTTTTTTAACCTATTTGGAAATTCCAGGGGAACGAGACAGCAGTGTTGAGGCGTCAGAGATGGGGAGGGGTCTACAGTACCTGCGCCGATGCAGGGCGCCGAGGACTCGCGTCTTCTTCTTTCTCACATTGTCACTGTTGCTTTCTCAGTGGCAGGGTAAGATTCTTTGGTAATCGAAAAAACTATAGTTTGACGCTGCTAAATATGCCATTGTGAGCTCTCTTGGGCACAGCACACCTGTTCCTCCCTGTCTGCATGTGACCTTATTTGCAGGGACGTTTACTGCAGATCCAAATGGTGAGCGACTTCAAAGCGAAGAGCCATGCCGCTTATTCTGGTCTACTAAGCTCTTTTATAAGCTGTCTTTTACCTGCCTTTTCATATATGTCTTATTGAGACGACTGCAGTAGCATGCACTTGCCGCAGGACTTCCCTTAAGGAACTCACGTGTGACTCAACCGCTTCAGACTGTCGGGACGTTATATTCATGAAGGGAACAACACTGATTGTGGTAGACCCACATGTTTTGTGGCTGCTCAGGGGCAGGAGAGGGCGCTGGTTCTGACGAGGTTCAGCTGGAGGAGCCAATTCAAACACTGACCAGTCCAACACTAGCAGGTAGGTTTTCCAGTACCCAAGTGCTTCACGCAGCGTTGTTCACTTGTACGTACTCGTACTGCTATCTTGCGAATTTGCGTATACTGGCTTGATAGTAGGAGTGTATAGTCCCCTTCTTGCTCAGGTTATGTGTGCGGAGACCACGGGAGGGCCAGTTGACTATGTGTGCGACGACAACATTGAAGCCATCTATGCAGCTGGTACATTTTAGTGTGGTTGTACCGCTAAACAGATGGCGGACCTTCCTGTTTCCGGTGCGCATGTTTGCAGTTGGGCGGGGACGGAGCCCCCGCAGCAATGTGACATCTCCAAGGCATGCCCCCTCAGGAGCTTCACCTTCTTCTGGTGTGTTTGCTGGTTAGGGAGGAGGAGGGGATTAGAGTTCGCTTTCACACCAGAGGGAAGCGTCGTGTCAGTCGATTTGCGCTGCTGTCCCTCTCCTATCAGCTGTGCCACTGGCTTTGTGAAGTTCTTAATGCGACTCTTATTTTTATAGGCACCCCCTCAAGTGGATCACGTAAAAGTTCGCCTTCAGGGTCTTCCCCCAGCAAATCAAGTCCCTCTTCAGGCGGTAAGAGTGCACTCGGAGCTTTGTGGATTGGTTTTTTTGGCAGAGGCAATTTGAATCGAGAATTCAGGACGAGCAGAGCCTGCTGTAGTAGCGGCCCTCCCCTCTATGCTATATGCTATGTAATTCTGCCGCCAGAGGTGCTTGGGTTTTTCAGCTCGTCAAGCCCTTAAACGACTGAGACGTTCTCTTCCGAAGGAAGCTCCATCAATCCGTAAGCGACTGCAAGTAGTTGGTTCATTGCGTAGGGCTATTCCTGCTCCCTTGAATTTGTTGTAGTTATCGTAGGGGAACTGTGTGCCTGCGTTCCAGCTTATTGCATGGAATTGTTGTGCTGCGGAGTGCGTACAGAGACCAGGGCTGTACAGGAGTTCATTTCCGCTGAGCTGGCTCAAGGGGATACCTCCCGGGAGGATTTGATGAGAGCTGTTATAACACTTGCAGGGGAGGGCCACAAATTTGTGGAGGGAGACGTGCCAGCGACAAGGACGCATCTCCTGAGGAGCACTGCGAATAGTTTGCAACTTGGCCCAGGTAGGGAGCGTCTGTCATCGTCAGCTGCGGTAGAGACCCGGTGCAGGACACTGCACCACACACAGCGGGAGGCGCGTTTTTTTTCCCTTTGTTGCGTTGTATCCGTTTCACCTCAGGGCACTGGCTGGATAGTTGTGACCTGGATGTGCTGAGCTCAGGGGATCTACGAAGGCTCACCCGTGAGGCAAGCAGCGCTCCTTCACTGAAGGGGACTGCAAAGTCGGGAGAACTCTCCCCAGTGCGGTCAGAATCACCTACCAGCGACTCATCTGCGCCATTGACCTTCCCCAGCTCAGCGGATGTATCGCCGTCAGCTTCACCTCCTATGGCCTTGTCGCCTGAGCCGTCTGAATCTGAATTTCCAGTTGATGCGAGTCCGCTGTTGAAGCGGCTTGTGTCGCCTGACCCACCAGAGGCTCAGGGACCCAGCGCCGGACCGTCAGGACAGAGCGAGCTAGCAGCTGGCTCTGTTGAGGAGACATTATCCCCATTGGTTGAGGAGAGCTGGATAACGGAAGTGAAAAAGTTGTTGGCAGATGTGCCGTCTGCGCCGGCAGATGAGAAGCCGTCTCGATACTCTCCTGAAACTCAGCAGGTGCTTGATGAGATACCGGATCTACCAGGCGCACTGATATCAGAATCTACCGAAGAATTACTGGGCTTTTCCCCGTACATTGGAGTTCCTTCACAAGAAAAGCAATCGCCTGATATGGAAGGAGAACCAAGTCGTGAGACCTCCTTTGTGGGCCCACCGGCAAGCGACACTCACGAAGAGGCTTTGGATGACCTTAGACGGCAGGTGGACTTGATCATAGAAGAGTTGCAACAGGCATCTGAAGAGTATGAAGGGGGGTCAACAGCTGCCAAGGCTGCAGAGGAAGAGCCCAGGGATAGGTTAGACGAAGGAGGAGCAAGGCCGATGGATGAACATGGGCCCGCTGAAGGAGAACGTGGCGCTAGTGGTTTTGTCTCTGGAGTTCCAGGTCCTGTTCATGCTGAGGGTGAAGATTCGCCTGTGAGCAGTGAGGCATCAACAGTTGCCTTGGAGGAGACACCTTATGCAGCCTCCCAGCCTTCTAGCTCAGGGAGCTGGCGAGGAAGTCAGTCTTTCGAGCAGAAGCACGTTGTCACGGAATTCCGGCGAGAGCGTCCGAGACTTTGGGAAAGGACGAAGTCTGCTGCGCAGAAGCACAAGGGAATGTTTCTTGTGGCAGGAGGGGTGGTACTAGCCACAGCCATCATAGCAGGACTTGTTTTTGTCCACAAGAAAATAGGACCTCGCATTCCTATTTCCAGCCCGCTGGTAAGCACAATAGAATCAAAGAAGTGCCATGTCCTGGTTGATTTTGAGAAGGCTCACAACCTCAAGGGTATGGGACGAGTGGTAGGAATCGAAGGAGTGAAAGTGAACAATACGAAGCGGATCCTGACAGTGACGTATTTGGAGAAACCAGCCGTAAGGAGCTCGCGAGGTTGGGAGATGTTCAAATGGTTAAAGCATCGTCTTAGCTTCGGGAAGTCTCTTGTTCGCCGAGTAGAAACGCTGGCCTTCCCTGAATCTTGCATGGCGGCTTCTCATTCCAGTTTCCAAGTGGCAGAAACAAACGGGCACGTTGCGCGGATGTTGGTAGATTTGGACCTAAATCCTGGTCCTCTGACTGTCCCGAGGGAGGTTTTGGAGAACGACGAAATAGACGAACTGTTGAGCAGGTATGAGCAGGACTCTCAATGGAAGCTTTATGAAGACTGCGTGATGCACATCACTGTAGATCGTCCATTCGAAGGGTCACCGCTTGTACAAGTGGAACCTGCTCGGGGTCGGGTCAGCTTCCAGAACCCTGAACTGCATCATCTTAGTAGCGAGCTTCCCCGGAATTGCGATTGGAGGGAGCCCTCGAGGCTCCGGATTGTATACAAGAGCCAGGCTAGTGCCCCGCTTGATGTGCTTTTAATGATGACTGCGGCGGACCCACCTTTGGAAGATAGCGTAAATCTCGACAGAGGATATGGGGACGCAACTTTACATGAAGACAGCGATGACGTTTTGTACGACATCCGCACATTATTTGAAGAGTGAAGACAAACAACAAACCAGCCTGCCAGCAATCGCAGTTACTGAGCGGCCCATGTACGCAAAGTACATGTTGCGTTTTCTTCGATTGTAAACCTTTGGGATGTTAATGAAGGTCCCAGTGCCGCCAGTCGAAGAGTGCTAGTGCAGGGCAGCTGGTTGCTGTCTGCACAGCATGGAAGAACGTTTGAAGTGCTGTGCTGTGCTCTAATTGTAGTGCTCTTTGTGCCTAATGCTATCTTTTTAACTCGCTCTATGAGCCTCTCGTCCCATGATTTTTATGTTGAAGGGGAGACTGCCGCATGGCAGACAGCTCTCCACTACCTTCTGCACTCCGGCCGTGCGACTAGGAGCTTGTGGGCCTCGCAGTCGGAAGCTGTAGAATTTGTTTTTTTTTGGCATTTCAGTTTTCTACTGGTGGGACCGCCCTTTGGACGCACTGTATGCTTTAGTCCTTGCATCCACTTGTTGACCCGGCGGTGGGTTGGGAACACGTGATGCCGCTGCTGTTCAGGCGGCTTACGATTCGGCAGGTGTATTGCTGACTTGGGGTGACGGGACGCCGTAGCCAGTTTGCACGGCTCAGGAGCTGTACCTGCTGGGCGGGGGTAGCGTCGTGCGGCTCCCAGCTCACGCTGCACGGGATTCGTCCCGAGATACAGTACTGGGTGCCGTAGGGAATGTAGTAATCATTATGGCTGCAAGGTTCTCGCAGAATCTGGGCCTCATAGTGTTACCATGAATAGTATTCACCGTATCCAGGTGCCTGCTCTATTCATGCTATGCGCAGCGGACACTGTATCCTTTTTTAGTCAAGCCTCTTGCACGCAATACACCTGTGTGTTCACTAAGGCTAGCGGAGCTTATTTCCTGTCGGTTACGCCTATGGGCACTCGAGTCTGGTGCTGTCACGCTTGTAGTTAAAATCATATAAAAGACATCGCTTTAACGTATTGGCATCATTTACAGGCATTGCACTGTTCTTTGTTAGTATGCAAACAAGGAAAGCGGTAGCTCTGGGAGGAAGCAACGATCGAAGTCGGGCACTTCCGGCCTGAATGTGTCCCTACGATAGGTAGAAAGGGCTCGTCTCGCTTCCCAAAACTGACTTTCATGCAACGACTCTTCGCTTGGTTCTTCTGTGGTCAGCTGCTCTGCAGGAGCGCCCTTATCGCCAGCCTCTAGCGGCCGCTCATCCTGTGGCTCCTGCTGGGAATCGTACGTGTACGTATTCTCAGTTCTTTTACTTTGCAGGCCTTCTGCTGCGGTGACCTCATCCGAATTGGTCTGAATCATGTGGTGCGATTGAATGAACGCTTCAAAGAACCTGCGGTCCATATCCAGGCTTTTGATTGTGTGGTTCGCAAGCTCGACTAGAGCAGGCCGGAAGTCTCCCGTAAGATACTCCAGCTCCTCTTCACACAAGCCGGGAGGAAGGTTTTCTTTGTCTAGAATGTCAACAACATCGTCAATCATGCGCTCATACTGCATGCGCAGCGAGCGTTGTTTCCTCAGCACCTCCGCAACTTCTTCGTTCAGTACTGGCCGGCTCTGCTCCACTTTCGCATGGAGCGCATCGCATGCATTCCTATATACAGAGTACGCTATTTGTCTCCTGCGACTCTGCGCCGCGAGGTGGAAGAATATGGCAAACGCAGACTGATGAGTAAGCCTGTTGAGTGCTTTGTAGTCACTGAGGCACTTGCGGATGGCAGTAACCGCCCCTGAAGTTTTCACTTCGCCATTTATACCCAGCGACTCATCGTCAATACTATACAACTCTGCAATTTCTTTCTCGACCTTCGAATGCTGCGGCAGGCGGTCGTCAATCCTAAGTCGCAGCCTTCGACGCATCCAAAACATCCAGGCGTGCAACCTCGCGAAGAACGTTGCAGAGAAAATAGAGAAAGCAAGCACAAATATTCCAAATAGCCACTGACGTCGGGCTGCAACTTTATTGGCTGTAGTTTCCTGAAGGCTTCCGGTGATTCCCGGCGATGATGCAGCACCGGCTCCAGACGGGGAGCTGGACGGGTAAGGTCGCGAACTGCTGGTGGGCACGGCAGAGTCTGCGACCTTTTTGAGCACTGGCGCGGCAAATCTCAGCTGGTATGCAGCAAGGATCATGGCTAGCATTCCACCCAGCAGAGCCCAGGTTCCCGAGGCCCACTGGCGATTTCTTCGCTCAGCATCGGCACGGTAACTGCGTTGGCGGAAGTCGGACGAAGGCAAAGCACCTAATTCCTCTAGGTCCTTATCTAGAGACGAGGAGAACGGTGCTGAATGCGAAGAAGGAGATGATGACCAAGTAGGGACGCTGCTACGGAGGGAGTCGGATCTGCTGCCGTCTGCAGCATATCCACTGCCGTCTGCAGCATACGGATCAAAAAAAAAGTCCGCGCCGGGGGAGGAGCCGTTTTTCTGTCCCTCAATGCGGCGGACCACCAGCCTGGGCTTTGGTGGCATAGCTCTTATTGGACGTAACTTCGGGTGGAAGTGGCCCGGTGGCGGAACTGCAGGAGTCCTGGTTGCCGCCATGGCTCATTTTGCTCCATGTCTTCCGTGTCTTGTCGTTTTTCCCCACTTCCTTCTCGCTCCGTCAAACGGCAAATGTTTCAAAAACCTTGCGGACGCAAAGGATATCTTTAAAAACTGCCCTTCGGCTGTTCCCGTGCCCACCGACTACTTGGACACAGAAGGGCTGCACGCTGCGTATGTGGATGTGAATGTCTTCGCCCCAAAATCTTCCCAGTTGTACTTCAGAAGGTCTGAAAATGTTGAGAGCGTTTCCCCTCCAAAAAGGAATAACCAAAAATTTGACGTGTGAGAAAGGAACACCGCTGCGGATGGCGCCAGAGGTTCGCACCTGCAGGAACAAACGGTCAGCCCTCAGGCGTTTCATAACATGCCTCACCCCTTCGATAAACACATGCAAGCATTAGTTGAATCAATTGGACTGGAAATTTTCATGCGCCTGTCTTCACCCTCGCAGACAGAACTGCGGCTGCTTCGAACTGGGGCCCGGACCCGCTGACGCCTGGAGCACCTCCAGCTGGGTGTTTGCCTTTACCCCAGCAATCGATTTCATGCAGTGACAGTTCCTTTGGAAAATCTAAAGGTTTTTGTGCTAATCTATCTGTCTTGAAAACAGTCATATCTTTTACTGGATCTGGAATATTTTTACGTCATTCCTTTAAGCGTGATGACAAAAGATGCTTAGCGCCTTGAGGCGCTCATGGTGCGCTCCCCATTTTTTCCCTGCACATACACTGGTTTTGTCCCGTAAGGTGGGCATGAGCTGCCTGTAGATTTCTTCACAGTTTTATTCCAGACAAAAGACACGTTTTTTCGCCCTGCCACGTGAACGTCTGAGAAGCCCACTTTTTCAGGTGGCCTGGCTGAACCCAAGCGGATGCTCTGGGCGAGAGTGAGGAGTTGGAATCCACCTATATGGCATTCTAAATCATATAACAGCAAGTCTAGTGCTATGACGACTGAAAAACTGAGAATTAGCTTGGACCACAGTAGCCCACAGCGTTTGTGCGATAAAGGGTTGGGCCGCAGAAACTGAGACGGAATTGTTGTACCATTCGCCGGAGAAGGCAAACGCCTTTTGCTTGAAAGTTTTGATTGATTATTTCGTCTCCGACTGCCCCTTCCCACACGACTGACTGCGGCCACAGCTATTTGTTCTTGTGAATTATCCCTGCAAGAGGATATGGGTTCCTCCAGTCACCGCTGGTGTGTCTATACTTCAATTTTTTTACTTGAAACCTATACATTTTCCTTAGTTATATCTTTGGTCCGCTGTGTAAGTGCTGAGATCCCCTTTCGGGCATGCTCTGTTCCTGGTGTCTCTTCTGCGTTTTGACCAGTTTGACAGTTCTAAAAGATAGCGTAGAAGGATTTCGTTCCCATGTCTTTTATCCTAGCTGCTCGTTGCTCATCGGTTGCCTTTAGTTCTTACCAAGAAGTACCAAGTTTCTCTCGTGCGTGCTTGAGCCCTAATGCACTGTTTCTTATCTATGGAAGTCTCTACTGCGCATTTGGCCACTGGTACTTGCAGCCGCATGTGTTTTTATATCTTCACAATTCCTTTCGAAAAGGACAGCAAACACTCGAACTTTTTATACTTGCCGCTCTATTTCGTTGCGTAGCGACACCGCAGCTCACCCTGTGATAAGTAACGGTCCAGGAGAAGTAGTAATTTTGGCGCGAAATCTAGCTCAGCTTCACTACAAGAGACGATAGAATGACTTAAACTGAGGTATCGGCACGCCACAATCTGCCGCTAGCTACCGCGCATTACGGCCGATTAAATGGGTTAACGACTGTCTTTCAGTCTTCTACACAGCAAGACGAACGCCGTTACTCTATTTTTCGGCCTGGATACTGTTTCGAAGTAAGGAGACCTGACTGCCTTTTGCTATACAACAGTGATCACAGGCGCGATGTGCTGCCTATAGAGGCTTCAGAGCGAGGTCTGCGTCGATCGTGCTTTGTCTCAGTAGGCATTCCCCGTGTCCTGGGTCGCAGATGCGTCAAGCTGCCTTTGGCAAGGAGCTCTATTAAAGCCGCTCGGCGCAACGTATTTATAACGTTATCGGCTAGTTGACCTCACTTAGCGCTGGGAGGCTGGCTTAACCTCCACGGCTAGCCTGGGAATTCGCCTGAAGCGGATAGAGGACGGCTATGCGTTTTAATTAATGACATGTAGAGATTTCCTAAAGGGTAATTCACTTCACCTTCTATAACTCTACCGAAGGGTTTTCACAATTTTGTGTACTTCCCAAAAATTGCTGACGAAGGGATAAACAGACCACTTACACCTTGCAGTTATAAGAAAAAAAGTTCATTTGTGCTAGTCTCATTGCCTTTTTTCTCACCAACTCCAGATTCTACTGGCGGATTATGCACATACATATGATTATGCACATGCCTCTGCACATGCATATGCACTGTCTCGTGCAAGCTTAGCTCCATCCCTGCAAAAAAATGCTGCAAAAATGTCACTTTTAAACTGCCCCTCATCCGTAGAATCCTTCAAAGAAATTATAATACTTAATGCAGATGGTGCGGATTGGACAGGGCTATCCAACTGGAAATACTTAACTCCAAGTGTTCTGCTGTTTCATGTCTTGGTGCCACTCCCATACAAACTGGCGCTATACCGTATATATATGAACATTTCAAAGCGGCACGATTGGCGCTTGCCACAGACCAAGCAGTTTGAGTTGATAGCTTGCACTAGACTTGTTTCTGCCTTTTCTAGTTCGCTGTGACACTTCGCTGTGCGTAGGGTTTCGAGGGGGGTCTCCGTGTGCAGAATGGGTTAGCCCTGGGAAAAAATGGAACGAATTGTTGTTAGAAAATGGGTTTGCCACGACCAATTTTGAGGGCAAACCACAGGTAGATAGAGGAGGGTGAGATGAATGCTCAGCGAGGTGGCATGACAGCGGTGCTGAAAATACTGCTGAGCGCTCCACGAGTTCCTGACCAGTTGGATTTATATTTGTAAGCGTTTCAGGGCGCATACACTGATGGATTCCGATTTGTCCTCAGAAGCATTCTTCTTCTTTAAGATCAGACGGAATATTCAGCATTTTGGCGCAAAAGCCTCTCGGTAGTTTCTTTCTTGTTCGGCCACCTACTGAACGCGTGCCCATGCAAGGTAATTGAACAATTTTATGCAGCGCATTTACCATTCTTTCGGAATCAAGTAGTTTTCTTTTATCGGGCAATTGCAAGGGTGCAAAGAATAAAAATGATAACGTAAGATCGGAAGGGACCGGAGAAACGTAGAACAATACGATATGAAGGCCCCAGCCAACAAAAGTAAATGAATCAGAATGCAGGTTTGATGGAAAGCAGTCCTACATATATGCCTTACCCAAAGAGTCCTAGGTGATGCTAAGTGTGAGCCGAATGCTTTACATGCACGGCAAATGGAGCCGCCTAAGCTCCTGTATTTCACTCCAATCTATAGTTTTACTTTGGCCCTTATGCCACTAGAATCACGGACCCTGCAATGCACAGTGACTAAAAAACCGCAGAACTAGTAAAGAAGAGCATAAACAAGGGAGGCAAGCAGTTGTGGTCGAACATGGAGCAATCGATGTAGAGGCCGCTTGGCCTTCACTTTTCTTTCAAGCGTACAGTGGCATCGGCAGCCAAAGAATACACCTCGTAATACATCAATTGTCTCATAATGCTGGAGTGCACATTTTGCATCTACCGCTCGTACTTTTCTTGGCTGATTGCGTGGTCGCTGTCCAAATGACCTTGCCAATAGGAGACGCAGTACGGGATCATGTGTGGGGAACGGGATGCATTCTGCAGGTATTTCCAGTGCATACATTTGAGGGTTAAAATGTTCTTCAAATATAGAGTGTTGAACTTGCTTCCTAGGGGTGCGCAGAGGTCAGTCTCTGTCCATTGACTTGATCACAGCCCAGGTGTGCTGCTTGCCTCCAGTGGACCCTCTGTCTCGTGGCTATTAGCAACACCATATTAATTAAAAATATTTGAAAAATATCTGTTTTATTTTAGACACCACCACAGATTTCATTCAAAAGCTTGGGAGCATCGGGAGCCTTGCAAGCACGTGACCAGTGGGCCTCTTCTGCGGCAAGTCGTCTGCGGCACAGCGACTGGACCTTCTACCCGAGTCTCCACTCAATTTTTTGCGTATTGTAAACTTTATTTTGTCCTCTCTTATAATATTGCATTCCGAAAAAAACAGACGAACCCCTTTTCTTGTGAGGCCGTTCGACTGCGCTCTCGCATTAGCGACCACTGCAGCCGTGGGATATGACGGCCCACACCCGAGTTGTTTGAAGCAAAGAAATTACGGCATAGAAACAACTTCCAATTGTTTTTTCTCTTTGACAGCTTAGACATAGTTGGAGGGCCTTTCTGAGGACCGCGGCCGACCCATCTGGGCCAAGATCGCCACAGCCAACAAACAAGATGGGGAAGTGCAGCTGCAACATCAGGGGCATTGGCCCATTCAACTTGGCGGCGTGTGTGGTGATATTTTCTCTGTACAATATGTTGAGCTCTACTGTGGAGCTGTGTGCTACCATGCGGAAAAACAGCTCTCAGGGCAGTTCCGAGTCTATCCTCGCCTTTAATTTCTTTTCTTCGTCGTTTACTATCATTGCAGGTGCACTGGGAGTGCTATCAACGGTGACGAAGTCTTACAGATTTGTGTTGGTAGTTTTGATTGTGGCCATTATGACAATGGTCTGCGACGCGGGGGAGCTGGTAGCCAACGCCCTTTCGGGCTCTCCCTGTGTGTTTCAGTTCATAATGACTACTTTGCACTTGCTGCTAAACTCGGTAGCCATGGCCGTCTTCCTGTCATACTACCGCGTGCTGAAGAGGGGAGGAAACGGCCGCGAGAGAATGTCTCCTGACGAGTTCAAGACCTTCGATGATGCTTCAACAGACGACGGGAGACCAGCCTATTCAAACTCAAAAGCCGCCACAGAGGACACCCCGCTGATGGCCTGAATAGACAAAGGAATGTTTTTTTCAAGAGCCACCCCCCTATACAGCACTGAATCAACAGCTCGGGCAGAGAAGTCCGGCGCTCTCCATCTTGTGGCACAAGGAGCTCCTGCCCGTAACAACAGACGGAATGGTTTCTACCTGTGTGTCAAAGGCAGGTGTGTATAGACAGCATTAGACTGGGCCCATTTCTGTTTTGATAACGCAAGAATGTGCAGCTGTACATAGGGTCGGCAGTGCAACAATCGATCCGGGATAAGCCGGACATGGCAGAGTACAGCGAACTTGAAAGAATGAAAAGGCTAGTCAAGAGCAGTAAAGACTAGCCAAGGAAATTTCGGGTCGAGTGTATACTCGCCAACAAAGAACAGTGTCAATTAAAGCCAGGGCAGGAGTCGCTTCTTTTGAGCGACGCCATAACATCTGTACCACAGAAAACCCTGAATTTTTCAAGAGTAAGATTGAGCCATTCTGAGCCGTTCATGCCTTCAAGGCCAAACGGCTGTCTGACACCACATATGGGTCACGAGTGGCGCCAACTCACTCTGGAGAACTGAGTCCAAGATCGCTTTTCTTCTGCCTAAAGCAGCATCCACGAGTCACCCCTTGCCTACTATGGCGGCCAATTGCAGTGCGAAGTAGAGAGATTCTCTCCAGTGCACAAAGGGGAGGGTGGAAGCGATCCCGGGAACCCTCTCGCTAGGTTTTTTCACTGCTTTAGAACATGGCGCTTGTGCTAGTACTTGAGTATGATAGGATTGGAATGAGACAAGGCTCTACGGCACAGAAGCCGGGAGCGCTGCTCGTCTCAGTTAGCTATGTAAAGCTTCGAGTTTCTCCATAGGGGGCAAGGCTGTGCGACTTTCCCCAGTAGATTGCAGATGCGGTAAATGTGAAGGCCTCAAATGGATTAAAAAATCTCAGAAAATTTTTTGCTTTTTGTCTTTTCCGATAGACACTGCTGGCATGCTGTGTGTCGTCTGCTCGGTCGCTGCGAGCATGTGAGCGTGCGTATGCTGCCCGGGTAATGCTGCTTGAATTCTTTCCCCCAAATCTGCCCCGAGTATGTTGCATAGATACAAATAGTTTCCTCCCTTTAAATTGCAAAAGCACACTACCTTTACTTATCCTTGTAACGAAAGGGGCCCTCGGGAGACGGCAGGGGAGACGGCGCTGGCTGGGGTCGGGCACGGCAGCTCCGAGTGTTTGGGTTTGTGGGTTTTGGCGGCAAATTGGCTGTCGTTACGCCTCACATTTTCCACAGTTGTGAGAAATGTGTCTTTTTTATTTAGTTTATTTAAATACAACTGACCCTTAACTACCTCTGCCCCACTTCCCCTTCCTGAGCTGCTCGGCGCTGGCAGCCTGCCAGTTCTCCCGACAGCGTCGGGCGTCGCCTCTCATCTGTCTTCCCCAATGAATTTCGTTTATTTCCATTCAGTTCTCTTCTCGGTGAGCTAACTCAGCTGTACCAGGCAGAACCACCCGACATAACTGACAGCAACGCCGCAGAGGGCCGCCTACAGACAACGGGCAACTGGCGCGTCGGCTGCTCTCTGCTCTCTTCTTCCGGGCTCACCGCCTCGACCTTGCCTTCGGCGTTTAAAAACACTCAAAAAACACAGCCAGCAGCAACTGCGGGCCGGTACAAACGCTGCACCGCAGTAACACAAGCCGCTCCCTCCCCCTCCTGCGCCCAGTCTGCCCGTGTTCGATCTCTTCATCCCACAGGGTGCCCCAAGCCCTTCTCTTTCCCTGGCTGCCTTCATTGACTCAGAAGCAGCACATTGTCACCGCCTGTGTCGTTGTTGTCTCTGCGGATGCCGCAACAACGCAGCCAGCTTTCTGACTCCAAAGCAGACCTTCCACGTACGCTACTTCGTCCCCCATACCGCTAGTACACCCACTAAATTGGAAATTCCACCTCAGAGGCCGACTGTGTTGCCCACATGTACCATCTTTAGCTGTAGTTTGACATGATTTGGGGCAAGTGGTGGGTTGGCTGGTCTGCGCCGCCGCCGAGACCCAGGACCTACCCATGGGCCACATACGAGATCGGCTGCTGTTGCTGGCGCTGCCGCCGTTTTCAATGAAGCCAAAAGAATAGTAGCGTAGAAAGCACGAAATGGGATTCTGCAGCACTTTCTACCGACAACTAGCTTTTTGAGGCCTTCTCTTCTGTTTTGCTTTCAGGTGCTGCGACGAACCGTCAAAACGAGTCATATTAATCCAACAGGCAGTCATTAGTCTACATGATTGTTTGTGCTCAATAGTTTCGTTCCGATTTATTGGCAAGGATTTCCTCAGCTACGCTTGGCTGCTGCACCCCGGACGTCTTCAGCGCCAGCTGCAGCACAGCGACTGCCCGTGGCCTTTAGCAGCACCTGACAGCAGCGGCGCTTGGGGTCATGCAATGAGCGGGGCTTCGTAGCTGCTGCTGCTGCTGCCACTGCTCGTCGCTCTGCTGCAGCCGCTGTCGATGCTAGCGCCGTGGCTGCAGCTGCTGCTGCTGCCTTGACTCCTGCTGAGGCTGCTGCAGCCAAACCTCTCAGCAGCAGCCCTTGACTACTGTTTGTTGCCCACGTCCGATGTAGAGAGCCACACTGTGGCCGCTACTGCGGCGCTGAGAGGCCTTTACACGGTCCCCCCGATCTGAACCGTCCCACGCGATCCCACCCATTCCCACTCGAGCTCAGCTGGTGCAGCAGGTGGCAGCAGCCATACTGTTCTAGCGCTCCGGAATCCTTCTTTTTATTCTCAGGCGCAGCTGCTGCATTCCGTCGAGCGCAGCAGACGGACATCCCCGGCTCCGAAGGGCCTTCGGAAATGAGCTGTCTTCCTTCTCGGGCCCCCCAGCAGTACCAGCAGAAGGCCAGAGGACAGCCGTAGGTCGTAGTAGCCAAACACAGCCAGAAGCAGGGGCAGCAAACAGCTGGCAGCGACAAAAGTTGGGGCCCCTCACCTCCGTTTGTATATGAGGAGGCTTCTCACGCCCCCGGGGGCCGTACGCGCACAGGACCCCGAAGAGCTGGGGGCCCCCACCTGTACGCTTTCTCCTCTCCGTATTCCCCAAGGCTACGGGTATAATGGAGGTGTCCTCGGGGTTGGACACAGCTGCTGATGGCTCCTTTCTTCGGAGTGGACACCATGAAGAAGAGACGCAGCAAGTCGCGGCAACAGCGGCTCTGCATCTGCACCTGCAGCAACACCCACATCACCCACAGCAACGCCAGCAGCAACACCCACCACAGCAGCAGCTGCTGCAACAGAAGAACAATGACTCCTACTTAGGCTGTACTCATCTGCTGCAGTCCGCCCATAGCTCTGCATCACACTTGCTATGGCCAGGCGTACAAACCGCGGTTGCTCCTGCGCCGGCCCAGCTGCCCCTGTGCCCTTCTGGAGGGGCCAGCAGCCACACAGACACGGAAATTCCGGGAGCAGCAGCAGCAGTGTTCGCCTTCGACGGCTGCAGCAGAGGCGTGCCTCTGCATTTCCAAACCACGCACCCCTTCTCCACTGACAACACCCTTCATCAACCGCAGCTGGCATTGCATGCAGCTGTAAACGATAAGGGACCCACAGACGCCTCTGTCCCTGTATGCTCTTCAACAACTGCAGCGCGAGGAGGGGCCCCGTCGGCAATGAAGGTTTTTTCCCAGGGGCCCCAGACTGGCGCCGGTCAGCTTAGAATTAAGAAAGTACTGCCCAGAATAAGAGAACTATGCCTGGAAAATTAATGTACCGTCCATGCTTGCTCCCCCCTTTGTTTGTGCTGGCTGAGGTGAAACTTCTCACACCCCAGCAGGTCATTTGTCCGGCACTAAAAAGAGCAGCGGTGACAGTGCTTGTGCTTGACGGCCTCCTGCTGCTGCTGCAGTAACTATTGATGCTCTATTAGCTGCTGGTAGTCCACGGCTAATTGCTGGTGCTGCAGGATTATCTGTTGCTCTGAATACTGTTGCAGTTCTGATTTGCAGCTGTTACTGCTGACTTGCAAGAAAAGGACTTTCCGAGCCACTGCACAATTAATGTGTGTGCGCTGCAGGCGGCCACGTGACAAGCTTGATCCCCTATTCTATCGAGCGAGCGCACCTAAGCGTGCAGCTGGGAGAGAGTAGGGAAGCCTTGACTCTGCATCAGCAGCAGCAAAAGCAGCAGATGCATCAGCAAGGTACTAAGGGGCACAACTTTTTTCCGAACAGTAGCACTCATTCACACTTTTTTCACCCGCAAAAACAAAGGCACCAGCAGCAGCTGCAGCATCTGCAACAAGTACAGCGGCAGCACATCCAAGCTGGTCAAGTTAACCCTCCTCAGCTCCAGCAGCAGCTGCAGCAACAACTGTTGCAACAACACTTACACCAGCAGCAGCATTTACAGCAACACCAGCAGCAGAAACAGGTCACTGAGCAGCAAGCAATGCAGAGAGGAATGCGACTACAGTTGCAAAAGAACATGCTTCTTGAGGGGCACTGCTCTGTAGGGTACCCTCTGCAGCCAGAAGCTGCTCTGGAGTGCTACAGCTGCTCGAACAAGTGGATGGGCCTGACCTGCAGCCACCCTGTTGGTGGGGAGGCTGCAGCAGCAACTGCTTCGTCATCAGTGGCAGCAGTAGGTGCACCACCAACAGCTATTCCAGCTTTTCCATCAACCCCACACGCGCCTTTTAAACCTACCTCTGCTCCCGAAGGCTCCCAACGTGCGAACGAGCTCTCTGACTTAGCTGACTCCCGGAGACTGACGGAAGATGGGGGAACTCCAGCTGAGCTGCCCCTAGCCAGCACGCTAGAAATGTGGCAGGCTAAGCAGGTTCTTAGCCAAAGAGAGTCGAGGCCCTTGCGCCTCACCCGCTTTGAAATGGTGGAGGCCTACGCAAAGTGTAAGATACCAGTGCCTAGCCACTTAAGCTCTACCCTTGGTTTGAAAATCCACAAGAGCCGAACGGTATATCTGAGAACGACTTCCACCGCGTCACTGGTAGCCTTTAGATCTACCCCCCAATCCTTGCTTATGCGACGCAAAGCCACTGTGCACTGCAACTACACCTGCATGCCTCATAACACTACTTTTGACGCTGGGATCTAAGTTGTTGGGGTGCGCACGTGCAGCAACTCTCTGCCTCTCTTGCGACTCTATGGAGCACAAAATTACGAATTGTCCATTTGGGGAGTTTGTTTGCCCCAACTGTCACCGATCCTCCCACAGAGGAGAGCACTGCCCTCTAGTGGGTCTCAAACCCTCACGTCCCCTAGCCATTTGCCTGCTCCCTGTCACTATGCCTCCTGCAGAACCTCGTCTCTCTTGTTTCCGATGCTTTTCAGTCTCTACCTTTTCGTTTCTGTATCTCTGTCTCCCGCGTCTTTCTCATCTCCAGCATCTCTTCTTGCTTTCTGGGCTACGCTGCGCCTCATCAGCCTCTTTGCTTCTCTCAGTCCTCGTGGCTGCTTTGCACACGGTTCCGGCTTTTCCGAACCCACTTGGGCGCAGCCAGCTGTTGCACTGTTTCCCTTTCGTTTTGGTTTTCTTTGGAGACCAAGCAGAACGGAAGCTTTTGACATCGCTGCCTCTTCCAGGGCTTTCGGCACTGCTTCGCCTAATGCTTGCCGTATTTGTGCTGTTGTTGCTTCAGCCCTGCCGTTTCTGCTTTGACCGTCACGCCGGAATTTCTGTCAATGAATGCATCCGTGTAAGTTCCTCCCTGAGTTTCCAGTTTCATCGGACACTCCCACGTATAGAAGCTGTCTCAGCAGTAGCCTCATACAACGCCTGGCACTAAAGTAGCCCCCGGCCGCACATTGCTGCCTTGGCTAAAGGCCACTAAGCCAGCCACAGCAGCTGTTGTAGTTGCAGCTGTAATAGCTGCTGCTCATTGAAGTTGGCGCTCTGGGGCCTTGAGAGTTAAGGGGATTGCGCATAACAGCGCGGGCTTGTTTGGGCTCACTGGCTAGGCAGCAGCCCGGAGAACGCACCAGTTTGTGCGCCTACGCTTAGAGTCTCGTGCTGCTGCGGAGCTTTGCCTTTGTCGCTGCTAGTGCTGACTTGCTGCTGTTTTGCTGCTGTTTTGTACTGCGTATCAGCGCACAGTTCGGCAGCCTTTGGAGCGTCTGTTGGGCGTAAAGATGCCTCTAGATGCTTCTCTTCGCCGTCGGCCTAAGGGAGACTCGTCGAGTCCCGGTGGGGATGGAGGAGAACTAGCGAACCTGGGCCTGGGTAAGTCAGACCGGCCGAACACGCCCCATGGGCGCAGCGTATATGTGAGCAATATGCTGCCGGGTACAAGTAAGGAGAGTCTGAGATCGGCGATTAACTTCTTGCTGGAGCATGGGGAGGTGGTATGCGTGGAGATGAGGGAGCGAAGCAACTACTTGCCCTATGCTTTCGTCGAGCTCTCCTCCCTTCAGGCCGCCTACGAGCTTGTGCAGTACAAAAAGGCGGCCCTAATCATAGGAGATCAGGAGCTAAAGGTGCAGTTCAAAAAAATCGGCTTGGCGTGTTCCATCCCTGGCCGCAGCACCTCTGCGGGAGCTTCCGATGGGCTCGACACTAGCCACCGCTCTCCCGTTTCCCTAATGGCTCCTTTTACTCCCACTGGTCAAACTGTGCAGGAAGTTTGCAGGCTTGTAGCATACAAATTGGCTTATGACTTTGGGCTGCCCTCTCCTGGGCCTTTCCCATTCTACGGGAGCGGAGATGGAGATAACTGTGCCCTTTTTGGTCAGGGAGTGGCAGATAGTGACCTCGGGGTGCCTCCACAGCCCGGGGGCCCCCTTGTTGCTACGGCTGCTGCCCATAGCCCCAGCAGGGACGCCGAGGGCTGCAAGGCCTTCCCTGAAGTCTTCCCGATGCTGGACATGGACAGGCAGTCAAAAGACACAGACACCGAAACGCCTTGGCATAAAGACGCAAAGGGGCTTCGGGGGAACGCTAGGTTCTTCGAATCCCAGCCCCCGCGCACAGAGCTGGCAGTAGCCGCTGCAGCTGCCGCAGCTGGAGGCGGGCTGCCGTCGCTGCAACAGCTTGACCCTGTACAACAATCCCACAGCAGAAGACTACCCTGTCCAGTGGGAGGCTCCACAAGGGGGACACGCTGCCTACAGAGACCCCCCGAAGCACCTACACTAAGAGAGGCACCCATGCTGCAACCTACAGCAGCAACAGCAGCAGCAGCCAGTCAAAGGCAGCCACTAACGCGCATAAAAACGCCGGTACAGGTACAGGGGCCCCACATGTTGGACCACCCCCAGAGTTCGCATGCGCCACAGCCGTCGGAGTGCCTGGACACCCGACAAGGGGGCCTCAGCCTCTTCCCTTTCCCTAGTTACCGCCACGCGGTGCCGGAAGTGCATGCGCCATTGTGCGGAGAGAATGAGAGAAACAGAGAAGCTGTGGAGCCTCCTGAGGTGCGGCGGTTGCCTAGAGATGGCTCTGACGAGAACACAGGGAAGTCCGAGGGGCCTGTCAGTGGAGCGGCACCTAGTGCACCAAGTGCAGGGGAGCCCCCCGTTCAGAAGTTCGAGAGTAGCCCTCTTTCGAGAGCTTCATCTTTCCAGCTGCGTTCTTTCCAGGACCTGAGGCCCCCGTTCTTGAATGTTTCTCCAGCCAGAAGTGCTTCAGCCGCAGCAGCTGCTGCAGCGTCTGCACTGCAGGAGCCGTGGGGTCTGCCGGGCTCTGCGGCGGGGGAGAGCGGCAAGGCCTGGAGGGGGCAGCAAGTAGACGGAAGCGGCTCCTCCACTGAGACGCCGTCGACCTCCTTATCTGCCAGTCTTGGCTGCGACTCGCTGCCGTCTCCTTCGGCCTGCAACAGCTACATTGCCCCTCGGCTGAAGGAGATAGATGAGAGGGAAAGGGACCCAGAGGGCCCTCTCTCTCTCGCAGACGACGCCCAGCCCAAACTCACCGACCTGGATGGCACCGCAGACACTGACCTCAGTCTCCAGCTCTCTCTGGGGCCCTCTGACATGGCGGCCGGACCCCTAGATTCTCCCTGCTTGGAGACACACATTGGTGCGCGGAGGCAGCTGAGTGCCGCAGGACCAGCTAGCTATGGAAAGGGCCTCTGCGAAGATGCTTCGACAGGGCTACCCACTTGCATTTCCCCCTTCCCGCCTCACTGGGATGGCCGACCGACAGAAGGACCCCAGCAGGAGGCGCAGTCACAACTTCTTGGGCGCATTCAAGAGGACACAAGGTCTTACTTCCAGATGGACCTGTCCAACCTGATGCCTCCTGGTGGAGGAAGCAGCAGACCACTTGAGGCATTAGAGATAGAAGGCGCCCTCACTTTTTCTCCCTCCCCTTGCCCCCAACAACAGGCAGCAGACAATATGAACAGCTGGTGGTCAGCCGGCGCGAGTTCCCCCCGCGCCTTCTCCCACAGGGCACACCAAATGGGGCTGCCGTGTCTTGTAAGAAAGCTCAAGTCCCAAGACGAAGCTTGTACAGTCGACACCCGGACTCCCCCGCTGAATGCTGCTTCTTCCGCAGCGGACACTTCACTAGTCACTCCACCAGCAGCTGCGCCAACCGCTGCACCCGCTGCAGCAGCAGCCGCGGCAGCTGATGCAAATGTTGAAATGGCAGACAGACCAGATAGCGCCACAGTTCTCGAGCCCGCCGAAGGCGTGCTTAATGGAGAAGCCCTTCAAGTATCAACAGACGGAGAGAAGGACCTTGCAGGGGCAGCAAATGGCAGTGTTTCTCCGTGCTGTCTCCCTGCGAGTTCTGCTGGGTGGGCCCCAAGCAGCTCCCCAGACACTTTTGTTGAGGAGAAAGCTCAAGCCTGTTCACAAACAACTGCTGCCGCTTCAGGAGCAGCAGCATCTATTGGTGGCAGTGCGCCGAGACCCCACGGAGGCGCCCCTGCTGCTGATGCTCTTCAGCTGTGTCGGCCTTCGTCCGTATCTCCCGACGCCAGGGATCCGTCTCCGATCGAAGCAGCAGCAGCTGCCTCTGGCAGTCGCCGCAGCTCCTTGTGTTGTGAAGGAAGTAGTTGGGCTGCCTCCCCAGCTGCTGCAGACGGAGACGGAAACGTCGAAACAAACGACGAAGACGGACGTGACACAGGACATTCTACACAACAACATGTGCGATCTCACGCACTGCAGCAAAGCGAGACCCGCTCTCCGCCAGCCTCAAGCTGCAGCCCAGCCGGGCCGTGGAACACCACTGGACAATTCACAGACTGCTCCGTGGTGACCACTGATCAGCCCTCCACAATGCACAACCAGCTCACTACACTTGCTAGCCCTTTTTACTCAGGCCAGAGAGGGATGTCCAGCAGTGACCTTAAGCGGACAAATGGGCCTCTGGAGGAGGAGCTTCGTGGAGGTAGCTGCCCGTCGTCGCCAGCAGCCCCTCCCAGCCAGCCTCTGAGGGCTGAGGAAGCGCAGCTACAGCCCCTGCTGCTGCATCTTGACACTCCCCAGGTGCGTGCACCCTTGAAATCAAAACAGGCCCAACAGAGGCCTGAAGGCGACGAGAATACTCAGCATACGCAAACAGTTGCAGCCGAAGAGGCACTGCAACAAGCTATCTCTGTTCTTGACTCTCGACCAACTGGAACACTCTCTGAGCCTCAGCAGCTGCAACAGGAGCTGCAGCAGGAACAGCAGGACACGGCAAGGCGCCGACCTGCGGTGGATTTCTCAATTAGAGAGGCTGGATGCAGCACGCGTTCACCGGCTGTGGACGTGGAGCAGCAAGACCAGCAGCAACAGCAACACCAGCAACACGGGCAGGAGGAATCGAGTCTAAAACGAAGCGACCTGAAGGGATGTGATGACAGCTTGCAAAACCCTCAGTTGACGTCCTCTAAGCCTCCTGCTGTTTCCAATCCCAGCGTGGAGCTCCTTTTGGCGGTGCGCAGAGATTGGAATTTCGGGCTCTCAACGATTGGGGAGTTGCCGTAGTGCTGTTGCTGCTGAGTCTTCTGCTGCTACGCGTGTTCGAGGGGCTGCTTGTTGGTGATCGTGCCGGTACTGCTGTTGCTGATGCTACCACTCTTGAAGTTTTATCGATGCTGCCGTTGTTTAACCGCATGCTTGAAAACATGGGAGCAAAGAAGCCGCGTCGCACTTTGGGGATGTTATCCTCTAGTAACTCACAGTAAGGTTGAGAGCTTAGAGTTTGCAGTTCAACCTTGTGGGTGCGATCCACTTTTGTTACTCCCTTCTTGCTGCAGCAAATAGACAACATAACGAAACAGTTACCGCCTAAAGTGATCGAAGCTGTCTGGGCCTCTCTGTCCAACGCCCGCGCAAGCTCTGCTGCAGTACTTGCTGCGGACGCTGGACTGGTTTCACCGGAATCAGCTGCAACAGCAAGCACAACGACAGCCGCCGCAGCCGGCTTTTCTGCTAATTCGGAAGCAGCATCGGCAACGACAGCAGCAGCTTCACCGGCAACTGCTACTGCATTTGTTGCGCCACGGGGCGTTTGAGCTTCTCCGTTTCTCCCTCGTGCTGGCCTCAGAATTGGGCCATTGGCATTTTCAGCACTTGAAGCCTTTGATCTTTGCATTGCGTGTCTCTTCTCAGCTGTCACTGGAGCTACCGTGCTCATTTGATTATAGTGGCAAATACACAGCCTCTGCCGTCACCCTAAAGCACAGCAGCGGGGGTTAGACCGCCGAGCTTTTGCTGGCTCTGCCTCTGGCTCTGTCTTCGGTTCGGCCTCTGTTGCTGTCGCCGTTTGTGTAGCTTAAGTTTCCTGTTCACCCGCGCCTTGTCGTTGTGTCTGCGGGCATCGTTTATTTTTCTATTTCCCGTGGTCTTCATTTGTTGATGCTGCAAAGTAATGCTGTCGTGCTTCTGCTGCTTTTCTTCACAGCCCCTCCTGACTCACTGCTTGCTCGTCCTTGCGTATTGCTGCGCCCTGAGCTGTACATGGTTTCAGGGAAGGCCTGTGCGTGTTCAACAGCGCAGCGGCCTCCTCACTCTGTCTGGCTCTCAGCATCTGTATCTGATTCTCTTCAACTGGCTCATGGCTGCTGATTAGCACATGAATCGGGATGGCGGAGAGGGGCCCTCATTGCTGCTGCTCTTGTTGCAATTGCAGAACTCATGCAGTGCATTGCAAGCGCTGCTCCTCTTCCCTGTCAGGCCTGCGTACTGCACACGCGTGTGTACATAGACACACAGTGAACAGCGTTCTTACAGGCACAGAGAGACATACATGCCTGTGGGTACAAGCCCAGGGTTTATTCTTGCTTTCAGCCCCCTTGAGACTGGCAAGCCCAGCAGCTGCAGCTGCCGGCGGTAGGCCGTTGCTGCGCGGCGCCTCGACAAGTAGCTAATGGTGGTGCTTGTTTCCCGTGCGCAAGTAAGTGTGCGTAGACGCAGACCCCAGTTGGGGGTCTTGTTGTAGGCTTGCTGTATGCCCACCTACAACCTGGCCTTGTGTGCGCGCTTGAGTGACGCCTGTTCCCACATGGCCACTTTTGTACAGCCGACAGTCGACAGTCGTTCTCTGCGCCCTTTTGGCGCCTTAAATTCTAAAAGCATTTTGTTTCTTTGCTGGCGTGCAAGCGGAACATTCACAAGCGTGGCCTGTACAGCTGTGCTTAGAGCTCGAGCGGAGAAACGAGAACATGCGAAGACAATCACTTGTAGGTGTACATCCCAGCATTAGTGTAGTTGCACGCACATAAGCAAAGGCAGCAACGGCGCCACAGTGGCCACTCCTGCTGAAACGTTGCATTATTCCATTACGAAGTGCCTCGTTGCTTCAGATGTCTTCTTTTGCTGAACCAAGTAGAGGGCTCTTCTCTCAGGCTTTCTGTACATATGTGCCTTTCGAATCTTCTCTTTCTGTGTTTCTTTTCCTTTAGCCGTGTAACCCAGTCTTCCGAGTTTTATTTCGCACTATATCTCACAAACAGTATCTTCACCGCCCCATTGTTGCGGTCAACAGTTTGCCATGGGCACAGAAACACCAACGCGAGTTGGCGCTTAAATCCAACAGCCGCGACAGCAGCAGTGACTAAAGCTGCAGCAGCGACGGCTGCGGCACCACCAGCTGAAACATACGAGAGCAGCAGTTGCTGCTGCTGCTCTGAAATCTGCCCTAGAGTGAGGTGCTTTTGCACCCCAGGCCTTACAAATGAGGTCACATTACAGCGCTTTGAAAGGGGAGCCTGTTACGGGGGCCTTCTGGAGGCAACGGTAGTACGCCTGTGCCTGTTCCTCGGTAGCCAGAAGGAAAGGATAGCCATCGAAGTTGAGCAAAAGACACTCTTGTGGGGTTTGGAATTTAATGGTGGTGGGTTTATAAACGTCTTCAGCATCCCCCACGATTTCCGTTGCTCCGAAGTGTGTGCCTTCCTGCAGGCCTTCCATTTTGCATGGCTGGCACTTGCTGCCGGCTGTTGCTGCGGCTTCTGCTGCTTTCTCTTCCGCCTCTGCTGCCGCAGCTGCCTCTGCTTCTTTAGAGGATATGTGCGCAACAGCTGATGGAACATCGGCCACCGACAGCGCCACATGCAAAAACCCTGGGTGCACAGACACCTGAGCAGCAACAGCAGCAGCAACAGAAACGCCGCCTGAAGGTCTCACATAGGCTCCCTAGCCCTCCCTAGCATTTTGTCCCAGGCCTAGCAATCCCACTGCTGCCTACAAACACTATTAATTGGTGCAGCTTTTTGCACAGATATGTCTGATCAGAGCTTGGCCATACGACACCCACACGAAAATGATGTGCACATGCATAGGGCCGGCCCTCTGCAGCAAAACTGCACCAGGACCGGCAGCTAAATCTCCTGCTGCGAACTCAAGACAAACAGCTCACCACGTTCTCGTCGTAGGCATAGGCCACCTGGACTTGTGGCACCTCACGTTCTGCTGCTTCCGTCCTGAAGACTTCAGCAGCAGCGGCGGGAGGGTCCTGCGCTGCAGGTCCTTCCCACTCTGTGGGAACAGTGGAAGTTTCCCCGTAGAGGCCCTGGTCTCCTGCTGCAGCTATTGCAGCAGCAACAGCAGCAGCAGCTGCTTTTGCGCCTTCGCTGGCCCCGGCCTTCGCCCGAAGGGCTGCTGCTTCGCACGCGTATGTGCGGCTGGTGGCAGCAAAACGAGTCCAAGGGTGCAGCCGCTCCAGCAAGTGGCTCTTGTAGCGCAGGAGCTGCAGCAGCCCGCAGCACAGCAGCAGTTTTCAAATCTTTCTCGCCAGATCTTTTTCTGTTTTTTTGTTCCCTTTTAATTTATGACAGCGCCCGCCTCTGTGCTTCTAACTTGCCCGCTGTGAATGCTTCGCTCGCTGCCACAGCTGCTCTGTTTGCTTCTGCTTCTCTTTGCGTGATTCTGTTGACTTGCTATAGTTTTCGTTGCTGTCTTCGGCTCCTAATGCTTCTTCGCTCTATCTTATCTCAATTCTGTTTCTACTTCTCAGTCTGCGTGCAAATTCCTCTCTCACTCCCCTGCCTACATGCGTTTCTTGTCTCTGTCTGCGCCTTTGCTCGTCTCCGTTTCCATTCCTCTTTGTCTTTTTATTTTATTGTGCGTTGCTCTCATTGTGACTCTCTGTTTCATAGCTCGCTACCTAGCCTCCAAGCTGCTGCGGACGCTGCTGCTGCCTCTACCGGCCTGCAGGTCCTGCTGCTCCCTTTGGATTTATTACATTGCTGCTTTCCCTCTAGTTAGCCTTTGAGACCCCTACGGGAGTCTGAGCTTCTCGCTTACTTGCATCTGCAGCATAGAGCCAAAGAAGCGATCGGCAGCAACTGGAGATGACGTGTAGAGTCGAATCTGCTCACATTCACAGGGAAGGCAGCAGCAGCAGCAGCTACAGCAGCAACAGCAGCAGAGTCTCCATCATGGCTCTGTGACCATGTCCCTCTCTTGTCGCTGCTGCTGGTGCTTCAAAATAGACGGAAAAGCAGCCCTACCTTCTGCAGTCTGGGCGAAAGGGGCCCCTTGTGCTGCAGTGCAGTGCCAGCTGCTGCTGCTTCCCTCTCCCGCTGCCGCTGCTGTTGCTGTTGCTCCAGCTCGTCAAGTATACGCTGCTGCTCGTTAAATACCGCCAGTTTTCTCTGCAGCTCCTGCTGCCGCTTCGTCAGCCTGTCGCGTTCCTGCTGCTGCTGCTCTTTCTGCTGCTCCTCCTGGTGCTGCTGCTGTTGCTGCTCGAGTTGTAGCAGCAACTTTTCCACTTCGTCGAGTTGCTGCAGCAGCTGCTGCTTCTCCTTTTGCCTGGAAATGTCAGCCTCCTGCTCCGCCATGTAGTTTTGCCAAGTATTGATTGCTGCTTCCTGCTTCCTCGCCTGTTCACTAAGACCAATGCTGCTGCAGCTGCTGCTGCTCGTCAGCTGCAGCACTTCCACCCCGTTCCCGTCGGGGTCCAGCATGAAGCAGCTCTGGCCCCAAATCTCTTGCCGCGCCTAAACGCAAGTTTAAACTCAAGACCCTGACCCCTGACAGCTAAGCAGCAGCAGAGCTGCTGCTGCTTCTTAAAGAAAGAAAGCTAGGGTTTAGCGTTTAGGGTTTAAGGTTAAGGGTTTAGAGCTGAGGGTTTAGGGTTTAGAGTGTAAGACCCACGTCTTGGTCTGGTACCATCGAAGGCACCTGCTTTCGCTTGGCGGGGAAGTGCAGCAGCTTGCCTCCAGCCTGCTGCACTTGCTGCTGCTGCAGCTGCTGCAGCGACGGCAGCAAAAACGAAAGTCCGAAGAAGCCATGATGGCCCCTGTCATATCTTCCTCTCCGCCTCTCATATCCACGCATGCGCGACAAGCTGGGCAGCAAACTGCTGCTGCTTCTGCTGCTGCTGCTGCTGCACTGGCCTGTCTGCCGCAGCGCCTCCTGCTGCTGGAAAGCAGCAACTGCAGCAACCAGATCGCTTTCTTCTTTTCTTAGCGCCGCTGCTGCTGCTGCTTCGGCCTCTCGCTGCTGCTGCGCCCATCTGCTGCTGTAGATCAGCTCCAGCTTGGGGCCCTGAGGGGGCCCCCCAGCAGAAGCCTCGGGGGGGCCCTCCGGGGGGCCCCCTGCTGCAGTTGCTGCAGCAGCCTCTGGGCCATACCCCAGCAGCACAATCCGATCTACGGGAATGCTGCTGCCCCCCGCAAGAGACACGCGGCCGCTCAGGGGCTCCCACAAGTGAGGGGACTGCTGCTGCAGCGCGGGGGGGGCCCCCTCAGGGGGTCCCCCTGGGGGCCCCTCAGGGGGCCCCCCTGGGGGCCCCTCAGGGGGCCCCCCCGGGGGCCCCCATAGCCCCAAAACCTTCATGCCCAGAAGCTGCGTGTAAAAATGCACCATCTTCTCTAAGTTCAGAGTCAGCAGGCGCACGTGCAGCAGCCGAGAGGCCCCCAGTGGCTCTCTGTGGGCTGCTGCTGCTGCCGGCAGTGCTGCAGCAGCTGCTGCTGCTTCTGGCGCTTCTGCTGCTGTCGATGCTGCTTCGCTTGCTGCTGCTGCTGCTGACGCTGCTGCTGCTCTTGTTGCTGCTGCCCCTTGTGCATGAGCTATTGGCTTCGGCGCTATGCGCAGCGGAATTGGAGAATGCGGAAGCAGAATGGCTGCTGGAGAGGAAGTAGCAGCAGCGGCAGCAGCAGCAGCAGCAGCAGCAGTTGCTGCTGCTGCTGCCGAGTCATTGCTGCTGTACGACTGCGAGCTGAAGTTTGCTTGAAGATGCGGCAGCACAAAGGCTTGAGAAGTGCTGCTAAGGAATGCCAAGACGATTAGCACTGCTGCTGTTGCTGCTGTTGCTGCTGCTGCTGCTGCTGTTCGGTGCGTGGGCAGCAAACGTGGGGGCCCCCAGAAGCAGAGGCAGCATGAAGTCATCGCCGAATGCAGCAAAGACCCCATGAGTTTGGGAATGCTGAGGGGCCCCCACAGCAAAGCAGGGGCCCCCAGCTGCGCATGCAGCTACAGTAAGCAGCAAGGCATAGACCGCAGCCTGCAGTGCTCGGGGCTGGGGGCCCCGAGTGCCGGCAGCAGCTGCAGCAGCAGAGGTGTCTGCAGCAGCAGAAGCGCTGGCGTGGGTGTAGATCTGCAGCAGCAGCAGCAGCAGCAGCAAATCGAGCAGGGAAGGCAAGCCCTTCCCTCTCGGGACTCCTCGCCTGCTGGTGCTGCGCAGCTGTCTGCGCAGCGTGGGCAGAGTGTATGTCCACTTTAAGCAGATAATCAACAGACAGAAGCCAGTCAAAACTTAACAAATTAAAATTAATTCCGCTGCTGCCACAACTCCCACATAAACGTTGGGAAGTGAGCCCCCCAGAGGCTCTCGAGGGTGGGACAAGGGGCCCCTTGAGCAGGGGGCCCCTTAGGGGCCCCTGGCAGGATTCCCTCTCTGCGGCTTGACGTGATGTTAGCTTATTTGTCTTCAAATGCTTCAATTTTATTATATTTTGCATATTTTTCCTCCGTAATTATTGGGGATCCCTGCGTTCTTCACTCCTCCCCTGCGGAGGGCGGGGCCCCCTGGGGTCTTGGCCGACAGTGTGGCGATCCTCTTCTTTCTCCCGCGAAAATCCGAACGAAAACATTTTAGTTTATTTTATTTGTTTATTTTGTCAATTTCAATCAAATTTTGTCTATGAAACGGTGATAAACGCGCCGGAACCCCCGGGCTCGTCGTGCACAGAGTGCACAGGCAGCCCAGGGGCCTCGAACTTCAGCCCAGCATGAAATTGCGAGCTGTTTCCTTCTGTCTGCTGCTACTTCTTTGCAGCGGCTTATGTCGAGGCTTTCGTAGCTCCCCTGGGACCCCCTCTTGCCTCATTTCTCCCGCAGCTAGCTCCTACACTGCCCATAGACTGAGGCGGGGGGGCCCCCTAGGGGCCCCCCAGGCGCCCCTAGCAGGCGCTCTGGGCCGCTTGCTTGCGGGGCCCTTCGCAGGGGACCCGGAGGAGTACTTGAAGCTGAGGAATACAGTTGAAAACCTTTCGGACTTCGAGGGGGGGCAGCAAATGCTGCGGCAGATGCTGCAGCGGCAGGAGAGCGAGCTGCAGCAGCACCAACACCCAGACTTTGCTGCTGCAAACTACAATAAAGTGAGGGCGCCTTGGCTTGTTTCTGTGGCTGCTCAGGGTCCCCATCTTTGCCTGGGGAGGAAATAGATAGTTCATAGTCTTTCTTTCTGTCTTTAGTTTTAGGGTTTCGGATTTAGGGTTTAGGGTTTAGGGTTTACGGATCTGCGCAGACTCGAGCCTTGAGGGCAAAGGCTTCTAAACAACCACGCAAGAAAGAGATCAAGCTGAGTGCCCGGTAACCCACCGCAGATACTGCTGCTGCTGCTGCTGCTAGCGCTGCTGCTGCTGCTAGCGCTGCTGCTGCTGCTGCTGTCACTGCTGCAGCAGCAGCTCTACTCAGCTGCAGTCGCTGCCTCGCATCCTGATAGTAGTGTCAGGGGAGTTTGGAAGTCTGGCAGCAGCAGCAGCAGCACCGAGAGGGACAGGAGCAGCACAGAGAGTGACACAAGCAGCAGCAGCAGCAGCAGCAGCAGCAGCAGCAGCAGCATGCGGAGTTTGCATAATTGGCTTCTTTCTTCAGGATTGCTGCGGGGGACCTCCAGCAGAAGGCGCGGCAGGCGCGGGTCTTCTTAGAAGGGAAGCATCAGGTGTGTCTGCTGCACCCAGCAGCAAAGAGCAGCAGCAAATTCAAAAGAAGAAAAATAATAATAAATTAAAATGAGGCAAACAAAAGAAAACAAAAAATGAATTGTTTAGAACTTCTGAAGAGGCAGTCTGCCTGCCGGCAGCAGCGACAGCAGCCCGCTGGCGCCGCAGCAGCAGCAGCAAAAGCAGCAGCAGCACAATGCACGTTTGCCAGCAGCAGCAGCACTCACGACACGTGGGCAGCAGCAGCAGCAGCAGACTCCCCCGCCCTGGAAGCTGTCTATACACTGCAGAGCTCTAAGCGAAGAAGCATGGAGAAGATCTGCTGCAGCAGTTTGCTGCAGCAATTCACTTTTTTCTTTTTCAGGTTTTGCTGCAGCAATTCACTTCTTTTTCCTCAGGTTGTGCTGCAGCAATTCACTTTTTTCTTTTTCAGGTTAAGTTCACGCTGCAGCTGAGGGGCCGCGAGCGGCTCTCCCCAGAAAACCACCTGCCGCTGCTGCAGCAGCTGCAGCAGCTGCTGCAGGATGTGGGGCAGCCTGCAGCAGCACCTCAGGCGAAGGGCCCCTGCTCTGTCCTCACTCTCTTTCTACAGCCGAAGAAGAAGCACGGCCGCGCCAAAATCAACCAGCAGCAGCAGCAGCAGCAGCAGCAGCAGCAGCAGCAAACAGACATGGAAGACACAAACGGAGCTGCAGCACAACCCTAGAAGCCCCACAGCTTTTGAGCGCAGCAGCAGCTCGCTGCACAACCTCCCATGGAACGGTCTTTGATCTGAGCTAGCATGCCAGCAAGCCAGCAGTTCGAGCTAGCTAGCTATCCAGCTAGCTAGCTAGCTAGCCAACTAGCTAGCCAGCTCGCTAGCTAGCTAGTTACCCGGTGAGGGGCCCTGCTAGCTAGCTGGGTTGGCTAGCACGCCCTTTAGGCGGTCACTGCAGTGGTTGGGCTGTGACTTGCTGCTGCAGCAGCTGAGTGACCGAGTGCAGCAGCAGCTGCATTCAGCGCAGCAGCAATCCAAGCAGCTGCAGCCAGCTAGCTGCAGCAGCAGCAGAAACCCACCTTCAGTCGTTCTTCCTACGCAGAGAAGCACTAACTGCCCGAGTAGCTCCTTAGCTAGCTACCTGGCAAGGCAACTATCAGCTAGCTGCTGCTGCTCAGCTAGCCAGCCCTCAGCTAGCTACCTGGCGAGGCAGAGGCAGCCGCCGAGCGACTTAGCTAGCTAGCCAGCCAGTTTGCTACCTAGTCATCTAGCTGGCTAGTTAGCTAGCTAGTTACCTAGCTAGTCAGCTAGCTAGCTAGCTAGCTAGCGGGTAGCCCGCCGCCTCTGCAGCTAGCTGGAGAGCCCTCAGCTGCACAAAAGGCCCCCTCCAGCAACAAAAGAAGGAATTACTTCCCTTGCTGCTGCTTGAGGGCATCTTTGGGACCTCTGGAGGCCCCCTGTGCCCTCTTGGGGGCCCCTCAGTTTTTATTCCTTGTCTAAGAAGCCCCAAAAGGCTTTTTAGGGGCTTCTCATGGGCCCCACAGTGGCGCCTCTATAAGATCCTTGTGGGGCCCCCATGTGCTTCAAAACGACCCCCTTGGGGCCCCCCACAGGCCTTGAAAAGGCCCTTTTGAGGCCCTTTTGGAGTTTGAAAAGACCCCTTTAGGGCCTCCCGCAGACCTAAAAAGACCTTTTTGGGGTCCCTCAGGGGCCCAAAACGGTCTTTTTAGGTCCCCTCTGGGGCCCTTAGGGGCCCCAGAGGGGCTCCTGGGGGGCCCCAGTGGGGACCCCTGGGGGGCCCCAGTGGGGACCCCTGGGGGGCCCCAGTGGGGACCCCTGGGGGGCCCCAAAAGGGCCCCAGCGGGGCCCCAGAGGGGCCCCAGCGAGACCCCAGAGGGGCCCCAGAAGGGCCCCCCAGGGGCCCCTCTGGGACCCTGGGGGGCCCCTCTGGGACTTCTAGGCCTCTACGGGCTGCGCTGTTCACCCCTCCAGCTTTTGGTTGCGCTCGCTCCTACGGAGGATCTGCTGCTGCTGCTGTTGCTGCTGCTGCTGTTGCTGCTGCCGGTTTTGCTGCTGCCTGCTCTGCTGGTGCTGATGCTGATGCTGCTGCTGCCTGTCCTGCTGCTGCCTATCCTGCTGCTGCCTATTCTGCTGCTGCAGCAGCAGCAGCTGCCGCCACACGAGGTCCTGGAACTCGTCGCTCTGCAGCGCAGCCGCGATTGCCTGCCTTAGAGACGCCCGCGAAACAACAGTGGTCTCCTCGTCTGCTGCTGCTGCTGCTGCTGGGAATGCTGCTGCAGCATCTGCTGCTGTTGCTGTTTCTGCTGCGGTCGACGCCACAGGGACCCCTGCTGATTCCAGCGCTGCTGCTGCTGCGTCATCGGTTGCTGCAGTCCCTGGGGCTCCTGTGCACTCCCGCTGCAGCAGCGCGAAGATAGCAGCAGCAGCAGCAGCAGCAGCAGCCCATAGACAGCAAGAACAGCCACCACACATGCGCAGAGCTTACTAGACACTGAGCTTCCTAGCTACACAGCCAGCTGCGCAGGCTAGCTGCTGAGCCAGCTAACTGGCTGGCTAGCTATCTGGCTGGCCAGCTAGCTAGCTAGCCAGCTAGCTAGCTAGCCAGCTAGCTAGCTAGCTAGGCGTGAGACATAGCAGGTGCCCATGCCTCACTGTGAGCATCTGCAGCAGCGACTGCTGCGAAAACGCTTTGGGGTAGTTGCAGCTACGGGACGGAGACAAGGGTGCGGAGCGTGCAATTGGCGCTGCTGCTGCTGCTGCTGCTGCTGCTGCTGTTGGCGCTGCTGCTGCTGCTTGGGGTGCTGCTGCTGCTGTTGGCGCCGTTGCTGCGCGCACAAAACGTGCGGGCTCTCCGCCCCGCTTTTGCTCTGAGGGCCGCCTGAGGCCGCCTGCTGGGTCACGCGGAGCAGCATCAGCTGCTTGCTGCAGTCCCTGCTGCTGCTGCTGCTGCTGCTGCTGCTGCTGCTGCTGCTGCAGCTTTTGCTCACGTTGCTGCCACCAGTGCTGCTGTGGCTCCTGGCGCTGCTGCTGCTCTTGTCCCGGCGGCTGCAGATACCGCTGCGGTCTCTCCTTCGGCAGTTGTGGTTTCTGGTGCTGCGGCTGTTGGCTCTGCCGCTGCTGCTGCTGCCGTTGCTGCTGCTGCTGCTCCTGCTGCTGCCGTTGCTGCTGCAGCTCTTCCTGCTGCTGCTGCAGCAGCTGCTGCTGCAGCTGCTGCCTGTCCCGCTGCACCTGCTGTCGCTCCTGCTGCACATGACCGCTTTCCGGCTGCAGCTGCTCGTGCTGCTGCTGCTGCCGATGTTCCCTGTGCTGCCGCAGCAAACTAATAATTGCTTTTCCTCCGTCTGCTGCTGAAGAGGGCAGACTTCTCGTTCTCGGCGGCGCTGTCTGAGCCTCTGCTGCTGCACTTGCTGCTGCCGTGTCGGCTGCTGCTGCACTTGCTGCTGCTGTGCTTGCTGCTGCTGTATTTGCTGCTGCTGTGTTTGCTGCTGCTGCTGCCCCCGCAGACTTCGCAGCAAGCCTCCCGCTCGCTGTCTCGTATGAATGCTCAAAGGCGCTCGGTATTGGCACGCCTCCAGTCAAGAAAGACAGCAACGCCTGAGACAGCAGCAGCAGCAGCAGCAGCAGCAGCAGATTCAGCCGCAGCAGCAACGGGTGTAGCAGCAGCAGCGAGACACTGGGGTATACTGCAGCAGCAGCAGGCGCCGCGTAGCTGCAAAAAAGCCATGAAAGCCCTTTCATGCACACCGCAAGCCGTTCTAAGCAGCAAATAATTTAGCAGCAACAGCAGCAGCAGCAGCAACAGCTGCTGCTGCTGCTGCTACTGCCCAGCGGCGCACTTTGCCTGCATTCTCTCCAGCTGGATCCCTTGCTCTCTCGTGCGGCCGCTGCTGCTGCGCTTGTTTCCCTTGCCTCACGATTTGCTGCTGCTGCTGCTGCTGCTGCTGCTGCTGTTGCTGCTGCTGCGGCGGCAAGCCCGGGAGAGACGCCACGTTCTGCGCTACCGCGCCTCCTCCCCCTGCTGCTGCTGCTGCTGTTGCTGCTGTTGCTGCTGCTGCTGCTGGCTCCGAGCTTTGCCCTTCAGACTCAAGCAGCTCTCGCAGCGCCTCCTGCAGCCGCAGCCTTTCTTCGTCGCTGTGCATCCACAGCCCGTAAACTGCATATTGATCCTGCAGCAGCAGCAGCAGCAGCAACAGCAGCAGCAGCAGCAAATCGACCTCAGCGCCACAATGCAGCAGCAGTAGCACCAGCAGAGGCGCGCACGGCAGACAGATACACCTCGCCTCAGAAAAGGACAGCAGCAGCAGCAGCAGCAGCAGCAGCAGCGCAGACCTGGCCCTCAAGCCCAGAGTGTTGGCCCACGCAGTGAAATACCTGCTGCTGCTGCTGCTGCTGCTGCTGCTGCTGCTGTCTGTGGCCAGACCCTACGGCTGCCTTTTGGCGAAGACGGCAGAGTCAACACCAGCACCAGCAACAGCAGCAGCAGCACGAGCAGCCGCAGCAGCAGCAGCAAGAGCAGCAGCAGCAGCAGCAGCAGCAGCAGCAGCAGCAGCAAGAGCGCACCTCGTTGGCCTCGGGAATCTTGTAGAAGACGTGGCTGGGCCCCGCCTCGACAATGAAGTTGGGGCCGGGGAAAATGTCTTGGAAGAAAACTTCTTCTCTGCACTGGTTGATGATGAACATGCGGTACTTAGCAGCACCTGCTGCTGCTGCTGCTGCTCCCGTTGCTGCTGCTCCTGCTGCTGCTCCTGCTGCACCCCCGGGGGCCTCGAACAAAGGACTTCGCCGGTGACCCCCCTTGTCCCCGCCATAGCGCAAATACATTTCCGAAGTCAGGGGCTGCTCGTGGCACGGCAGCAGCAAACAGCCCCACGAGGGGGCCCCCCCCGGGGGGGGGCCCCGGGGGGCCCCCGGGGGTACCCTCCGCTGGGTCAAGTGGAGGCCCCCCACAACATCCATTTTATTCCAAACCTTTCGAGCCACATCGAGGCGGTAAAGAGCCACGAAAGAGACTTGACAAATGATGCGCGTCACGCTCGCGTCGTAGCTGTGCAGGCACCTGCAGCAGCAGCAGCAGCAGCAGCAGCAGCAGCAGCAGCAGCGGCGGCGGGTGGGGAGAAGCTAATGCCGCAGCAGCTGCAGCGGACGGCCTAATAGCTGCGCCAGCTCCCACAGCGGAAGCGCGGGCAATGGACGCGGCGCACAGGGAGCTGCAGCAGCAGACAGCTGCGAACAAGCAGCAGCAGCAGCAGAAGCAGCAGCAGCAGCAGCAGCAGCAGGATTACTTCAGTGACAGAAGCGTGCGAGAGAGATGCACCAACGCCGAAGGAGGGCCAGAATTTTCTCCCTCCTTCTTTTCCTTTGAGTCCTCAGGAGCAGCGGCAGGCCCCGCTGCTGCCAGTGCTGCTGCTGCTGGGGCTGCTGCTGGCGGCGCTGCTGCTGCTGCTGCTGCTGCTGGGGCCCCACATACTGTGAAGGATACAACAGCGGGGTCTGAAGACAGCCGAGGCGGCATCTGCAGCACAAGTGCGGGGCCCCGGGGCCCCAAGGGAGAAGGTAAGAAAGCTGCGGGGGGCCCCAGGTGCCCACAGGGACTCGCGGGGACCTTCCAGTAGACTAGCAGCTCTAAAAAAGCTGCTGGGGCTGGCGAAAGACAAGAAACGCGAAGAAGAAAGAAAGTGATGGAGTGTTGGCTTCAAACCTGGCAGTGTGTTGGAAGGCGAGCTCGGCAGGTGTATGTACACCGCAGCAAACACGAGCAACGCGTCCTGCTAAAAAAATAAGCCTCTACAGTTATAAATTTCAATTCTTTTTTCGATACTGCGATTAAGAGCGCAGAAGAAACCGCGCCGCTCACAGTGCAGCAGCGGCAGCGGCAGCAAAGCAGCCTGAGGAGCAGCCCTTGCGCTCACCTCGCCTAAGAGACAGTCGAAAACGAAAGACTGCCTGACACAAAAATTCATTTAAGTTTCAATGACTAGAAAAATGCCCTGAAACGCAGCAGCAGCAGCAGCAGCAGCAGCGCCAAAGCAGCACAAAGACACAGCACGGCGCATGCAACAGCGGACCGTTCCAGCCGCCGCCGACGGCCACAGCCACCGAAATCAAGAACTATTCAGCAAATCTTCTGTTTAATTTAGCTTTTAAATATTCAAACTGTAAAGGTTTTCAATCCCGCCAGGCGTTCAGCAGCAGCAGAATCCGCAGCTCGCGCCGCAGCAAGCAGCAGCCACGCAGCAGCCCCAGCTAGCGAAGAAGCAGCAAACAGCAAGAGCAGCAGCCACGCCTCGTGAAGCAGCAGCATGCAGCAAGACAGCAGCAGCAGATCCAGAAATAGCAGCAAGCAGCAAGAGCAGCAGCAGCAGCGATCCGCATTCCCCACCTGCCGCCCCCAGCAGGCAGCAAAGTACAACCAATTAATAATAATAATTCAATACAATTAAAAAGCAGCAGCAGCAGCTAGCTGCACTTAAAAGCAGCAGCAGCAGCTAGCTGCACTTAAAAAATGCTGCTCCCCCCCGGAGCCCCAGCCACCCAGCGAGCACAGCGCCTCGTGGCTAGCCACGGCTAGCCACAGGCAGCTGCAGCTAGCCACAGCTAGCTGTTAACAGCCACAGCTAGCCGCAGGCAGCTGCAGCTAGCCACAGCTAGCTGTTAACAGCCACAGCTAGCCACAGGCAGCTGCAGCTAGCCACAGCTAGCTGTTAACAGCCACAGCTAGCCACGGGGGGGAAAGGTGCGGGGAAGAACAGCTCCCCACATTTAATGAGACCTGAAAGCCAGAGCTGCGCCTCCCTGGGGGGCCCCCCGAAGGGGGCCCCCCAAAGGCTTGGGGGCCCCCCAAGGCTGGGGGGCCCCCCAAAGGCTGGGGGGCCCCCCAAAGGCTGGGGGGCCCCCCAAAGGCTGGGGGGGCCCCCAAAGGATGGGGGCATCCGAAAGAGAAGAGGGGACCCCAAAAGGGAAGGGGAGCCCCCAAATGATGGGGGGCCCCCCAAAGGGTGAGGGGGCCCCTGAGAAAGATAAGGCACTGAGAGGGGGGCCCCCTTGATAGTGGGGGCCCCCCTGGGGCCCTTGTGGGGAGCTGCTGCTCCCGTGTTGCTGCTGCGAAGAAGGGTAGAGCATAAGCTGCTGCCTCGCAGGTCTTTTCGGTTTGCTTCTGTGCCTTTTGTGCAAAACCCTAAACCCTAAACCCTAAACCCTGGGAAGCTGCACTGTTGCAGCAGCAGCTGCGCTTCACTTGCGCTGTGCTGCTGCTGCTTCCCTCCCCTGGCGCGGGGCCACAGCTGAGTAGCAGCTAGGGGCCCAAATTGCTGCTGCAGCAGCAGCGCTTGCTGCTGCTGCTGCTGCTGCAAGAGGCTCCTTAGGCTGCAACAGCGGCAGCTGCTGCTGCCCTTACATCGCCTTCGCTGCGCTCCCTGAGACTTCCTCAGCAGCAGCAGCAGCAGCAGCAGCAGCAGCAGGAAAGACACAAGCAGTTAAGCCCAGGTGCTTCCCAGCTGCTGCAGCTGCTGCACAAGGGCCCAGGCCTCATCTCCAGCAAACAGCAAAGGCGAGTCCAGCTGGGCGTAGCCAGCAGCAACTCCACCTTCATCTGCTGCTGCTGCTTTTGACCTCAGCAGCGTCCCGCAGCTCACGTTGAGCTCATAGCTGCTGCTGCTGCTGCTGCTGCTGCTGCTGCCGCTGCTGCTGCTTAGCAGCTGCTGCCCTTCTCCGCAGTACAGAAACGCACTGAAGACTCCCAGCTCCCCCACAGTTGCAATGGCTCTGCACTGCACCGACGAAAAGAGCCCTTGCTGCTGCTGCTGCTGCTGCTGCTGCTGCTGCTGCTGCTCTGCTTCCATTCTCAAACACAAAGAAGGCAGCACAGGAGGGAACATGCGCCGCACGAGGACATAAGACTGAAGCCTGTCTGGGGCCTTCCCAGCAAGGCCTGCAGCAGCAGCAGCAGCAGCAGGGGCAGACGCAGCAGCAGCAGCAGCAGAGTGGGCGCCAGGAGGAGCAGCAGAAGCAGCAGGAGCAGCAGCAGCAAGGTGCCGCGAGAGCAGCTGCTGCAGCAGCGGCCCGCACACGTTGTTGCCCCCGCCTTCCCGCTGGGGCTTCAGCAAATAGAGCTGGGGATTAGCCACAGCGTCTTCGACCATAGCTAGACTCAAGGCTTCCAGTGGGGTGCTTGCTGCTGCTGCTGCTGCTGCTGCTGCAGCGGGTGCTGCTGCTGCTGCTGCTGCTGGGAAAGGCGTGTCTGCAGGGTCAACGTGGGGCTGCAGCACTTCGCGAACTGCTGCTCTTGCTGCTGGGCAGGGCAAGAAGCGCTGCAGGACATCTTCTACCTGTGCGGACGCAGCGGAGCACCCCAGCTGCTGCTGCTGCTGCTGCTGCTGCTGCTGCTGCAGCCGCAGGAGCTGCTGCAGGTCCCTGCTGAAGAGCTGCTGCACCTTCTTTGTGCCCGCGAGCTGCGCAGCAACTGAAGGGACTTTAATTGCGTCGGAGACCTCCAGCATTTCTCTCAGCTGCCAAATGCCTTCGTGTGGGTAGTGGCTGGGGCAGTACAGCGACCGCAGCAGCAGCAGCGACACTTCGTGCCAGCAGCAGCAGCAGCTGGACTCCTGCTGCTGCTGCTGCTGCTGCTGCTGCTGCTGCTGCTGCTGGGGGCAGCTGCAGCGGGGGCCGCGGCCTGGAGGCAGGCTGCGGAGCAGCAGACGGCCTGCGGGCGGGCAGGGCTCGTCTGCTGCGCCGGTGGCTTTCCACTTGCTGCTGCTGCCGTCGGGGTGCAGCAGCAGCAGCTGCTGCTGCTGCCACAAGTCGTAGAGCTGCTGCGGGGACAGCCGCAGCAGCTGCACGCCGCTCGCCGTCTCCACTGCTGTCTGCAGCTGCAGCTGATCAAATAAGTTGGTCTCGGGCTCGAGACACACTAGCAGCATCACCATAGGAAACACGCGCTGCTGCTGCTGCTGCTGCTGCTGCTGCTGCTGCTGCTGCTGCAGCTGCTGCTGCAGCCGCGCTACGTAGGCGCGGTGGGCAGCAGCAACAGCAGCAGCCATTTCCTCCACAGGCGTATTGTGGGGGCAGGCTGGGAACTCCTGGGCCCCCCCGGGAGAAGCAGCAGCAGCGGGAAAAGCCCCAGCTAGCTGCTGCTGCTCTTTGGCTAGCTGTGCTGCAGCTAGCTGCTGCACCAGGAGTCTGTGCAGCTCCGACACGCGCTGGCTCAGGCCCGCAAAAGAAACAGCAATTGTGTTCACCTCCACCAGCCGCAGCGGCCAGGCTCTTGCCTCTTCTGCTGCTGCTGCTGCTGCTTCTGTTGCTGCTGCTGCTGCTGGGTGCTGCTGCTGCTGCTGCTGCTCGACAGAGGTGTCCAACATGAAGTCTGTGCGCAGCAAATGAAGCCGGATGTCCTTCTGGATGGAACGCGGCGCACTCTTGCTGCTGCTGCTGCTGCTGCTGCTGCTGCTGCTGCTGCTGATGTACACTCTTTGCAAAATCCGCAGCAGGCGGGCCAGGAAGGCATCGTGTGCTGCAGCAAGCTGCAGCTGCTGCAGCAGCCACTGGGGGTCTGTTGTGATGTTGTCTATGAGCCTGTTGAAGTGGGGAGCCACAGAGAGTGCCTGCAGCAGCAGCAACAGCAGCAACCGGGGAGGCAGCAGCAAATGGAGGGCGGCAGAAGCCACAGCAGCAGCCGCAACAGCAGCAGCAGCAGCAGCAACAGCAGCAGCAATAGCAGCCGCAGCAAATTTCTTGGGCAAATCACCTGCTTATAGCGACAAAATGGGAACGGAGAAGGCAGCAAAAGAAAAGGAGCAATCCGAGCCCTCAACAAATCCGCGGCAAACTGATCGAGCTGCTGCTGCTGCTGCTGTTGCTGCTGTTGCTTCTGCTGCTGTTGCTGCTGCTGCGGTTGTCGCAGCAGCAGCAAGCCGCTGTTCATGGCCAAGTGCACTGCCCGCAGCAGCAGCTGGGGGATGCTGCAGTCGCTGAGCAGCAGCCGCTGCAATTCCAAAGGCTGCTGCTGCTTCAGTAGAAGGGCAGCTGGCTGCGCCTCATGCAGGACTTGCTGTGCGCCTTTGTGCGGGTGAGAGGCGCCATTGGGACCCACTGCTGCTGCTGCAGTAGCCGTTGCTGCTGCTGCTGCTGCTGCTGCTGCTGCGTCATTCGAGGCGGGGGAAACGAGCTGCACGGCGGAGAGCACGCGTAGCAGAGCAGACAGCACATCCTCCACACTTGGTGAAGGCCTTGACTGCTGCAACATCGCCTGCTTCTGCAGCTGGTCTTGCTGCTGCTGCTGCTGCTCCTGCAGTTGCTGCTGCAGCTGCAGTCGGCTCCGCGTGTGCGCAGCGCTGCCTACTGCATCTGTCCCCCCAAAGCCCTCATCTACTCGGGGCCCCACGCCCTCCGCAGGTGCCGCCTCAGAGCAGCTGGCGCTTGCTGCTGGCTGCAGCAAATGCAGCAGCAGCAGCAACTGCAGCAGCAGCGCTTGGGAGTTGCAGTCAGCGGCCTCAACGGGAGGCTAATGGCTAGTGGAAGAACGCATAAATGAAACTGTCTTTTGTAATTTCTATGATTCGGGGCCCGTTGCTAGCTGCTTTTGCTGCTGCAGCTGCCGCCGCCGCCGCTGCTCCTGCTGCTCGACTTGGCTCCAGCCACAGCTGCATGCGCCTTCTACAGATCAGGATCAAAAGCAGCAGACACCGCGGCAATTCGATTTTTAGTTGTACATACACCCCAATCTGTGCTGCCTTTGGCTGGCAGCGGGCGCTGCCTCGGTCTGCTGCTCTGCTGCTGCCGCTGCTGCTGCTGTCTTTGTAAGCGCAAGGACCGCAACAGCAGCAGCGGGACCAGCTCTGCTGTCTGTAGCAGCAGAAGTAGCAGCTTCCAGCTGCTTTTGTGAGTCTAGCTGTTCTTCTGGGGGCTCTGGCCTCCCCATTGCGGCGGAAGCAGTGCCAGCAGCAGCAGCAGCAGCATGCTGCAGCAGTAGGGGTCGAGATTGCTGCTGCCCATGGCAGCTCCTCAGGGGCCTCAGGGGTTCCAGGAGCCCCATGGTGCTGGTGCTGCGGCCCCAAGTCCTGCATCAGCAGCAGCAGCGGGCGGAACGGCAGCAGCTACGGCTGCACCTACCGTTGTTGTACCACCGGCAGCAGCAGCACCAGCTCCTAATGCAGCAGCAGCAGCAGCAGCCCCGGCGGTCGCTGCAGCAGCAGCATCACCTGCAGCAGCGACGCCAGCTGCGGGATCAACTGCAACACCAGCTTCTGGAGCAACAGCAGCACCAGCTGCTGGGGTAGCAGTACCTGCCGCATCAGCAGCACCAGCCGCAGCAGCAGCTGCTGCTGCTGGTGCAGCACCAGCAACACCAGTTGCCGCAGCTCGTGCTGCATCTCCCGCTACAGCTGCTTCTGTGCGGGGCCAGCAGTGCATTCAGTTGCTGCAGTCGCAGCTAAGCAGGAATGCGCTGCAGCTCATAGGGAGCAGCAGCAGCAGCAGCAGCAGCGGCACCACGGATACCAAGATCCTACTGCCGCAGCAGCGGCCTTTGCTGCAGCAGCAAACGCTGCTGCAGCGGCCGCCACTCTGCGGCACCCCTGGTCTTCCGCTATACACAGCAGCCACTGTTCCAAGCCATCCGCTTCTCAAGCAGCAGCTGCCACTGCCGCAGCAGCTGCCACTGCAGCAGCCGCGGCAGCAGCAGCAGCAGCTGTGGCTGCATCAGCAGCAGCAGACACAGACGCCGCAGCAGCAACCACTGCAGCAGCAACCGTGGCACCAGCAGCAGCAGCAAGCGCAGCAACAGCAGCCGCGCCAGCAGCAACAACAACAACAGCCGCAGCAGCAGCAACAGCCGCAGCAACAGCCGCCGCGCCAGCAGCAGCAGCAACAACAACAGCTGCAGCGACAACAGCAACAGCAACAGCAACAGCAGCAACAGCAACAGCAGCCGCGACAGCAGCAGCAACAACAGCAGCCGCGGCAGCAGCCGCAACCAGTTCCAGCGACCGTCGGTCATGTGCCCAGGGCGGTTCAACCCCAGCAAGTGCAGCAGCAGCAGCAGCCACTGCAGCAGCAGCAGCAACCACTGCAGCAGCAGCAGCAGTCACTGCAGCGGCAGCAGCAGCCACTGCAGCAGCAGCAGCAGAAGCAAGAGCAGCTGGGACAAAATCAGAGGCAGCAGCAAGCGCTGCATCAACAGCAGCAGCAGCAACCAAAGCCTGTGGTAGTCTCGGGGGGTGGTGTTAAGGCGCAGCGGCACTCACCACCTGCTGCTGCTGCTGCTGCTGCTGCTGCTGCGGGGGCAGCCTCCGTTGCTGCTTCCTCGGGGGCGCGTCAAGGCAGCGCCAGCAGCAGCAGAGTTGATCACACTTTAAGTTCGGTCCGGAGCCAGCCGGCAGCAGCAGCAGCAGCTCAATCACCAGCAGCAGCAGCAGCAGCAGCAGCAGCAGCAGCACCAGCAGCAGCAGCAGCACCAGCAGCAGGCGCTGCGGCTGTGAAGACGGGGGCCCGAGGGAGCCAGAGCCCCGCGAGGAGCGCCCCGAGCACGAGCACGAGCAGCACGGACACGAGCAGCACGAGCAGCAGCAGCAGCAGCACGACCCCGACCGCGGCCCCGACCAGCAGCAGCAGCAGCAGCAGCAGCAGCAGCAGCAGCAGCGGGGTGATGAGCGAGCGGTCGAAGCAGTGGCTGGCGTACGACAGAGAACACGGGACGCTGTGGGGCCGGGACTGGGCGTACTACCGTTTGCTGCAGCAGCGGCTGCCGGCTTCGATTTCGCTGCAGCAAGCAGCAGCAGCAGCGCGGCGCGCGCCCGCGGAGCTGCTGCAGCAGCGCAGAACCCTCAGCAGCATCAAACTTCGAGAAGACCTTTCTTGTCCCATTTGCATGTCCATTTTAGATCACACTGTTGTCGTCAAGACTTGCCTCCACCGCTTCTGCGCAGAGTGCATAGAAAAGTGCGTTCGCATTGGCATTCGGGAGTGCCCCCAGGTGAGGGTTTAGGGTTTAGGGTTTAGGGTTTAGGGTTTAGGGTTTAGGGTTTAGGGTTTAGGGTTTGGGGTTTGGGGCTTGGGGCTTGGGCGTTGGGGTTCGGGGTCCGGGGTTTAGGGTTTGGGGGTTAGGGTTTGGTTTTCAGGGTTCAAAATTTGGGGATTAGGGTTAGGGTTTAGGGTGTAGGGTTTAGGGTTTAGGGTTTAGGGCTTAGGGTTTAGGGTTTGTGGTTTGGCTTCCACGGGGTTCGAGGCATCACCGGAGAGCAGCAGCGAAACCTAGAGTCTTAGGCTCAGCCGTCAGGGCCAGTTGCTCTGTCGTTTCTAGGGTTTAGGGTTTGGCGTCTAGGGTTTAGGGTTTAGAGCCTAGCTGGGGTCCACCTGCTCTGTCGTTTCTCGGGTTTAGGGTTTAGCGTTTAGGGTTTAGGGTTTAGAGCACATTTGGGTTCGGGGTGCACTAGAGCGTGTTGCGGAGCCGGATGGCTGCTTGCCTCTCGCTGCCCTCCCTGCTGCACCTGCCGCTGCTGCTGCTGCTGCTGCTGCGCTGCTGCTGCTGCTGCTGCTGCTGCTGCTGCTGCTGCTGCGCGCAGTGTCGGTCCCACGTGGCCTCGCGCCGCAGTCTGCGCCCCGACGGCGCGCTGGACAGAGTTGTGCGTCGCATATTTCCTTCTTTGGAAGCTTTTGAAGAGAAGCACCATGTGCTGCTGGCGCGGGCGAACCAGCGGTTGAATTCGAGTCAAGGAGCAGCAGCAGAACACGCTGCTGCTGCTGCTGCTGCGGCCGCAGCAGCAGCAGCCGGCGCGGCCGGCGCCGGCGCAAGTCCTGTGCCAGACGCCCTCGCTGCAGCAGACCCCGCTGCTGCACACAAACGCAGCTTAGCGGCAGCTGCGGAGCTGCTGCAGCAGCCCTACAAGAAGCTTGCAGCGACTCCCAGCAGCAGCAGCAGCAGCAGCAGCAAAGTCTATCCCGGACTGTTCCCCCGCGCGCCAACCCCTGCCGCTTTCATCGACGCCTCGGGCCAGCCGGTGCCGCGGCAGCAGCAGCAGCAAGGGAGGGCCTCAGGTTCAGCTGCTGAAGCAGCAACAGGCAGCAGCAGCAGCAGGTATCTCACCATGGCCATGCAGGCGGTGCTGCCGCCCCTGGAGAAGAAGCGGATGCGGCGGGAGTTGTCTGTGCTGCTGCGGAAACAGCAGGTTGCAGCAGCAGCAGCAGCCGCAGCAGCAGCAGGAACTGCAGCGGCGGACGCGAACCCAGAAGCAGCAGCACCGATGAAGCTGCGCTTTGAGCTAATCCCCGACCCGCTGCTGCCGCAGCTGCCGCTGCTGCAGCAAAACAAATTCTCCACTGAAGGCCACAGCACAGTTTTGCAGCTGTGTCGCTTCATTGCTGCGCGCCTCAACCGCCAGCTGCAGCAGCAGCAGCAGCAGCAGCAAATCGGGGAGCTGCGGCTCTACACCAAAGAACACCGCGTCCCCTTCGGCCCCAATGTAACTCTTGCTGCTCTCCACCAGCTCTCTTTGGCTTATCCCATGGAGTCTCTTGTGGTTTACTACACAACAAGAAACTATGGAGATGAGGGTCTGCTGCTGCTGCTGCTGCTGCTGCTGCTGCTGCTGCTAGTGTTGGTTGTGTTTCGCAGCTGCTGCGGCGGATCCTTTCGGAGGGCCGAATGCGCTGTAGGGTGTATCTGTGTTTCGAGTCTTGCTGCTGCAGATGCTGCACTTGCTGCTGCAGCTGCCGCTGCCCACTGCCGATATGGCTGCGTGCTAGGCTTGTGGGGTCATGGGCTGCTGCTGCTGCTGCTGCTGTTCGTGCTGCAGGCGGCGGTGCACTGAGTGGCATTCGTGGACACCTGACTGAGGTATCTTTGCTGCTGCCTGCTGAAAGCGCAGCAGCGAGCCGCACTCATTCGCAGCAGCAGCAGCAGCAGCAGCACGGCGGAGGGCGTGGAGGGGCCCTACAGGAAAGGCTCTCAAGCACTCCACCGGGCACTTCTGCTGCTGGAGGCCCCCGCCCTGCTGCTGCTGCTGCTGCCTCCCCTCGAGGCGCCAGCAGCGGCAGAAGTGCACACAGTTACTCCAGGTCCGCAGCAGCTGCAACGACAGCTGCAGCCACAGCTGCTGCTGTTGCAGCACGAGAAGCAGCAGCAGCAACGGCGCCCCCATTAGCGGGCGCTCCCTCTGGAACCCCACCGAGGGGCGTGGGGACCTCAGCAGCAACAGCAGCAGCGGGAGCAGCAGCAGCAGCTGCTGCAGCACCCCAAAGGACACCTGCGGCTACTGGGATGTACACTAGCGCGACATCGGCTGCGCGGCGCGTTCCCGCTGCAGCAGCAAGGACGGCAGTAGTAGCAGCAACAGCGCCAGCAGCAGCAGCAGCAGGGAGGATGTATGTGGCTCCAGCTGCTGCTGGATCTCCAGCAGCAGCGGCAGCGGGAGCTGCGCAGCTCGGACGGCCAGCTGCTGCTGCTGCAGTGAGTCCAGCGGGTGTCCTTGCTTCTCTTCCCGCAGCAACAGCAACAGTAGCAGCAACTGCAGCAGCAGTGTCACTGCAGCAGCTGCCGGGAGTCAGTGCTGCAGCAGGGCCCCAGTGGCAGGGGGCCCTCCAGGGGCCCCTCAACACTCTAGGGAAGCCGCAGCTGGCAGGGGGGCCCCCCTCGCTGCAGCCAGCCAGTGGGGGCGGCCCGTGGCGGCCTGCTGCGCCGGGGCGTTAGTGTGGGTTGCTGCGTGGCAGCAGCAGCAGCAGCAGCAGCAGCAGAGGCGGCAGCGGCAGCAGCAGCAGCAGCAGCACGAGCAGCAGGTCCGTTTCACATTTGAAAGCCCGAAGTTTGGGGCTGTGCCTCCTGGGCCTCTGCTGCCCAGAGGCAAACGGCCGCCGTGTCTTTGCATGCATGCGCATTTTCTGTTTGCACTTTGCTGCTGCTGGGGTGTATGGACACGCGCAGACCGACGCAGCAAATGGTGGGGAGGCAGCAGCAGCAGCAGCAGCAGCACAGAAGCCACACAGGCCCACAGCCTTCGCTGCAAATGGCCGTAGGCAGTCCCGTAGCTAGCTAGCCAGCCACAGGTAGCTAGCTGCTTCGCCTGCAAGCCAGCGCAGTCCTCAGGGCCTTGCCGCACCTCCACAGCTTGCCAACTAGCTAGCTAGCTAGCTAGCTAGCTAGCTAGCTAGCTTGCGGCGGCTCCATAGCTGTCAACTAACTAGCTAGCTAGCTGGCCAACTAGCTAGCCAGCTAACTAGCTAGCCACGGAACTAGCTAGCGAGGTGACTAGCTAGCTACGAAACCAGCTGGCCAGCTATCCAGCTAGCTAGCTAACTGGCTAGCCAGATAGCTAGCTAGCTAGCTGGGGCAGCTCAGGCCAGCCGACGGGCAGCTGCGAAGTCCAAACCCCTGAAAGCGCCAGCCCTGGTGCATGCACAGTCGAGCTGCTGTAGGGGCGCAGTTTTTGGTGCGCCTTTAGTGCTTCTGGCTGCGAAGCTGAAGTTTGTTGCTGCAGCTCGTGCTGCTGCGGCTGCTGCTGCTGCAGCGAGGCCTCTGCTGCTGCCGCCTACACGGGCCTGCGCCGCGGGGACTTGTCTGTCTGCAAATTGGGCGGGCCCAGGGGCTTCGTGGGTTGCTGGAGTTGACGGATCCCACGGGCCACAGCTGGAAGCCCTAGACAGGCCCCAAGGGCTGTCGGACGCAGCAGCAGCAGCAGAAAGCTGAAATTAAAACTAGCGAGACCTAAGTATTTATGGGTGCCTGGGCAGTTTCTGTACATAGTGTGCTGCCTAGAGGCCGCCGCAGCGCAGTTGCAGCGGCAGCAGGAATGGCATTGACTCTGGAGAAAGCAGCGGCAACAGGAGCAGCAGCGACAGCCAGCGCCGCGTCAGCAGCACAATGGGCCTCACTAAATGAAGATTAAGATAGAAAATTACACATCGGTAACGGGTAGAGGGACGCAGTTGCAGGCGAGCAGCCAAATCAAGCCCCTTGGCAGCAGCAACAGCGGCGGCAGCAGCAGCAGCAACAGCAGCTGGGTGCGGACAGCCACAAAAACTAAAAAGGAATTTCCACGGATTTAGCGCCCCTGATGATTTTGTTTAAAGCAGCTTAGTCGCCGGTTCGAGGTGTCCAGTGCTGCTGTTGCTGCTGCCGGCTATGTAGCTGGGCCCGCCGCTGCCTTTGCTGCTTGAGCTGCTAATGCCGCAGCTGCCGCTGCTGGTGCAGCTAGCGGAAATAAACCCAATTTCTGGTGAATCTTACGTTACTACTTCTTCTGTTAAACGCTGAACACATTAAAGTCTTGGGCTCGACACTAAAGAAAGCACGAGCAGCAGCAGCAGCAGCAGCACGGGGGCAGGCAGCAGCAGCCAACTACTGGTTCGGGCTGAGTGTGCAGCTCAGAGGCTGCTCTTTGGCTTTCGCTTTTCTGAAGAATGGAGCTTCTATTCGTCTTTTGTACTCTTTGAAGCCTTGCAAATCCTTTCTCATTTGTGTTTGCTGCAGTTGGTGCTGCAGCGGCTTCCGTGTTTCCTTTTCCCGCGTTGTTGTGGCTGCCCGCCGAGCGCTGCTGCCGCTGCTGCTGCTGCTGCTTCAGCTCTACTTCAGCTGCGTCTGTTGCTTTAAACGACAGCTAGATACCTCGAGTTGACTACACTGCAGCAGAGGAAAACAGCAGCAATATGGGGCAGCAAGGCTCTTCCTTGGGCAGCGATGGCCGCCCCAGGCAACTACACCCGGCAGGTACGCTGGTCAACAGGCCTGTTTCTTCGCCGCTGCTGCTGCTGCTGCTGTTGCTGCAGCAGCAGCAACAACAACTCAGTGTTTATTCTCCTCGCCCTCTTACAATGAGGCCTGAGGCTTTTCACCTGCATCCTGGGGGACCAGGCGAGGGAAGAGGGGCACCATGAGGCCTATCGATTCCTGCACGGCAGGCCTGCTGCTGCTGCTGCCGCTGCTGCTTGCTCAGCTGTTGCTGCTGTTGCTGGTATTGCAGTTGCTGTTGCCCCCCGAAGCTGAAAAAAATGTGCGAGCCGCAGCTGATTTGCTGTGGTCGCGTGGGCAACAGCAGCAGCAGCAGCAGCAGCAGCATGACCAGTGACGGCAGAGTTAGCGGCTGTAGCAGAAGTAGCAGCAGCAGTCAGATCAGCAGCAGCAGACGCAGAAGTCGCGTCCACAGGTGCTGTCGCTTGGACACTCAGGCGCTGCAGCAGCAGCAGCTGACGGGGAGGCAGCTGCAGCCTCAGCAGCTATTTCAGCAGCAGCAGCAGCAGAAGCAGCACATAGTTTAAGTTGGCCGAGTGTGTGTTTGCTGCTGCAGCGTCCAAGTCAGACAAACTGGCTGCCACGCCGGGCATGTTTGTGCAGCACTCTACAGCAGCCTTCAGCGACAGGTTAGTTGTTGTTTTGATTAATTTTATTCTTTTATTTCAGCTCTAATTCAAAATATCTTCTTCTTCTGTGGCCTTGTGTTTCTTTGTTCGGCTGGCTTCCTCCGTGCTGCTGCGCCAGTCGCGTTGCGCGCAGCAGCAGCAGGTAGCTCGGGCTTCCGATGAGACAGGAGCTACTTGCTGCTGCTGCTGCTGCTGCGTCTACTGATGTTTCTACTACTACACTCACCACTACTGCTGCTGCTGTTGCTGCTGCTTATGGTTTAAGCTGTGCATTCTTTCCTATTGTCCTGGCTGCGCCGTCCGCCGTCAGTTGCTTCCTCTTGTCTTTCGCTCTTCTCCTCCTCTTGCTGCCCGTTGTTGTGCCCATTGTTGCCCCTCACATTTGCGTCCCTTGTGCAGCAGCAGCAACGGCAGCAACAGCAGCAGCAGCAGCAGCGGCATTACTGTTGTGTTTGCGGTGTTCTTCAGGTACAAGGGCCAGCGCGTGTTGGGCAAGGGCAGCTTCGGTGAAGTTATTTTGTGCAAAGATAAAGTAACCGGGCAGGTGAGGCTCATTTGCTGCAGCTGCTGCTGAGTCTGTGCGTCAGTTTCTTTCATCTCTCTGCTTCCCTCTTCAATTCTCTTCCTTTTTTCGGCAGTGTTCGAGGACTCGCCCTAACGGGAGCTTGTTTTTGCCTCTCTGCTGCCTCCTCTGCTTTATTATTTCGTTTTCAGTTTTAATTGTGTTTATTTTCTCGTCAATTCGTTCACGGTTGTTGCGGGCCGTTTCGGCTTCACGCTGGCGCCTGCTGCTGTCTATGCGGGCGGCTTTCATGTGCCCACGTAGATGAATTTGCATGTAAATATATGCGTATGTGAATAATATATATTTTATTCGTATGTATGCATGCATTTATCTCGTTGCGGATAGATATATGTGGGGGCATGCTCGTATATTTGCTCATTTGGTATGTTGCAAATATACTTTGTTGTATGGGCGCAAATGGATGTGTGGGCTCTCCAGGGGACTGCGCGGCGGAAGCGGCCCATATTACTTGCATGCATATTGTCATAATAAATCTTTGCGGAATTCAGATTTAGTTACAGTTTAGTTGACGAAATTGCAGCTAGAATTGCAGTTTCGGGTTGGCTGACCACTGCTCCTGGCGGTGTTGCCCGTGTTTCACGCATAATGTGAGCGTGAGGGGAAATGGAAGTAGGATTATGAGTATATTTGGGGACATACTTCGTGATTTGAATCTGAATGAGAACGCGAACGTGAATGGGAATAGTGTGATTGTAAAAATATAAACATGTATGTGAACGGGAAAGTGAATATGAATGCGAGCCAAAGTGCGAGTATGAAGTTGAATACGAATGGCAGTTCAAATATGGCATTTTTCTTGCGTTGTGAATGCCTACGCGCTGCAGGAATATGCCGTGAAGGTGATTTCAAAGCGGCAAGTGAAGCAGAAGACAGACAAAGAGCTGCTGCTCAAGGAGGTGGAGCTCCTTAAGAAGCTGGACCACCCCAACATCATGAAGCTCTACGAGTTCTTCGAGGACAAGGGCTACTTCTACTTAGTCACGGAAGTCTATACCGGCGGAGAGCTCTTCGACGAGATTATCAGCAGAAAGAGGTTCAGGTGCGGACGCAGTGCAAACTCGAAACCCTAGACGCTTTTAACCCTCAGGCTTCAGCTGTAAATCCATTTACCTGATTTTTCAGTCAGACTAGAAGTTCAGTGGCCTGTTAACTTCTGGCGTTAAATACTAAACCCTATCTGGCAGAGGCAGAGCTCAGTTTGACTACCAACAAGATGCTCTTAGCCCAGCACCTTTCTGCAAACCTAAACGCTAAACCCTCATATCTATGGGCGCTGGTCAGTGTGCTGAGAGCGTTTTTGGGGCCTGAAATAGGCGGAAGCAATACTCAAAAGTTTAAGGTTTAGAGTTTAGGGTTAGGGTTTAGGGTCTGGGGTTTTGGGTTTCTGACTGGCAAGTTTTTCTACTTCTGGCGTGCTTCTGGCTTCAGCGAGGTTGACGCCGCCCGCATTATTCGGCAAGTGCTTTCGGGCATTACGTATATGCACAAGAACAAAATCGTTCACAGAGACCTCAAGCCTGAAAATCTGCTGCTGGAAAACAAAAGAAAAGATGCTAACATTCGCATCATTGACTTCGGCCTTTCCACTCACTTTGAGTCCACCAAGAAAATGAAGGACAAGATCGGAACGTAAGACAGCCTTCTGCTGCTGCTTTTTGGAGCTGCTGGCCTGCTGCTGCTGTAGCTGCTGGTATTCGTGCCTATTCGCTGCTGCAGTCAGGCAGATCCAACTGTACAGGCGCTGTGGTGGC